TATAGAATGGCTTGCCAAAAGAGATGTATCCTTTGTTAGATATCTACGAGACGGAGGAATAATGGTGAGAATGAGATGAAAAGGGCATACCCATATTCGTTGATATGTTTGTTCGAAGAAGTACATAGGATCTGGGAGAAGATAGGGGGTGATTCTGACTTGTGGATCACGAATGGAAGGTTGTGGAATGATGGGAAGTGCTAGAGAAGAGGTGAAGATGAAGATGAGGGTGTGAAGGTGTTGTCGATAACTTACTTGGACATGGTGGAGAAGTAGTGCACGAGATATTTCGTGTAGCATTACCACCACCACACAGCTGACTGTGACAGCTAAGTCCAGTAGAGAAGTCGATGCATGATCTGATTTCACGGCGTTGAGCACTTCCGCAACTGGGTGTACAGTTGGTGAGTGGAACCCAATTAGTCCAAGTACACACTGCATGGATTAGAATTCATAATATAAATCTTTGTATTAGTCAAGAACTACCTGGTGGACGCATTGTGGTTGTGGAAGTAGATGCTGCCTGAGTTGTAAGTTCGGTAGCTATAAAATTACGTGAAGAAATTGAGCCATCTGATCAATTTTTCTTTGGAAAGCGATATCGGAGTCAATGAGAACTACTATATCAGGTATTAGCGTATCATTGCTGCACTTGGTTTTTGTCGGAAATATCGATTATTCAACCATAGTTGCACAATTTTTGACTGTTTGAGAGTAAAGGGTAGATCTCTTACGGGAGAAATAGTTTACATTATATACTTCATTCACACAAGGACAGATATAATACTTTATGGACATTCTCACCTCATGTTTTTGTAACAATTACTTCTGATATTGTTACAATTGATGTTTATTTTAGTAACATACTTTTGCAAGTGAGAAAAAGTGACACTTTTAATGTTAAGATGTTCATTGAAAATGGAAACTTATACCAAAACGACAATGTATGATGAAGTAAGACTAAGAGTGTGTCAAGAAATATCGAATATAAAACGATCGAGCAGTGCTTATGAGACACATAAGTACTTAACAACGGACATTTCAACTGTGTTTATTAAATACTCACTAAACGTAGTTTAAAGTCACGAAGATGAGACAGTGAACACAAACTAAGTTTCTATGGGAAAGTATCGGAAAGAAAACTTACTTTCATCTTCCGTAAATGTACCACTACCATCCATAGCTAATGTTTGAGATGTATCAAAAATCCACGTCACATCACGTTTATGACGTTCAAGTAAAGTTTCATCTGAACCCGAGATTAGTTTTGGTATGGCCAGATTTTGAGAATTTGCAAATTGATGACTTTCATTCAGTGACTGATGAAAGTCATAATGATAGAACGACGGTTGTATATACGTATCAATATCTTCATAATCATTAATGGAGCTTAACTCCAGTACTTGTCCTGATAAATCCGAGTCAGAGTGCTGTTCATGTTCGAACGATTGTTGATCGGAGTTCGATCTGATACCTAAATATAGAATGTACATAGTACCAGGTAAACTCATTCACTGTTCAATATTTACTTTTAACAGGATAAATCAAGATTGCGATCGTAATGATAAGCAATAAGTAGAGGATTCTACACTGCGTATTCATGATCTAATAAGTGCATAAAAATGATAATTATAACATATTTCGAAATCGACACACGATGGAAGAAATGGAAGAAAAAGAACAAGTGAGTGACATACAAATTGTCGTAGATGACTTAAGGATGAAAATAAGAAGGACAGCGCGTAAAAAGAACAGGGAAAGAACGAAGAAGGAGAAGAAGAAGAGAAATTCTTCTCTTTCTAACTAATAATTCTCTTGTTCTATTGATTTGCACACAAAAGTATGAACATATGTGTAAATGACACTGCACTCGTTGTTCAATGCATCATACTGTGAGTAAAAGATTGTTCTTCAAGATTCCTAATATGCTCAAAAAATGAATACATACATTATGTGAATTGTTGTTTCTACAATGACAAATACAAGACTCGAATGCGCAGATAAAACCGAATAATCTTATGAAAAGCGACTGAGTTGGGCATGAAAATCAAAATACGTTTATTTATGTAAATATTTGATTCATTTTCGAACATCTGATAACAAAAAAAGTCATGGCAGTTTTGTACACCTACGCTATTGATATGATATTGTTGATGTCAGGAACATATCAATAACAACATGATGACAATTCTCAAACACAACAACGCTCTTTCAAAAACTCCTAATTCAATCTGACCTAATGACTTCTATTTCTGTTCAAAAGCAACGACAAACTTCATTTCACTCACTCAATGGTATCAATGCAGACAAAACATTTTCTCTGTGGACATGACAATCGCTTGAACAATTACCAGACAGATTGTTCAATACATTCTTACATGCATAACTTTGATTCGATATACGACTCGCACACATGTTTGCCTCGCAGGGTAACTGTCGATACATTGACAAAAGATTCACTTTGACAGATCGATGAACTAGTTACTTCATACAATCCACTCGAAAAACAATTTCTAAGTACACACACAAATGAACAGCAGAACAAAGCGAAACGAAAATTTCAATTTTTCATTCGATGTTTTATTTCACGTCCTTGAAAATGTGCATAATGCAAGATGGATTATAATCGAGGCTCTTTTTTGCTAGGAAGTGCTGATATACAGCTGTCAATATGTCGTCAAATCATGTCCTTGAGTTCTCAAACATATCAAGTGAAAATTTATGGCAATAATCAGACGAATCTCTTCGGAATATTTTTATGCGATCCATTTCATTTACAAACGCAAATCTCATGTTATTCATATAGACTCCCTGTTTTTGTCGATGGACAAAGGATAAACAATTCTACTCTGTTTCGTGTGAGTATATATTTTGATTTTTTTATTGTATAAGAAATTAAAATATTCGATCTAAACGGTCCAGAGAAGAAGAAAAAAGTAACCGATCAGATGAAAATCTCCATGTATCCGTTTAACAAGATTGACAATATTTCTAACTGACGAAATTTAATTCTTTCCTAATATTTAAACACTTTCTTTTGTTATCAAATATCGAATCGATCAATATTATGTGTGTGTGTGATATTTGATCAGAGATGAATCGAACAAAGATTACTATAATACCAAAATAAGAATGAAGAAATGTTCGAATTATCGTCTTTTTCGCTTTTCTTAACAAATTAGAAGCAATGCTTGTAATTACATAAGAGATTGGATTAAATATGAAAATTGTTCATTTGGAGATTGATGAGTGAATTGAAAAGAAAGTCGATTATCAGACTGAAGTGTTTCCTCGATTGAATGATCTTAGAGTGGTCATTTATCAAAGAGAATCGAACTCATAATCTTCGTGATTGTCTTTTCTGCATGAAGAAATCGTTCGAATGGCCTATGGGTGGAAGCCATTTGAAAGCATAGTAGAACTCTTTCAAGTATGACAGGATGTCATTTTTATTCGTTTTATGATACAAACTGATTTCAATTGAAAAATAATACGGCAATGTATGAGATAATCTTTACTTCACAGGGAATAAAACAAATGATTCAGAAGAGCATGAGAAGAAGTAAATAATACATAGATGTGTATTGTAAAATAAAAGAATAAATATCACCAGTAATCGATGAAAATGAGAATGATTTCGTCGAGAATTGTCGTATTTTGTTTAAAGTGAGTGGCACTTGATTTAATGTCGAGTGAAAAACTAAAACAAAAGAGAAGAGTTGTTGACGAAAGAAGATGAAGATCAGAGGAAGAATTCGATTCTTACTGAGAAGAGACCCGTAGGTTGAGAATCCACTTGTGGTCGTGGTAATTTTAAATTTGGATTTATCACTTCAAGCATTTCGTTGTCTTGAAAAAGATCGTCTAATGGATCATGAAACGTCATTGCAATATCATCATCGAGTATCACATCGTCGAGTTCGTGAATGGGATCATCTATGTCTGAGGTTGATGCTGTAAATGATGATGTTGTGGTCGATGATGCTGTTGCCGTTGGTAAACTAGCAAGCATAGCATTTGTATTAGGTCTTGTCATAGTTGCACGTAATCTTGGACCCATATCTTGATCCAATTGTTTGAAAAACGTACTGGTCACAGTTCCATTCGTGTTGGGATCATAATTCGTACGGTACGTTGAACGATCACTATTGTATGTTTCACTATCTTGCGCACTTGTTGATGTGTTAACCGACGATTGACTTTGTATGTATGTTCGAACATTCTCAGCTGTTACTTCTTTAGGTACTTGAGCGCGTGGTAAATGCCATATACGACGAACTAATAACTCATCTCTATAAAATACATTTTCAATGCGAAGTTAAAGAGCCAAGATAATAGAACTATTCTACTTACGGATCATAGGGATGTCGTCGTCGACGCCAAGCGGCAATAGCTAATAGACAGCATGTTACCGCACAGAATAAGCCGGCCAGACCAGCCAGAACACCAACTATAATCGGTGTCCAATTTGATGATGGTGATGACGTGGAAAGCGTCGGTTCGGTGGTTGTTGAATAACAAAATTCATCAGTAGCCGATGACGATGGATTAGCTGTATTAACAAAACATTGACATCGTCCTGTACCAGTCGATCCTGTCGTACAAACTCCACGTCCAGCATTAGTGCCGCATAGATCACATAAATTATATAGATAACATCCGGTTACATTGGTGAGCGACGCTGAAATTTATAAAGAAATTTCAATGTAAGAATGTTGAAAAGACAATTACATACTTGTGATATTTTTACATTTACCAACACTGTAAAGATTTAAGTTGAGATTGTTTGTTACATTTGTTAACACTTCAAAAGCATTATTTTGTATAGTTATATTATCATTCGTTCTTAGATCAAATGTAACATCAATATAACCCGTTTCATCACAGCTAAATATAAAAATTCACATTTAATTCTATCCGTTGAAATCACCAACGGAAGTTTTCTCATCAATCACTACGTACCCAAGTGAACTGTTTGTAATTGCTAAATTGTATGAGTATCCAAAAGTTGCATTGAATTGTTTCAGAATCTATTCAAATGAGTAAGTACACACATATACTAACAAAAATTATAATACTTACTTCATCTAAGATAGTTGATTGATTTTCACAACTAATCGTTATACGGAAATGGGATTCTCCAGAAAGACCTAAATAAATCTGATAGGTTGATGCAAATTAAATTGTCAACATGCAAACCTTGGCCTGGATCAGGTCGAGGAGTACACACTCCTGCATTGTAGTAATATGAATCAGCTGCACAGATACAATCATATTTGTTGGTAGAAATACGAACAAGTTGTAATGGACTGTCACAGTAACAGGCTGGTAATGGTGCCGACCTATCGGTACTATTAGTACACTTTCCTCCACCACAATCAATATGATTAGCGGCACATTGATCATAGATTTGACATGTTTGATTTTTTTTCAATGCAGTATATATTTGATTATAGTCACCTGGTAAATTAAATCATAGCTTTCGTAGAAGGTTAACTGTATAACAGATCTTACCATTGGGTGCATATCCATAATTACAACGGCATTCGTAAAATGGCACGAGGTTGACGCAATATGAATTAGAGTATGCCGCACATGCACTTGAATTCGCCGTACATTCATCGTTATCGACGCAGGCATCAGTATTCTATTGAAAGTTAGAAATTAATTCGGAAATATCCCTTCTTCCTGTAAATCAACTTACTATGCTATTACTCTTTATGTAGCCTGGTAGACAATCACAACGATACGATCCTTCGAGATTTACACATGTTGTCGTAGATTCCGGACAGATATTTTCTTGCATCGATGCAAGTAAACATTCATTAATATCTAATCAATAAATATGTATGACAATTATTAAGATAATGATGCTGATGTATTTATACCTATACAAGCGCTATTATTCGATACTCGTTCATAACCAGATTGACAGAGACAACTGTAGCCTGCCAGCAAATTCGATAGATCCGTGTTTGTGGGTGATAATTTACAAATTTGATTTGTTCTATTGGTATTACAAGTATCATTAACTAAACGAAATTCAGATGTCGAAACTAATAGATTCGAATTCGAAATCTTACTTGGACTGCAAAAGTCGATATATCGATCACATCGATATCCTGTGTAACCATTGGCGCATTTACATTTATCTGCTTCACCAGTGGCATTGACGTTACATTCACCGAATTCACAATCACATATCAGTGAACAATTCGGACCAGCTAAACCGTTGTCACAAACTAAATTACAATCGATTTCTTTTCACAACTTTATCTGTGTCTGCCTAAAAATACGTACCAGCACAGTTTAGTGCATGATTCAATGTTCTTCCTGGTGGACATTGACATGAATAACTTTTTTCGTTACCAGAGCAATTACCATACTGACAATATTTTGAACAAAATATACCTATGAAAGTATCGAATTTCGTAAAAATATTAGAAAATTTGCAAAGACATACTTTGACATGAATTCGTACTAATATTATAAACTTGTGTTCGAAATTGACAGAAAAAGTCATTTGGTGCAGACATATTATGACATATATAAGTTGTATTATCACAGACGACATTTGCTGATACTAACAATGAAAAAGATTAGTTGATGTTCAGTTTATAATCGATTTTAGCTTACTGCTTGTACAAACACCGGATGAATTAGTGTAGCCGGATTGACACTGGCATATGCATTCAGTTCCCGAATCAACAGCTACTTCGAATTGACCAGTACAAGGAATAAAACCACCAGGATAATTTGCCGCATTATCACAGACTTTCTTTTCTATAATAAAAGAAATAGAACAAAACAAGATTTCCCCTCGGATCAGATCATGGATACATACGAACACAAGTTGTACCATCGAAAGTTGTTGAGCCATTGCATATACAAATATATCCATTCGATTGCAATTCTGAATTTTGACACGTATTGTTTAATCCGCATATAGTTTCATTACACACCGGTCGAACTACATGTTAAACAAAGAATGCAACTACGTCTTTGATTTACTCTCAGGTATCTTCACTTACACAAACATTGTTGGACATCAGCATTAAATTGATAACCTTGCCGACAACAGTCTGTTGTATTTGTACATGGTACGTTTGTGACTTTATTCATGCATTGATATGGAGCTTGTCCAGTATTCATTGTAATAGCTGATATATTTACAACACAAGATACGTTCGAGTTAAAATTCAAACGGCAAGCAGTCATATCAGTACAGCTAATAGTTTTGTCGCAATAATCACCTAGAAAGAAGAAGTAAACGACATCGAAAATGAGCCTTTTAGTTTTTGCTTACCTGTTGCGGTTGTATCACAAACACAAAATAAAACTTGAACTGCTGATGATATAATCGTTGGATTATTTCGAACTGGATTACCGTATACACATTCATTGACGATCAACTGAATCTTCTGGTAAGTCGTTAAACTTGCATCAAGATTCGTCGCGATAATTCTAGAATATATTACCTAAGTGATCAGTCGGATGTTTATTTTATACATACGTTAATTGAAGAAGATTCTTATTTGTATTCGTATACGAAAAAGGACAAGAATACCATATACCATTGTCAATACAATTGACTGGAATGCTTGTATTTGTTTCGCGTATTTGGACTAGAACTGATGAGATTAAATCAATGGTAACGTTTATATAATTGAGTGTTGAATTTTGAAAAGTATTGTTATGTGGTATTGATAATAAATATGTGTATGGTGTGTCGATCGACGTTGCGTCTACTAGAGTTATTCTTGGAGGATTAGTGCCTAACAAACAAACAAGCTTTTGATTGACAAGAAAGATTGTTTTTATTTACTAAGAACAGTGTTAGCCGTTGTATAATCGGTTGAACTTTTCACAGTTAGCTGTCCCAGGAGCGATGACTGAGAAAGTAATGTATCTTGTACACAAAAGTCGTGTGTTGATGAGCTCGTAGAAGAACATGACACAGTATTTATATAGTTTCGATAAGTACTTGATGCAGATGTGTTAAACCATTTCATGAGATTGCTTCGATTCAATTGTAATTGTTCAGCGCCATTGAGTGTTACTGAATCTAAATAAAAGCGTTTTCTGTCTTACAGCAAAAAGATAAATTGAGAATATTATTTACTCTTAAGACAATATTGATCATCATTAGCTATCTGATTACCAAAAGCGAGACCTTCGACACTATCAGTATATTTTACCGGCAATAACAACGTACACGCCATATTATTCGTTATGAGATAGCATTGTAATGCCAAACCTTGCAACATAAATCATTCAAATGGTTTTCTTCTACAAACAAAGGTAACTTACCAGACCAAGTTGTAACTGTTAATTTGGGTACTTGAGCTTGTACGGATACGTTTTGACCAGTTGTACTATAAGTATTCCAAGTAGATGCTGATATCGTTTGATTTTCTTTGGTAATTGCAAAGAAATAGTTTGTCGAGTTCGTCGTGGATGTGGGATAATAGAAATACTCAACGAAATCATTAGATAGATTGAAGGGATTTCGTCTGGTCATATCATTTGCCGTTAAATAATTCACCTCTTCAATGAAAAAAGAAAGTATTTATTTCCAAGTATGAACAAAATAGATATCTTACTGAATTGATATGTGGCTGTTGAATCAATATTCACATCGATAATAACTGAATTATTCCATCCGAGATAGAGTGAGAATGACGAGAAATATGAGATCGTCTTATTGTAAAATTCATTAGATCGTAGTAAAGCTGTCGTTATACTTGTTCGAGCAACAATTGAAAATAGATCATCGCTAACTAAATCTTTTATAATCGTTGAATTCGTTTGAACATTGCTATTCGCTGTGGCATTAGCGATTGCCGTTGTTTGAGCATAAATAAATGAACCGTACACATTACAGGTATAACCTGCATTTCCTGTTGTTTGGATATGTGGATCACCGCCAAACCAAGCTGAATGAAAAGAAAAACCAATATGATTTACTGTTGATTTTCTTTGAATAAGTATAAAGTTATCCTTACCTTGTTGAGGTGGTTGATATCCATCACAAGTACTTGCAGGTCGAATTTCGTAATACAAATTACACCATTGAGACCAATCGATACTTCCATTTCTTGCAATACAACAATAATCGCTTAAAAATCAAATGATTATCGATTATCAAACTCTTCATAAGGAAAAAATGCATCGTTACCGTTCTTTAATACGTTGTGGCTGATAAATTAAAGGTCGTAATGATATTAATGCTGCTTGGTCAAGAATTGACCCAGCAAATTCACCCGATGTTACCAATGATCCTTCTACCGTATGGTAACAACATGTCTAAAGAAAGAATTTATTAGCAAATTGGTACTCGATGAATGATATTTACTTGTTGGTAAGCTGAGTTATCAGATGATTGTGGTAGGAAAATATTCAGAGGAACGAAACAGGCAATGTTATTACTGCGTTCCAGACGATTTTCACTATTTAATTTATAGAATCGAAAATCCGATAAAGCTTGAGAATATGAGCAAGGACATGGGTTTCGTTTGACATTCCTAATGAAATAAGAACAGATCTTATCGATAAACAAATGAATTCAAAACATACGTCAGATTCACAGCTCGTTTAAATATGACATCCGTATATGATTTCCAATACCATTGCTCACATGTACTTAGTAATCTTGAGCTGAGAAAATATGTTCGAACATCATTACCATCTACGATAGGAAAAACCGTTAATGACCTACTCGCCGTCTTACATTTGCTAAATAGATATGCGTACCTTTGATGAAATCCAAGATTTGACTTGTAAATGAAACACTTGATTTATGCGTTGTATCATTTTCATTGCGATAACCTATTTGAAGAAAATGATATTTTGTTTTACAATCACAAGTTGTGTTGTTCAATCGAGTTTACACGCACCGATAATGATTGGCTGATAGTTAGAACTGTTTACAGCTTTGCTGATGTTATACTCAAATCGCAGATACGAATTCCAAAAGGTAAAGTTACTTGAAGGTCCGTTAATTAAATATGCATTGAAAACAAGATCCTGAAAATAGAAAGGACAGATGAAAGGATATTGCACATTGATGTGTCACTTCTTTACTTGAGAATTTGACGATGTGTTAGTGTTGCTGCTATAAATACTAGTAACTAGCTTGTCCCATTCGATTTCTACAACACGGTAGACTACGAGTTCGTCGACAACATCCGTTTGATTCTGCCGAGCAACTGTATTTCTAACTTTTGCTGAAATAGTCGAACCAGCAGACAAACCATTATGGACGACAGACTTAATACAAAGAAAAATACAGAGAACATATCAACAATTAGAAGTATTCCTTACTTTGATGCTAGTCGTTTCATTTACGTACAACAGATTAGTCCAGAAAGGTGCGATATAGGCCGTCTCTGGTAGACCATTTTCCGTTGGTTCGATAGCATACAACGGTTTATCCAATGTAATGTATCCTTTGTCTGTGACCTAGAACATACATATCCAACCCTTACAAACAGTATGCTTAATTTTCGGCATCTCTTACCCAAACCACTTTGTGACTGAGTGCATCGTTAGTATATTGATATGGAAATGGCAACACCACAGGCGTGACACGCATCAGAAGATTCACCGGACTCACGCTATTCTTCAGAACAGTTTCAGTAACTACAAAAACAGGGCGCATATAAATTTATCCAATTGTAATCTCATCTACCTACCAGGACAAGTTGGGATGCAACTAATATTACTTCTGCTCACTATTGCCCGACTTCCGTTATTGCACGAACATGTTGTTTCGATTGTCTGCACACCACTTGTACTGGCATTGCAAACAGCACCCGAATTTTGGACCAGAACACATTCAGAAACGCTTGCATTCGTACAACCGCATACTACAAAGCAAAACAAACAGAGAGTCAAATGAACCGCCCACCCAGCCATCCTATGTTCCCCCTGCGCACTAAAATCACTCACCAGTATTAAACGACGATGTAACCGCCGTTGTAGCTGTACTTGTCAACGATGTGCTTAGTGTGGAAGAACTTGTCGTCACACTAGTCGTAGTAGAACTCGACGTCTGCCTTCCAGTGCTTTGTGACGTCGCTGCCGAGCTACCTGTTCCCAGAGTGCTAGATGATGTGGTTATTCCGGAACCTGTCACAGGAACTGTAGTCGTGGAACTGCCAGTACCTTGCGTAGTTGTTGTTGAACTGCCTGTACCTTGTGTGGTCGTTGTGGAACTACCTGTTCCGAGAGTGACAGATGATGTGGGCATTTCAGAACCTGTGGCTGGAACTGTAGTGGTGGAACTGCCAGTCCCTTGGGTGGTTGTTGTAGAACTGCCTGTGCCTTGAGTCGTCGTTGTCGAACTACCCGTTCCGAGAGTGATAGCTGATGTGGGCACTTCAGAACCTGTCACTGTAACTGTAGTGGTGGAACTACCAGTACCTTGGGTAGTTGTTGTTGAACTGCCTGTTCCGAGAGTGACCGATGATGTGGGTATCTCAGAACCTGTCACCAGAACTGTAATCGTGGAAATACCAGTACCCTGGGTGGTTGTTGTGGAACTACCGGTACCGAGAGCGATAGATGATGTAGGTATTTCGGAACCTGTCACTGGAACTGTTGTGGTGGAACTGCCGCTACCTTGCGTGCTCGTTGTCGAACTGCCCGTTCCGAGAGTGATAGATGATGTGGGCAATTCAGAACCTGTCACTGTAACTCTAGTGGTTGAACTACCAGTACCTTGGGTAGTTGTTGTTGAACTGCCTGTTCCAACAGTGATAGATGATGTCGGCATTTCAGAACCTGTCACTGTAACTGTAGTGGTGGAACTGCCAGTGCCCTGGATGGTTGTTGTTGAACTGCCTGTGCCTTGAGTGGTTGTTGTCGAACTGCCTGTTCCAACAGTGATAGATGATATCGGCATTTCAGAACCTGTCACTGTAACTGTAGTGGTGGAACTGCCAGTGCCTTGAGTCGTTGTTGTGGAACTACCTGTTCCGAGAGTGATAGATGATGTGTGTATTTCGGAGCCTGTCACCGGAACTGTTGTGGTGGAACTGCCAGTACCCTGGGTGGTTGTTGTCGAACTGCCTGTTCCAACAGTGATAGATGATGTAGGCATTTCAGAACCTGTCACTGTAACTGTAGTGCTGGAACTGCCAGTGCCTTGGGTGGTTGTTGTAGAACTGCCTGTGCCTTGAGTCGTCGTTGTCGAACTACCCGTTCCGAGAGTGATAGCTGATGTCGGCATTTCAGAACCTGTCACTGTAACTGTAGTGGTGGAAGTGCCAGTGCCTTGGGTGGTTGTTGTCGAACTGCCTGTGCCTTGAGTGGTTGTTGTCGAACTGCCTGTTCCAACACTGACAGATGATGTGGGCATTTCAGAACCTGTCACCGGAACAGTAGTGGTGGAACTGCCAGTACCCTGGGTGGTTGTTGTTGAACTGCCTATTCCAAGAGTGATAGATGATGTAGGTATTTCGGAACCTGTCACTGTAACTGTTGTGGTGGAACTGCCAGTACCTTGGGTGGTTGTTGTCGAACTGCCTGTTCCAAGAGTGATAGATGATGTAGGTATTTCGGAACCTGTCACTGTAACTGTTGTGGTTGAACTGCCAGTACCTTGGGTTGTTGTTGTCGAACTGCCTGTTCCAAGAGTGATAGATGATGTGGGTATCTCAGAAGCTGTCACCGGAACTGTTGTGGTGGAACTGCCTGTACCTTGGGTGGTTGTTGTAGAACTGCCTGTGCCTTGAGTCGTCGTTGTCGAACTGCCTGTTCCAACAGTGATAGATGATGTAGCTATTTCGGAACCTGTCACTGGACCTGTTGTGGTGGAACTGCCGGTACCTTGCGTGATTGTTGTTGAACTACCTGTTCCAAGAGCGATAGACGATGTGGGCATTTCAGAACCTGTCACTGGAACTGTTGTGGTGGAACTGCCGGTACCTTGCGTGGTTGTTGTTGAACTGCCTGTTCCAAGAGTAATAGATGATGTGGGTATTTCGGTACCTGTCGCTGGAACAGAAGTCGTGGAACTACCAGTACCCTGGATGGTTGTTGTTGAACTGCCTGTTCCACGAGTGATGGATGATGTGGGTATTTCGGAACCTGTCACTGGAACTGTTGTGGTGGAACTGCCGGTACCTTGGGTGGTTGTTGTAGGACTGCCTGTGCCTTGAGTCGTCGTTGTCGAACTACCCGTTCCGAGAGTGATAGCTGATGTCGGCATTTCAGAACCTGTCACTGTAACTGTAGTGGTGGAACTGCCAGTACCCTGGGTGGTTGTTGTTGAACTGCCTATTCCAAGAGTGATAGATGATGTAGGTATTTCGGAACCTGTCACTGTAACTGTTGTGGTTGAACTGCCAGTGCCTTGCGTGATTGTTGTTGAACTGCCTGTTCCAAGAGTAATAGACGATGTGGGCATTTCAGAACCTGTCACTGGAACTGTTGTGGTGGAACTGCCTGTACCTTGCGTGATTGTTGTCGAACTGCCTGTTCCGAGAGTGATAGATGATGTGGGTATCTCAGAACCTGTCACCGGAACTGTTGTGGTGGAACTGCCAGTGCCTTGTGTGGTCGTTGTGGAACTACCTGTTCCAAGAGTGATAAATGATGTGGGTATCTCAGAACCTGTCACCGGAACAGTAGTGGTGGAACTGCCAGTACCTTGGGTGGTTGTTGTCGAACTGCCAGTGCCTTGGGTGGTTGTTGTGGAATTACCTGTTCCGAGAGTGATAGATGATGTAGGTATTTCGGAACCTGTCACCGGAACAGTAGTGGTGGAACTGCCAGTGCCTTGCGTGATTGTTGTTGAACTGCCTGTTCCAAGAGTAATAGACGATGTGGGCATTTCAGAACCTGTCACTGTAACTGTTGTGGTGGAACTGCCTGTACCTTGGGTGGTTGTTGTAGAACTGCCTGTGTCTTGAGTCGTCGTTGTCGAACTACCCGTTCCGAGAGTGATACCTGATGTCGGCATTTCGGAACCTGTCACTGTAACTGTAGTGGTGGAACTGCCAGTACCTTGGGTGGTTGTTGTCGAACTGCCTGTGCCTTGAGTGGTTGTTGTCGAACTGCCTGTTCCAACAGTGATAGATGATGTCGGCATTTCAGAAGCTGTCACCGGAACAGTAGTGGTGGAACTGCCGGTACCTTGCGTGGTTGTTGTTGAACTGCCTGTTCCAAGAGTGATAGATGTTGTGGGTATCTCAGAACCTGTCACCGGAACTGTTGTGGTGGAACTGCCAGTGCCTTGTGTGGTCGTTGTGGAACTACCTGTTCCAAGAGTGATAAATGATGTGGGTATCTCAGAACCTGTCACCGGAACAGTAGTGGTGGAACTGCCAGTACCTTGGGTGGTTGTTGTCGAACTGCCAGTGCCTTGGGTGGTTGTTGTGGAATTACCTGTTCCGAGAGTGATAGATGATGTAGGTATTTCGGAACCTGTCACCGGAACAGTAGTGGTGGAACTGCCAGTGCCTTGCGTGATTGTTGTTGAACTGCCTGTTCCAAGAGTAATAGACGATGTGGGCATTTCAGAACCTGTCACTGTAACTGTTGTGGTGGAACTGCCTGTACCTTGGGTGGTTGTTGTAGAACTGCCTGTGTCTTGAGTCGTCGTTGTCGAACTACCCGTTCCGAGAGTGATAGCTGATGTCGGCATTTCAGAACCTGTGGCTGGAACTGTAGTGGTGGAACTGCCAGTGCCTTGGGTGGTTGTTGTCGAACTGCCTGTGCCTTGAGTGGTTGTTGTCGAACTGCCTGTTCCAACAGTGATAGATGATGTGGGCATTTCAGAACCTGTCACTGTAACTGTAGTGGTGGAACTGCCAGTGCCTTGGGTGGTTGTTGTAGAACTGCCTGTGCCTTGAGTCGTCGTTGTTGAACTACCCGTTCCGAGAGTGATAGCTGATGTCGGCATTTCAGAACCTGTCACTGTAACTGTAGTCGTGGAACTGCCAGTACCTTGGGTGGTTGTTGCCGAACTGCCAGTGCCTTGAGTCGTTGTTGTGGAACTACCTGTTCCGAGAGGGATAGATGATGTGGGTATCTCAGAACCTGTCACCGGAACTGTTGTGGTGGAACTGCCTGTACCTTGGGTGGTTGTTGTAGAACTGCCTGTGCCTTGAGTCGTCGTTGTTGAACTACCCGTTCCGAGAGTGATAGCTGATGTCGGCATTTCAGAACCTGTCACTGTAACTGTAGTGGTGGAACTGCCAGTACCTTGGGTGGTTGTTGTCGAACTGCCTGTGCCTTGAGTCGTCGTTGTTGAACTACCCGTTCCGAGAGTGATAGCTGATGTCGGCATTTCAGAACCTGTCACTGTAACTGTAGTCGTGGAACTGCCAGTACCTTGGGTGGTTGTTGTTGAACTGCCTGTGCCTTGTGTGGTCGTTGTGGAACTACCTGTTCCAAGAGCGATAGACGATGTAGGCATTTCAGAACCTGTCACTGGAACTGTTGTGGTGGAACTGCCGGTACCTTGCGTGGTTGTTGTTGAACTGCCTGTTCCAAGAGTGATAGATGTTGTGGGTATCTCAGAACCTGTCACTGGAACAGTAGTGGCGGAACTGCCAGTACCCTGGATGGTTGTTGCCGAACTGCCAGTGCCTTGAGTGGTTGTTGTCGAGCTGTCCGCACCGAGGCTGATTGATGATGTAGGTATTTCGGAACCTGTCACTGTGACTGGTGTGGTGGAACTGCCAGTACCCTGGGTCATTGTTGTCGAACTACCTGTGCCCAGAGTGATTGATGATGTGGGCATTTCGGTTCCTGTCACTTCGTTGTTGGGTGTTGAGCTTGCGCTACTGAGAGTGGTGTTTGTAGAGAAGATATCGGTGCCGGTGACTGGCAGTGTCGTGGTTGAAGTGGATGTGTCCAAACTTATGGTCGACGCGGATATGTGGGTGCCTGTGGGTGAAACCGTGGTTGTGGAGCTGTCGCTAGATGTATCGATGCTAGTAGTGGATGACTGTGTGGCGGTGACTTGTGCGGTTGTTAGAGAAGTGTCAGTTTCTGTTCCAGCTATGGTTGTTGAAATATCAGCACCTGTCAGTTGTGGTGTGCTTATGGTGGAACTGCCTGTGTCGACGGTTGTTGTAGAGGTTTTTGTGGTGATGCTTGATGGAGTCGTGTTGAAAGGAGTAGTGCCGGTTAGAGAGGTTTCTGTGATCGTTGTTTCGGTGGTTGTGAGATGTTGCGGGGTGGCGTTTGTGCTTACAGCTACGGATACCAATGATGTCGTATCGCTGCTGATACTGGTGATAGTTTCAGTGATTTGCGTGGTTATACCGGAAGCACCCGTAGTAGCTGAAGTGGTAGATGATGGAAAACTGTCGGTAGCTGTTACAGTAGTACTTGAGGTGGGTTCCGTGGTTCCTGTCTGTATGGCTATGCTGGTTGATGTATCGCTTGGTGAAGTTTCAGTCGTTGATGTTAACGTACTAGTAGTACTAGTTGTGGCGCTGGCGAATGGTGAGGTGATTTGGATGTTAGTAGTCGTTGACGTGTCGGTCTCCATACTACCTGTTTGCATAACGGTTCCTGTGGATTCAGTTGCAATAGCAGTGGTGGAAGATTCCGAGGTCATGCTGACACTAGTATCTTCAACGATCGCAGGCGTTGATCGAACTGTTTCTAGAAGAAGTTGAAAAAGGTCAAATATCTTTTGTGTCATGAACAGATGATGGTTGTTTCATAAGAAAAATAGATTTTCAAGGTTTGTTATGTTATGCGCATGATGGCTTTAGTGTTTGAAACTTGAAGTGTCTCTTAGAAATAATTATTAACATAGAAGAACAACTGCATGCATGAGAATAAATTTTGCTTATGTACTCGCATGTTATTATACTCTACGGACAAAATGTGAAAGAAATTATGATAATTTCACACGTACATTTGTGGCAAAGTACTTTGTTTCTTCTTTTAAGTGGTTTACTCAAGTTCCGGTAAACTTATAATGCGAACACATTCTTTTACTAATCTTACCTTGTGTGACGCCGCTAACTGTTTCACTTGTCACTTCTTCAGTTGTAGTCATAGCGATTGATACGGGACTTGCAGTACTTAACTGCGTTAATGTGACTAAATATTATTTATAAATCATAAAGATTAGAAAAACAAACACTTGACGAATCATACTTGTTTCTTGAGATGAAACCGACGTGCTTACTGAAGTCACATATTCTGACGAACCTATAATACATGACATTGCTCCAATGAGTATCTAACTTTCATACATACCTGTATTAATCGATGACGACGATACAGTTATTGTCGAAATAGTAGATGCTAAAGAGAAATACACGAATAGAAATGTTGAATAGATCAATTTCAAAGCTTACTTGATGTTGCTTCTGATGTTTCTTCGGTGGCTGTTCAATAGACAAATAGAAGAAAAACATAAATATTATTTCAATTGATACATACTGAATCCACTCCCATCAACGGTAACCGCAAGATTTATCAATTGTTTAGCCAATTGATCATCGTCAGCAACTCGGAGAAAACTGCCGACATCGCCAATATCATCATTCATTACCGACTGTACTGAGGGTGATAATGTGTCAGTCTTCGTATCATCACTGACCTCATTCAACAGTCGTCGATTTCGATGATGAAGTGAATAGTTTTCAACTGAATTCATCGTATGATTCAATGCTTCCATGACTGCCATTGTTTTCGTCGTCATTTTCTTCGTTGTATTTTTACATGGAGTTGTCGATATATTCGATGATGCTTGTTTTTTCCGATTATCAGAGAGCAAAATAAATCCTTCACTAATCGGACTGACTTCTTTCATAGTATCATTCGATTTATAATCGCGAACTTCAGAGGAAAGATCAAGATCAGTATTTGGCACAATGACTTCTGATTTCATACAATAAACAACTGGGAGTACTAGAAGCGGATAAATGATGACATTTTTTTTTCTTCATTACATCCAAAGAAGGCAATATTCGGCTTTTACCTGAGAGGAAAATAAAAATCCATGGGCAACGCAAAACACTCAATTGATGAAATGATTTCCAAGAAAGCATGACTTTCGTATATGTTAGTTATCTAAAAATAATCATATCATTCACTAAAGATAGGTTAATGTCGATTCAATGATGATGGATTATGTAGAAAAGCAGCTCCTAAATCTAAAATTGTCATGTTTGTACTTTTCGTCTATTCTACTCTTGAAATTGTGTTGAAGAAAATTGACATAAAATCATCGCAAAGCTTACAAAAACATGTAAGCCTTACTAAGTAGCGCATCACATTAGAGTGTTTTATACAGTATTTTGACAACTCAATCAGGTGTATATACATGTCGGCAATCATCAGCAACTTTTGTATGCTTTAATAGAGCGAAAAGAAAAAAAGTCCGAAGAAAAAATCAGCAGGATCCTTTCAGAAGAAAAGAAAGAGAAATTTTTCAAAGGATTCAACATTATCATTTTTCTGTTTTTCTACCTCTAACTTATACTTACCAAAAAGAGTTCTTGATTAACCAACACGTTGAACTAATAACTCGTCTTTCACTGCATTTCTATGGATTTTATTTTCGTTAAATAACCCGAGTTTATTCGCCTACCTGTCCTCATTATTAATCGTGAACGAATATTCCTCTCTCGTATTAAAAACTCATGAGAAAATCGCGTTCGATTACTTGAAGATGGAAAGAACTTCACCTGCTGTCAAAAACATCAAATAAAATATCCATCGATTGAATAAACTAACATTACCTATCAATGATTGATTATTACTAGAAAATATTTTTACCATCCATCTCTGATTTCTTTCTCTCTCTCTTTCTCTTCCTTTGATGAAAATAAAAGAACGCTGATTGTGTATTCTTTCTCTCTCAGATCTACCTGTAAGTTTCTTTTATACTTTTTAAATTAATCTCCAGAATTATAAATATGACATTCATATTTCACTACGAGAAAGTCTCTTTTCGTATTCGTGTTTGTTGATTTAAATTTCGTTTCTGCCAATCAGATTCGCACTGATTCGCTCAGTGAAAACTATGAAATGTGTTAATTTTCTCCATTTATTTACTTGAGATTTGCATAGAAATTTTCATATAATAGTTTAATGATAATATTATACAGAAATAAAATTGAATTATGCTCGCATTTACTTCGTAATGCGATTAAACTAAGAAATTTGCAGACGAAATGATTACTTATCAGAAAAGGCAAGATCATAACATTCGATTTGATCTTTAAGAGGTGCCATTATGTACATAGTTGTCACATAAATGTGTATCAGAAGTTTGTTGGAACTTGTTTTTTTCTCTCATTTATATATGTGCAAATGGAAACCGAAAGAGACGAGAAAAACAAGACAGTTTTTATGATTTCAAGTCATAAATCAACGAAACAATTGATCATATTACATATCAAAACCGTTATTTAATCGCGTCGGAGGGAAAATTAATTAAGTTTTCTATCTCGAATTTCATCGACTGAGATTTTCAAAACATGAAAACTTCCTCCCAAGGCCATCACCTTTCGTCAAATTAATTTTCTCATCTGCTAATAAATTTGTCCGATGACCTCCAACGACATCGTTCTATCCTGCTCATTGCAAATCATTGGTTGGCCTCCGTCAGGACAAATGAATCAGAATGTTTTGTTTCTCTGAAGAAGAGAAAAAAAAAACTGTATATGTTGCAATTCATTATTTGTTACTTTAATCGAAAAGAAAGAAATGGTCGATCGTATCTATGATCTATATGCTGTTCTCAATGATAAAAATGGAACAAACAATTCACCGGAAGCACTGAGTGCTTATCAAAATTTGATTGATGCAATGAAACAAGGTCCACAGGAGAAAAAGTTAGCGTTGCAGTTTATTGGTAAATTTTGTAAAAATTTTCCGGCCGAAATGAACAAAACCGTGGAAGCTGCGATTGATCTTTGCGAAGATGAAGATATCAATGTAAGAATCATGTGAATATCGAATGAAATGAGATATTTTTCCGATTTAGATTCGTAAAATGGCGATCAAAGAGTTCCCAACATTGATTCGAGCATCGACTGATACACTTCAACGTGTAATTGGCATTTTAATTCAATTACTTCAAGCGAATGATACCAGCGAAGTGACACAAGTACAAAATTCAATCATGACGATTTTTCATATTAATCCAAAAGGTAAAATTTGTCGAATATATGTACATATATCATTCTTTGCTATGTTAATAGAAACAATTACAGGAATTCTTGGTGAAATCCAACGTTCGCAAGAAGATTTACTTCGTAAACGTGCTCTTCGTATGTATTTCATTTTCTGATGAGTCTTTTCTCCAAAAATATGTTCTTTCTATTTTCAAAGGTTTTGTATGCACACGAATTGCAACATTAGATGAAACGGATATGTCCAAAGACGTCGAAGAGCATTTAATAAAAACATGTAAAGAAGTAAGGAAGATCTTTAATGAAATAATGCATTTGCAAGAAAGAAACTTGTTTGTTAGATTTCCTCGGCACTCGATGCGGAAGAATTTGTCACAATAATTAAATTACTCTCAACACTTCGTTCGATGCAAACATTAATCGCACGACAAGAACTTGTCAATTTGATTATAAATCAATGTAACTTAGAACAAGGATGGAATGTAAGACATTCGCAAGACTTGAAAAGAAATCTTGATAAGTATTTATTGATTGTAGGGTGTCGATGCCGATCGATTGAGTCTTGTTGTTAATTATATGGGTCATGCAATGAGTTTACTCTCTGTAAGTGTCATACGAAAGTTGAAGGCATGTGTTTGATCGATAGATTTGTTTAGAAAAATGTTCATTCGACAAAATTTGTGGTTTTTATGCTTGATTACGTGATTGAACATGTGGATAAATTGGTGCTTTCGTCGGATGATAAACTTGATCTGTTTCGAATTCTTGCTGAAATGTGTCCATTTTCGACAGAATTCGATCGACCCAAAGAACGTTTAGCAAAATTATTTAATGTTTTAATGGTAAGATTCGTTGGAAAAAAAAGATTTGAATGAACGTCTCTCACGAGATTTTCTTTAGACATTTTTACCTGAACCTCCTGTCGAAACAGAAACAATTTCTAATGAAACTACTCCGGATTTTCAATTTTCATTTATTGAATGTTTAATGTATGCCTTGCACCAATTGTCGAGAAAATATCCCGATTTTCTCATTGCTGAAGAAAATGAAGAACGTGTGAAAGATTTCCGTTTAAGGTAGATGGTTGGAATTTCATCCGGAAGAGAACTCATTCCGTTCTTGATTTAGATTACGTTACCTTTATCGTGGCGCTTCATCATATACCACTCAATTGAAGAGTTGTTTGAATGAGAAAATCGAAGGCGATGAACAAGACGAACGAGTAGATTGGAAAACGAAAATTTATCGATTGTTGAAATGTTTTTCTTTGTAGAAAAAATCGCGACTGATCGCCTATAAAATCTGTTCGAATGTACAAGTTATGATACGTGATTTATGTCGTTCACCGCCATCGTTCAAATCCAATGTGGTTCTCTCATGGAAAACAAATGTTCGTATTTGTTTTTCATTCTAGAAAAATGAGAAAAATACTTATCGGTTTTCTTTATTCTAGGAAGAATTGAAAAGATCACTTTCCGAAACTGATGGTGGAACATCAGCAACAAACAAAAATGGCGCCGGAACAAATAATAATGGTAACGCAGGAAACAAACGTGCTCGTCCAGAAAAACAACTCTATCGACCTCCAAGTGGTGGCCAAGTCGGTGGACAAAAGAACCGTCGCGGCGGTTATCAACGATACTGACAGTTTCCAAACAAACAGCTTTTTCTTGCGTTCGAAACCGAGAGATCATGTGTTATTGATGTTTGTGTATTTCCTCAATGAGAAAAAAATAACGTAGCTCTATGTATTTGTTTCTTGTTCTGTTTGCATGCAAATCTATGTGGATTTCTCTTGCGGTATTTCTTCTTTCGATCAACTGATTTGTTGTTTTTCTTTTGTTTCACAAATAAAAAGGTGAAAAAATTACCAGTTCAATCGAATGTCATATTCGTATCATTGAATACATCTAACCTTGTCTATAATTAGACCAGCACTCGATGAATACTTCTCATCTGATCATCATTCAACAATGCTACTATTCTTATATTGGTAACATATGAAATCACTACTTGAGTCTGATGTAATAGGCACTTGACGAATGCGAAGCGATTCAATGTTATGGAATAGTTCAATTTAATTGCTTATCGTTTTTGCTATTGACCAGCAATTTTGTATTATTTCCTTTTTATAAAAAAAAAGCCGAACAAAGGTACAGTGGTTGACAGAGAAAGAGAAACGACCATTAATATACATACGTGTGATAATCATGAGAACAAACACAACAGTCACAAAGAAAAAAAGAATGCCGACATACATACACACTCACACATAGGCAAAAATGTTCATTGGAAACATCGAAAAAGAAGAAGAAGAAAAAAAAATATATATATCGATCTCTAAAGACAAATTATAGTCAGATACGTATGTATGCAGTTGTTTAATACTTTGATTCTCATGTCAATGCATATAACTCTGTTAACGCAATGACAATGATAGATAGTTGAAAGACATATTTATAGAAATGAGGAACTCGTTCGCTTTCTCGAAAATCTCAATCGTTGTTTTTATATTCATGTTTCGAAAGAGAAAGAGAGAAGGAAATGTGTGTTTTGTTTCACTGTAGAGATTCGTGTGTCTGAAGAGAAATGAAATAAAGAGGAGCGTCGAGCACATAGATGGAAAATGTCCGTTCGCGTGTTTTTCGTACATCAATTGTCATTGCTCGTTTTCCAAGATGATTTTCGTCCACTGAAAAACGACCGAACAGACGAGAAAGAAATGTTTCGGATGCGTTTTTGAACGCCAATGTGCTTGAGAAGATAAGAAAAGAAGAGGCAGGAAAGAATGAAATAGATGTGATATGTGTTTACTTGCACATACGCACACATAGCATCGATACAAACAAGAAAATGAACAAAATTGTTAAAAGAGAAATCAGATTGAGAATTAATCGCCGGGATGTTCAGGACACGATCGATTGATTCGAAACCAATTGTCAATACAACTAAAAAATATCCAACATTAATATATATCATATTTATCTCCTAGACAGAAAACTTTCAAATCCAATCAATTGCAAGAAGTCCTACTAAGCGTTCGATAGGAAAAGTCTTATGTCGATATGAAAATAATAAACGATCTATTTGGCTATAGAATATCGATAATCTTTAAGATTGTGTTTCGACTAGTCCCCGAAAGGTCAACATCAATCATAGAAAAGAATAAAATCACGCACCTTTTATGATAGATGCACAGGCATGGTAGTCGAGCAATTTTCTGTCCTATTAATAAATCATCAAGACAAATGACACATTCGCCTTTATCTTCCGTCAGTGTATCTTCTAAAAAATATCCAAAGAAAACAAAAAAAAACGAGATTCTCACAAGTTAATTTGTTCAGAGAAATAAACAAACCGTTATAATCTATTCGTGGTTTCGATAAACATTTTAGAATATGTTTATCAAATGAATCACTTGGGATTGTTTTATGACACACGGGACAAGAAACGTCACGCAGAGCAATTATGAAATGTTGTAGTCGCCGATGAGCTTGAGGAGAATCATCTTCTGAACTAGCATCATCCGATTCATGTTCAAGTCCAACATAACGTAATAGGTTCAAATTGAATGCTGTTGTTCCTAATGGATCGATATTCGTCGATGTCGTACGATGTCGAGTATTAGTTGCAGCGTTACCACCGAATAATCCATGAGAATTGTGATGACCACTACTAGAACGATGACGGTATCCAAGCGAATGTTGTTGTTGTTGATGATGATAAGAACGACTTGTACTATTAGTACGTGGATGTGATAAACCGGCAGCAGCGTTCGAAGCAGCAGCTGTTGATGATGACGATGCCGACGATGGCGGAGTTGTCAGACGGCCACCCATATGTTTTATGAACGGTAAAAGAATTTCGCGTTATTTATTGAAGAGAAAAAGAACGATGAAGTAATTTGTTTTAATATAGATAAATAAGATCAACGAATCATAACTATCGGTACATCTAAAGTGAAGCAAAAATCGATTTGTTACGAGCGAAAGGTATTATTGACTATCTTAATTACCATCCGGATATCACGTTAAATAAAAGAGAAGGAGAAGAAAAATGACAAACAATCAACAATAAACATCATACGTCTGTCCATTCTATACCGACTGAGTATGTGTCGACATCATAACTGCATTTTCATTGGTTGATTTATTAAAGTTACGAACGTACGTTTCTTTCCTCTTGCCAAGACAAGCCCCTCGGGTTCAGTCCGAATCTGAATTTAAGTCAAGACCGTTTAATCTCTAATCATATGGCTAAATACAACTCCCGTCTGTCCGTTCTTAAATTTTATATTCCCTCTTCCATACGTGGACATTTGTGTTTATTATTCATTTCGTGTTTAATATCGGCGTCATTCTCTTTTCTGCTAATTTATTCGAATATCCACGATATTGGCCTATTTTTCACTTCTCTATTCGCGCCAATATCTTTTAACCTTGCTTTATCGAGATCGGCAGAATCATACGCCGGAAGAAAGGCTGGTTTATCAGTTTATGATCAAAATATTCTTTACAATGATTTCGATTATTTAAACAATAGTACATTAACTTTTGAAAAACGAATCTATTCTACGAATATACAAGTTCTATATCGTTTACCGAAGAAAATACCCATCTTCGCTTTATTATTGATCTTTCATGGATGTAGTCGCTCGGCGAATGATTGGTTTACGACGATCGAACGACAACGTATTGTCGGCGCTGCCGTTGATCTCGGCTATGGTTGTTTAGCATTTCAATCAACTGATCAGTTGTCACGTTGTTGGTCGAGTGAAAGTGAACTGTCACAGAATCCAGATGTACAAATGGTATGGAATGGACTGGATGAATTTTATAAAGAACATCCGACACTAAGTATCTAAAATGCACACGAGTTTTTTTGCGTAGTTTAATATTGACAAACTTTATTACTTTTTAAGAATCATTGCCACGATTTACGTTCGGCGCGTCGAGTGGTGGTATATTTTCGAGTGTATTTGCAACGAATTCTCGTGATAAAATTCAAGGTCAAATCATTTTTATTTCCATCGTTCTTCCTGACGTATTGGAAACACATGTGAAAAAAGGAAACTATCCATCCACTGCTTGGATATACGTACGTTCAAATAAGAATGTCTCTTTCCATAGGAATTAGGCCATTTTTAGATGACACGTGATACGGAATTTGCTTCCGAGGCGCGTATCAACGAATCGATGAAGATCTTTGCTCAACACAACATTCCACATATAAGTTTTGCAATCACACCTATTCCAATAACTGCAACGATCTTTCACGAGCGAATTCCAACGATAACCAAAGAAACCTCGAAACATATTGTCTATCTGCTTCAGAGCAAAAATTGGTTAGATGCCGATGCTTATCTCAGATATAATCCGCGACGTCGAAATACATGGCGAGACTTTATCTTTCTGACAAGCAATAAAACAATTACAAGTACAAGTATTTTGGACAATCTCAACGCTCATCAAAATGTTCTTCCTGATTTCTTCAATACACTTTACGGCGAACATGAAATTAGTTTCGAACGTTCATTGGAAGCTTTGCAGTGGCATCAACGAATCTCAAAATCGAAACAAAATTTTACGTCCTAATTTTTTTTTGTAAAAAGTAGTACACAATTGTTTTTCTGTGATAACATTTTTATTCTTCTTATCACATATTTTCGATATCTGTTCGATAGCAGCGCATACGTATCAAAGAAATGCTAATATTTATTCTTCTCAAAATATGTTTTTCTGTCTTCAGTTTGATTCATTGCCAGACGTGTACCCATGCCGAATCGAAAAACAAAAAGCCAAGCGCATGCATTTGTCGGTGCTATCGATCAAGGAACATCGTCATCGCGTTTTCTTGTATGTGTTTCATTTATCATCTGAATACTTTACGATTGAACTTTGAAAGATTTTCGATGCATCGAACCTGGAACTGGTCACATATCATCAAGAACCTATAAAATGTTTGACACCACAGCCAGGCTGGGTTGAACAAGATCCGAATGAAATTCTCGAAAAAACGACCCTTTGTATGGAAAAAGCGGTGGAAAAGTTCGAAGGACTTGGACATCAAAAGTCTGACATTAAAGGTAGATTATTATAAGTAAAGTTTGCTTAGAAAGATATTTGCATTATTTATGTAGCGATTGGAGTAACCAATCAACGTGAAACAACCATCCTATGGGATAAACAAACAGGAAAAGTTCTTCACAATGCTCTCGTTTGGTTAGATGCACGTACACAAGAAACAGTTGATTTTTTATTGAAACAATATAATAAACGACAAGATTGTCTTCAAGTTTGTTCAATTTTCAGTAGCATTCCAATGCAAAAATCATTTCATCTATAGGAACAATGTGGTCTACCTATTTCAACGTATTTTTCTGCATTGAAAATACGTTGGTTAATTGATAACAAGGAGGAAGTAAGAAAAGCCATCGAAGCAAAACGATGCATGTTTGGCACTGTCGATAGTTGGCTGTTATATGTAATTAGTTGAGAATTTTGTTTTAAGCATGACTTTTGTTATTACTTCGATGATTAGAATTTACTTTCCAACGACGACAAGATCGTGCATGTGACTGACGTGACAAATGCTAGCCGTAAGAAGAAAACAAGACCCATTTTCTAATAGATGATCTATTTTCTGCTTGACTTTCATGTTATATAAATAATTCATTCAATCAAGGTTGATTTTCGTTGTTTGCGTAGGAACAATGCTGATGAATATTCGCACGTTGAAATGGGATAGTAATCTCTGCCAGTAGGAAATGTTTTTTTTTGTGAATGAACAACAATGATTAGTTGAATTTCGTTTTCTTTACGATCCTTTTAGCTTCTTCAGTATTCCGGAACATATTCTACCCGAAATTAAATCATCGGCGACTATTTTTGGTCATATTAATAAAGGTCCATTGCAAGGTGTGCCTGTTGGAGCAGTAAGCATCGAGCATGTGTCTCGTTGAGAAAGTTAAAGTTCTCGTGGACGATTTTAGGTACTCGGGGATCAACAAGCTGCGCTTGTTGGACAAAAGTGTTGGAGTAAAGGAACAGCTAAGAGCACGTATGTGTCGATAATGATTCTCAATAAATAATGTTATCTCTTGTTGAAATTTTAGATACGGTATAGAATAATGCGAACGAAAAAGTGTTCTATATTTATTTGGCTTTTTTTCATGAGATAGGTACTGGGTGCTTTATCCTCTATAACACAGGCGAGGATTTAGCATACTCTCGAAATGGTTTATTAACAACTGTGGCATATAAATGGAATGATGATGATGCGGTTTATGCTCTCGAAGTGCGTAAGTGGTTGTGATCATTTGGTCACGAACACAAAATGTTGAACACGAAAATAGAATTGACCTACATGTATTTATGACTATAACGATAGTGCTTTTTATGAATGTAGGGTTCGATTGCTATTGCTGGTGAATGCATCAAATGGTTACGTGATAATCTTGAAATAATTCCTGATTCTCAAAGCACTGGTTTGTTGATTTATATGATTGAAAGAAATATTGATTTCTATCTGCTGTATGTTTCATTTGTTAGAAAAAATTGCAGCTTCGGTGAGTGATACCGGTGGTGTGTATTTTGTCCCTGCATTCTCAGGTCTCTTCGCTCCGTATTGGAGATCTGATGCACGAGGTAAGACACTTTCAAGAAATAATGTCATCGAAATCTAAAATCTGCTATAGGTCTTATCATGGGAATGACTCAATATACGACGAAAGCACATATCGTTCGGGCAGCTCTCGAAGGTATTTGTTATCAAACTCGAGAGGTAAGATATTTGTATTCGTTATTCTCTTTTTTGCATATATTTTCTATTTTTATCAAATTAGATCACTGACGCGATGTATGATGATAGTGGTGTGCGCCTTTCGAAATTGAAAGTCGATGGAGGAATGGCGAATAATAAAGTTTTTCTTCAAATGCTTGCGAATATCGTTGGTTTGAATGTCTCTGCGCCGAGTCTGTTTGAAACAACAGCTTTAGGAGTTGCACTTGCTGCTGGCAAAGCAAAAGGCATTGATTTGTTTGAGTTGGACGATGAAGATGAAATTGAAACTAAAATGAATTCATTCATTCCGCGAATACAGGGCAAAGGTGAGAACATCAAAATCGAATTAAATTGCTCAATTGTATCCATCTACGATATTTTTAGAACGTGAAGAACATTTTCATGCTTGGAAAAAAGCTGTTATTAAAAGTTTCGAACGTTTCACACCGCCGTTCAATATTGAAAACAAAAGTAAGATTTACTTCTATATGCATATATCGTTTGTACATTAGACGACCTATTTTTCAAGGTGTACACGACGACAAATCTCATTTATCATCACGAACAATTGCCTGGGCGACGATAACAACTTTGTTTGGTGTTCTATTGTATATGAGTTCTCATCATCATTGATCATATTCATGTGACTGAATTCGTTCTTTTTTTAATATCATATACATCTGCATTTTTTATGTCCGGTGTTGTTTTATAATTTGCTTTTTCTATACATTTAGTTAGATGTTGCTTTTTCAAAAGTTTTCTTTCTGGGTGCATTGTGATACATTATTCTTTATTTGAAACAAATAAAGATCTGATGAGATAAGTAAAACATGACATGTCAAATTCTATTAGCCAACGAGCTTAGATTTTCTTATTTGACGAATCAAAATGAATGAATATTTCACGCGAATGATAGCCGAAACGTTAATTGATTCAAAGTAGATTTCCGATTTGATTAGATGACGTTTCATCGAAATTGATAGCAGACCGGTTTTTAATATTTCGGAAATTCGATCAATTTCCTTCTCTCAAGGCATTGCTTCGATTCGCATCTCGTTTTGTCATAATGATGGATGAAGAAAGAGACTCATGTGTATAGCAACATTAGTAATAGTGTGGCACTATTTTTGCTCTTTGATTGTCAGATAAAATGAAGAAAATAAGTGAGAGCGAAAGAGAGAGAGAGAGAGAGAAAAGAAAGAGAAAGACATTGTTGTCGATGAAAAGAAAGTAGTCGAAGCATTTGTATATTCATTATTCTCATCGAAGGTAGTTGATCACAAAGAACAAAAACACGTCCTTATTATCATAATCATTAATTTTTCTCAACAAAACGCTACACGGTAATTCAATCGTTGTTAAACATCAAATATTTTCTCGAGAAATCAACACGGACAGTAAATAACCTATTTTGCTTTTTAGAAAATACGCATATTCCTTTTATTGAAGCGGTCCTTCTCTGATGCAGTATAAATAGACACAGAATTTGTCTTTGTTTAGTGAGCTTTCCAAGTAGAAAACACTTGTTGTTCCAAAAAGATAATTAAGGCGTAGGCTGTTGTTTTTTGGGGAATAAAAGTTAAATATCCTTGCATGCATGCGTGCATTTTTATGAGATTCTTGCGATTAATTTAGGCAGATTTTCTTGATAAGCATAATTCGCGGATCGATATCGGAACATGAACTTTAATTCTCTCTCTCCCTCTCTTTCCTCCTTCCGTTTACATAAGTATCGTATTATAAAAGACAAGCATCTCATTTCTTTTTTTTTTCAATGAATCTTATTAGCTTGAGAGTATTACAAAGTGCTGTAGATTTATAAGACAAGCAATCCCTTATTGTGTATTGGAATAGTCATGTGAGTATTGTTTTAAAATAGAATGAACATGTTTCTTTTGAAAAAACATACTAAGAGAAGTGAGACAATAGGAAGAAAAGATTCATCTGTGTTTGTTTTGTTTGGAAAAACAGACTATTTATATAAGGAGCGTTCCAATCGCAATGACGTTCGATCATAACATAGACAATCTATGCACATGCATGTTCATGCATTTAGATAGCGAAGACAGCTTAGGCGCATGTCACGAAACTAGAGAGCCGGGAGGAATCTGCGGATGCTGTTTCATCATCTTCATTATTTGTGTCAGGACCGTTTCATAGACACATTAGGAAATCTTCTTTTCTCCTGAGGAGATGAATGTTCGGAGGGATTTTACTTCGCAACTAAAGATAACTTTTTTTAGATTTCTAAAATTTGAACTATTGAAAATCGAACAATGCTTGGTCGCATCCTTCAATTAACATTATCCTTCAGTGCTCTATTTCTGTTCATTACTCTTTTCTGGCAATGTCCCATCGCCGATGCTGTGCCGGTAAGTCTAGCAATCTCTTCTTGATATATTACATGCTGCCACCCGTGCATATTTATCTAAGTATATATATATAGTTGATACTATTTTCATTAGTACTGACAACACACAAACAGCAAATAGCACTTTACTTGGTTGTTGATTACACGTTTTTGTCATGACTTAAAAAAAAGAAACCGATTTGTTTTTTTTTAGGAGGACATGGATGGGAGGATCTTGAATAGACGACTAATTTCGCCCTCAGTTATAGTCCTTTCAGCGTAATTCGATCTATTAAGTTGATTACTTTTTCTATAAAGAAAATTGAAAAAAGCATCTAATAGGAAGTTCTATATGACATTCTCCATTACGGATTTTCCCATCAAAATCAAAAGGGCGGATGTGGTGACATAGAACCCTTCTATTGTTTGTTCTAGGTTTTGGCTACGGATGACAACATGGATAAATCTAATGACGATGCATCACGATTGTTATATAGCAGTAGTCATACGGGTGCGATTATTAAAAAACGCTTCTTGCACACGACTGTTAATCAACCATGGTTGATCGATGGTCCACCTATTTTTTCACCTCCACGCTACCTGAAAAGCACATTTCCTTTGAGTAAAAAAAATTCTTCACCAAATCTTTTTCAATCGACAGGCACATACAACAAAAATCTTCGAGCTGCCAAACGCATGAAAGCAGCATTAGACAATCGTCTCAAACGTTTTCGTATGCTTGATCAAGACGAGTTTCAAGAAATGCTCAAATCATTAAGCCAACAAACAGTCGAAGATCAATCGAAAACTTCGAACGGTATGGATGCCATCGGTGGTATGCAACTTGCAAGTAAGTTTCACTGTAAACAGCCGTTTCTTTGACTCGAAACAATTCGTCTTTCTAGACTACTGGTCGTCTGTATAAAAGAGACAATGCGAATTTCAAATGGTATATATTCTCTCTGTTTTAATGTTGATCTCGGATTGAAGAATAGTTTTTGAATGATCTATCGAAGTGATCGGATTGAATTCTATTACGAGTTTTCTTTGAAACAGTAAAAAGAAATAGAGAGAATAAAAATAAAGATCCACATTACTTTGTCTTTTCATTCATTGTCACTAAATAAATTTCTCTGAATCTTTATTGGATTAGTGTATCAATTGAATTCTTTTCTCAAGAACTTCATTTGTGATCAATGTTGTAAAATGAGGATATTTAATTTTACTCACCAAAATTCATTTTCTCACTGAATTGTGTGGAATACAAAAGAAGAAGCCTTCGCTTTGTATCGTCGAATGTCAAAAGCCTGAAGATGACGACTTCTTGATGCTAATCAACCGAAAAATGAATACTTCCGCACTCATTTATATTACTTTACTTACATAACAAACGAAGTACACGACTGATCATGAAAACTTAATGTCTTTCGAGAAAATCTCGAATAAGTCATAAATTTAATCAGCGTTGTGTTAGTATATCATAAAACCATACCCACCAGAGGGAAATAAGTGTATTATTTGCTTGAATCATTCTATCAATTCTTAATGAGTTTTTCTCCTTGTCGTCAGATGATGATTTCTTCAAGGGTAATGTAACGATCAGAGACTATTAAGTGTGAAAATGGCAAGCTTCTTTCCAAGTGTTGCTCGACCCCAATTATACTCTTTGTCCTTTTCTTATGTATTTCCGCGACAGAAAACTTCATTTCCTTTTTGAATTTTGCACCAATTCAATCAATCCGAGATGTTCATGTGACGATGGAATAGAGTTTTATTAAAAATAAAAAGTGAAAGAAATAAAATCACACACACACACATAGTGACAGACAAGGAAATGTGTATACATTAGTCGATCTAATTATGACGTCGAGTCGGTTTTCTTGTATAAATCGAGGAAAATATCCTTATACTTCTTTTCCACTGCAAATCGTCGTGATTTAAATGTTGGCGTTAGGAGACCATTTTCAATTGTGAATGGTTCTTTGATGAATTCGATCGCTTTGACTTGTTCATACGACATTAAACCACGTTTCTTGCCCTCACGAATCATATCATTCAAAACAACGTCTTTCAGTCCTACTTCAGTATTGGCTGCTGCACTATTCTCATTGTTTTGCTTCCATTTCTGGACAAAACTGTCATCCAGAACGACAATGGCAACAGGAAAATTCTTGTACGAATCACCGTAAACAAATATTTGAGAAACGAATTGACTACGAGAATAACAATCTTCGATTTTCTCTGGTGCTATGTATTCACCTTGGCTTAACTAAAAGAAAAAGCAAAGAAACAATCGTGAATTTTGTTTCCAGTCAATCAACTCACTTTATACATATTCTTCTTTCGGTCGATGATTTTCATAGTGTTATTTTTTGTCCACCGTCCGATATCACCTGTGTGTAACCACCCGTCTTCATCAACAACTTCTTTTGTTTTCTCTGGATCTTTCAGATATCCACTGAAGACGGCCTGACTTCGAATACAAATTTCGCCAACGCGATCTCGTGCAAAATAATCCTTCTCAGGCACATCAACCAATTTGACGTGATTGAAACAAGTTGGAATACCCGTTTCACCAGATTCCATATCATGTAAGGTTTGCCAACAACCTATCACACACTCGGTTTGTCCGTATGCTTCAATGAAAAAGCACGAAAATGCTGCACGTGCAAATTGACAAACTTCAGCCGATAGTGGTGCACTTGAAGAAATAACACGTCGGACTTGTCCGCCGAATTGTTTGCGAACTTTGTCAAATAATAATTTGTCCCAGAGAGTATCTTGTGCGAAATCACCGCGTCGTATAAGAGCAAGTTTACCATTAACAGCTAGTCGGAATAGGATTCGACCTGGTAAACCTTTCTTGAGAACTTCTCCTCGAACTTTATCATATAACTTGTTCAATAGACGAGGGACAATTGATAACATTGTGGGTCGAAAATCTCGGAAATCATCCAATAATTTCTCGACTTTGCCTTGCCAAAAGCCAACTTCTCCACCTAAGTAATTGATTGCTACCACTGTTCCACATCCAAACATATGAGCCATAGGAAGGAAGTTCATCGCGCGTGGTACTTCATTTTTTCCCAATGATTCTAAATCAATCGCTGTGGCACAACCAAACATTGCACAGAGAAAATTTTCATGTGTAATAATACAACCTATAAATCAGATTAAATTTTGATCTGAATTAATACAATGATTTCATTTACCTTTGGGTTCTCCAGTACTTCCGCTTGTATACATAATTAAAGCTTTATCACTTGGCTTTGGTGCATTGAACTCAATGGGATTTTCTCGGCCGAGTTCTTTCAATTTTTCATACGTCATCAATGTGAGCTTTTTCTCCTCCGCAGCTGCCAGTAAATCAGGTGTTGGGTCAACAAATGTAATTATTGTCTCCAATGCTAATGTTTCATCCTTCCAATCAATTAGATTGCGCACACGTGTCACATCATCAGCAAAAATTAATCGGACTTCAGCATGTTTGATTATGAATCGTACACCATCGCGACCGAGTGAATCATAAATGCCAACAGGAACCATTGAAAATGGCCAACAAGTATAAACAGATAATGCATAGTTAACTGACGCAGAACCATAAATGCCAATGAACGTTTGATTGGATGGTTGAAGACCGAGTTTAGCGATACCGCTACCTGTTTCTTTAATTATTTGAAAGACTTGTCTAAAGCAAAAAACAGTAAATATGCAGTTAAGTGTCGAACGGCAATATCTTACTTGTAGGTATATGACTTGAATGGTTCATCTGACGATAATCTGTAAGAAAATTGTGGTCGATCACCACCAATTTTCAATCCGCGCATGAAAACATCATATAGGGTCGTTACTCCAATGGAATCGAAATCTTGCAATTTGTCCACATGATCCGGATGAGCGTAAATATGTTCCTTTTTATCAATTTCCACTGCCCCTTTTTTCTTGACTGGCCTGGTAAAAAGAATTTTGAAAATCTTCGTCGTAGAGTTTAGTAGCAGACTAATTATAATCACTAAACCAGTGATTACACCGGTGAGGAGCAACGCCGCCATACTTTTCACTACTAAAAACCGAAAAAAAGATGCAAAAAAATCATGTACAAAAAAGTCTATTTCATAATTACCTAGGAATAATTACTCGAAGATAAATCTGTCTCTTGGTATATTGTTGTGTTTTTTTTCTATTTAGATTGCTAATGTAAGTAAACGCAAATATTTATATGTATATACTAAAGTATATGAAAGAGATAATAATGTAAAAGGTATGCAACTGAAATTTTTCTGCTCTTGTATCAGTGTTTTTTCTCTTTTTCTTTTTTGAAAAGATAAACAACAAACGATGACATGGATATATGCCTATATATCGCAGTCGAATACTGAATGGTTATCACGAATAGAAGAGAAACACTTGAGAATTGTTATTTGAAGAAAAGAATCTTTTTTGTTGTTTTGTGTCCATCTGAGAGAGAAAAATGGGTTAGTTATAGAAAAAAAGACTTATTAACGAGAGGATAACCTATTTTTGAATATATTCATACTCGCAGTTCTTCCTTCGAAGGGACAAGATAAGAAAGTGATCTATATCACAAGCATCGTATGATGTTTTTTTTGCAAAAATTCAAAGTAATGCTTGCGTAGCTTCATTCCGAACCAACGATTGAAAATAGAAACTATCGGACACGTTCGACTTGAAGTACATGTTGAGAAAACATCTGAGAGAGAAATTACTAAAAGAAGGGGTTCTGTTTGCCGAAGAGTAAAGTTTAGATGGGTATATATTCATATAAGAATTCTTGCTCCATGATGAACTTTCTAGTATATAAAAGTACTAAAACAATACGAAGATAAGATAGAGTTTAGATACTATAAACAGAAAAACAAGATATTTATAATTTTGTATTTAAGGTGAAAGCAGGTACTCGAAGAAAGATTGACTATTCGATATTTTAAAAAATCCTCTTATCGGTGACAAAAATTTAATTTAAACTAAAAATACTAACTTTACTTCAAATTTTTATCAAGAACACACGCTAGCGTAGTCTGAAACATTTGCTGATGCCGAAGTGTCACCAAAAATCTGCATGAAAACGACACGTACATCCGTACGGCAGGTCTCAGAATATCGTCTAGTTTGTCCATTCAAGCGGCTCTACGAGTTTCACGAAATCGATGTCGTTGAAAATCTAACCATTGTGAGTAGACAATGTTCGATGCGGAAGATGCATTCGCAAACAAATCCGGACGAATAACATCTTAAAATATACAAGCCATGGTCAATCTAAACCTATTTGAAAGCACACGATTATACTTACAGAATAGGTAGGTGTAGAAAAAAGCAAATGTAGTGACGAGACTATGAATGAATATCAAGTAGTACTCGTCATCGGACAGATAAGGTAAAAGGTAGCGGAGAGGTGCGAATAGAACATGAAATCCACTGAATATTGTTTCGCCGATGGAATAGATCGAGTTAGTAAAAAGTGGAATGCGTTTTTCTAGAAGAATTAGTACGAAATAGATGAGAAAACTTAAAAATATCGTGAAAAAATAGATCAATAAGGTAATGAAAAAATATCGCCGAACATGAGTCGACAAATGAATCATTATGAAAATAAAAAAGAACACATCGAACAAAAAGGAAATTAAACAAAAATCATATAGTCAAGGTAACAGAATTCGAGATATCCTCACTCATTAATTAATTCTCTGAAACATTGAATACACCACAATTATGCAATACCGATGTGTTCTAGTTGCGGTACAACAAAACAAAATTTATGTTTTGTCATGCGATCGTCGAGAAATAGTAGAGGAAAAATCAATAAACATTACTCGAAGGTAACGTAATTGGTAGAAAGAGAAAAGAAGAAAATAGTCTAACATGCAATAATGAATGCGTCCATAGTCAAACCGCTACACTTCCTCATATTCAACTGTGACTCTCATTTGAATATACATACACGTTAGCATTACAAAGAAGTTGACGTCATCGATGACAATATACATTGAGTGGGGTTACTCCATTTATCTGATGACACATCGATGAATCACATACTTCAAAATCTTGACTCTTTCGTTTCTTCTAAACGCAATCATTTTCATGATGAACACTAGAATTCGACAGCACTTTGCAACTTATATACTTTCTTAGTAGGACAATAGCCTTGAAGGTGTCATTAACCTGAATGACTAAAACAGTCCTTCTGCGTTTTTTTTTCTTCTAATCGTCTTATTTCTACAAGAAAAAGAAATTGAAGAAGATTAGCAATCTACAAATGAAGAAAACATTATCTGTTGTGAATTTGTGTGCATTTTATTGTGTTTATTAAAATAAACTATGTACAAAGTATATCGAAACGAAAAGCAAAGAGAATAATCTCTACCAACTTGTCACAGAGTGCAGATTAAAAATGAAAATAAACAAATAAAAGTTATATTATCAACGAACAGACACGATACTCTGACGCGAGCTTCTTTCATTGAATATTAATCTGTTTCAATGCTTGAACTGCGTCGGCTGGTAATTCTTGCCCAAGTTCCTTGTACAACGATTGTAAAACTTGTAATTCTTTCATTAGCGTATCGACACGTTCAGTTAATACACGATTGTCTTCAGCTAGTTTGTTCATTCGACTTTCGGTTTGCTTTTGTCGTTCCTTAGCCTTTAATCGACTATTTTTAACCGATTCATTGTTTTTCGTTCGTTGATGATGATATTCGTCCGAATATTTGATTACTTTCTTATTTCCAAATCGAGCTACTTTACACTTGGACACATCTTCTCTTTTACTGTCATTGGCACTCATTGCATTCGACGTAAAATAATGTTTCTCAACCGAATAACAACTTCAACTTGATCAAAAACATCATCAACAACCGATAATAACATTTGATTCGACCGTACAACTACCAATCACGATTCGTCATGTGTAAACATCGAGTCTATAGAGGTCTCTCGTAGTCAACCATATCTTTGCGAAAGAAAAACAGACAATACGGGTAGATGTAAGAGTTTCGGTTCGGTCATCGTCAATCAATATGCTGTTTCATGATGATCGATCATGATAATAAAAGACTGATGCGCTTTTTTTTGTATGTGTTTTTATTGAATGTGTTTAGAGTATCGATACATGAAAAGCAAGTTAAACAGAAAAATAGTAAGTAATTTTCGGAAAATTACTTCAACTCATCTCATCTCATCTCCCCTTATGACAATAAAACGTTTTCAATGATGCATTGTGTGCATAAAATTTAAGAAGAAAGAACATAGAGAGACTTTTTTTTCGATTTCATGATTATTTTTGACAAATCAACAAACTATTACTACCCTATCCGTATCTCGCTTGCTTTTTTTTCTTAAAAAAAGCTGGAGAAAAAAGACGATTGAACATAATTCTTTGAAGCCATCGACATTGCATTTGTTTTGGTCGTTCAATGTGTGTTGTTCGACGCCAGTGTGGATGCAGCTGGAATATCATGTTTGAGTTCTTTGTAGAGTGATCGAAGAACTTGTAATTCTTTCATCAATAAATCGACGCGATCGTTTAACACACGGTTTTCTTCAGTTAGTTTGATCATTTGAGCGTCGCCAGATTTTTGTTTTTCTTTGGCTTTCATTCGACTTTTCTTAACAGCTTCATTGTTTTTCAATCGTCGGTCGTGATATTCGTCGGAATATTTGATCACTTGTTTGTTGCCAAAACGAGCTAGTTTACGAACTGGACCACCGCTCTTCTTGACTCCACGTCGATTCATATCGTCACGTTCACTGTCTTCGGAAACGGGTGAATTGATTGAAGAAGTTGTTGTTTCATCATGTGTTGAAAGGGATGGTAGGCCTGTGGAAATCTCCTTTGTGGAATAGTCATTGGATTGCTCCATTGGGACGCTGGTGAGTTCTTGAATTGTCATAAGTGGATCGAAATCAGAAAATAAGTCACCTGATAGTTGATCTTCAGATAGATCTTTGAATAGGTCGTCTTCTAAATCAAGATCAGGCAATGGAGTTGTATTGTCAAGGATTTGTTGGATGAAGGAAGTATCGCCGATTGGTAAATCAAATGATGGTTCAAGTGTTGTATAGGTCGACGATCCGGAGGGAACAGCTTCGGTATTAAAGACACTTATAAGTGACCCGTCGGAGCTGTGTACCTGAAGGGAAGATGAAGGTTTTAAATTGTTCTTTATATTTTCAATGGCTGCATGATATGCTGCCGATGTTAATGTCAGATTATCTGCTTTCTTCTCAAATATGTCGTCTAACTCTAGCTCATCTATGGGTTCATATTTGATTATTTGATCGTGATGATTGTCCTTACCGAATCTGAAGACGCAGCTAATCTCGGCGGGTATAGTAATTGCTCCATCGCTTCCTGGTTGAATAGGCTTTGTGGTATATTTAATGTTTGACATGTTGTCGGTAATGATTCGTCGAAGAAGGAGAAGGGTGATAAAGCCGTTGTAATTTCTGTCTCTTGTGTTTTTGTATTAGACACGGTTAATGTCGCTTCAAAAATTTGATTCTGTGTACAAATTTGGACCTGCACTTTATCGGCTTTCGGAGAATTAGTAATTGTAGACAATGTTTTGGCGCACTGGCGTCGCGTACGGATAAACGTATGAATGTCGATGAGAAAAAGTAGTCGTAATGACGAAATTTATTCTCTTTTTATACTCTCTTTTTTCTCTTTCTCTTTTTTCTCTTTTTTTCTCTCTTTTTGTAAGTTTCGCAATTACATACATTGAAATTGCACCATAAGTCGCCAATTTTGAGTCATGCATAGTTCTCTTTCCTATGTTATTTCCTTTGTTCTCTTAGCGTCATTATTTACTCGCGAAATTATATTTGAAGAACGAAGAAAAGAGGAGAGAAAATGTCGAGAACAAACAGACTAATAAGACAAGCGTCATTGCTGACTGTATGACTCATGAAAAAAACTACGACAGAAAAAGAATCGCATCTTCACCAATGAAGTTTTGCGATTGGTCTTATTTGTTGGATGTTATCCATAGTTACTTTATACATTGATGACGTGCGATATACGTAAACATGGGCTAGTTTACGTGGCATTGCTTTATCATGCTAAGATAAGGAAAGACTCTAGTGTGAATAAGTATTCATGATTGATATTGTCGTGTGCAAATAAGGTTGAAAGGCGTTTTCCATCTTCTTTTATATAGTTTTTAGTAAAGGAGACATTGCATGAGAGAAATTGCGCAGCAATGACGTTCTTACACAATTACATCATTCGAACAGAATGAAAAAGAAAACGAAGGGGATCTTGTTTTGGCCATTTTGTTTCTATCTGAGTTGGCATATGTTGTTGCATCAGATATTTTCGAATGATATAGACAAGCAGGATGAAATTTTTAAAATACGTACTCTCAGAATTTCAAAACATTTATCGCAAACAATTAAAATAATTTGTATCATCTACTTTAATAGTACACTTACAATGAAAATTATAAAGATTAAAAATAGAAAAAATCGCAGTGATGAATAAAATTACTCCGTGATGTTTTTTTTCGTCTTCTCATCCATTGTAGATTCGTATCCTTCGTTGGGAGTATTCTTTTCATCGACAGATGTCAATCGTGATGATTCAGTAAGATGTTCAGTTGGCTTCCACACATCATCTGTATCGACTACGGCTTGCTAAAATGCAAACAAAATTTATTTACTTCGCGCATATTCCATTTGTCTTGTCAACTCTCAATAGGCAAAGAAGGAACTTACTTTTAGGCTCTGCCCTTTTGTTTCAATTGGCAAAAAACATGCACATAGGGCTCCTAAGCCTATCACTGCGATATATATGCCAATAGTTGCATGATACGCTCGCTTGACTAACGCTTGCGCTATGTAAGGTGCTAAAATGCCGCCGATTCTTCCAATTGTTGACCCGCATCCTACAGCGGCGGATCGTACCACCGTTGGATAGACTTCCATAGTGTAAATATACATGAAATTGAACTGACTGTTTAGAAACAATCGACCAAAGAAGGTAATGATACTAATGATTGTCAGTGCGTTACGAGGTACAAATAGAAGCACTATAAACCAAACTGTTGCAATAGAATATTGTACGATAGAGATTGATCGACGACCCATGCGTGGTATGAGAAAAAGTAGAAAAGGTACACCAAGCATTTCACCAAATGTCGTGAAGATCAAAGATATATAATCATTTGTTCCCAACATATGACATTTCGTTGAATTAGTCGTATTCAATACTGCATGTGAAGAATTGGTCTCCTTAGCTAAAGTCATCAACTCCGTGTTCAATAAAACAATACCATAATAGCCAAAGCAACTACTGATCCACATATATGCAAGAAGCACTGTTGATCTTCTGTATCTGGCATGAAATAGATATTTTATGGAACCACATTCTTCCTAAAAAAAAACGTCAATACTTAACACGTTCCGATGAAGATATTTCTGTCACTGTTAACATTCGTTACTTTTCAAAATAACACGAAGACTCATGCAGTACCCTTCAAGCAATTATTCAGGACAACTTACATAAGCTTGTTTATCTACTAATTTGCCTTCAGGTAATGAACGGTTGTTTGCCGCGGCTACTTTCTGTAAAACATGTTCCGCTTTTTCCTGTTGGCCGCTTGCAACATAATACCGGGGTGATTCGGGTAAGAACTATGGAAAACAGTAGTGTATCGTATTTAAATCTGTCGCAGCTATCGCTACTCACACATATGAGTAACAGAATCATGATTGCTGGAAAAGCACAAACTAATGTCAATAAACGCCATCCGTACGATGGCAGAATAAGCATTCCCAGAATATAAATCAGTATACTGCCAATTGACCAACATAGGTCAGCGCACACGTAGCACACGATACGTGCAAATGATGGTATATACTCATATGCTAGAGTAAACCTATGCGAAAAACAGAAAGTAAGCATTCGAATAGGAAAAGTTCTCTATCAAGTAGTCCTTTTTTAGTGTACACTATAAGTTACAAAATAACCAACATGGTTCGCTTTACATTTTCCAGATATACAAAACTGAGACACTCTCTAGTGTACTTTATACTCTATAACTATGTTTAACTGTTTCTTTCACTTCACTCACACTGGAGTTTCACCTGCTACAGCCAATCCAACGAACGTTCTCGATACAAGTACCCAATTATAAGTTGGTGCAATTGCCGTTGCTACTCCAAATACAGCAAGTATCACCGAACTGATCATACCAATTCTTCGACGACCGTATTTGTCAGCCAATATTCCAGAGGACAACGCGCCAATCATCATACCAAAAAAGACGCACTAAAATAAAATACCCATATACATAGAGTAGATTTCTTGGAATCGATTTTCTTAGTACGCTAGTTAACGATGCGACTTGAAAGTCCGTTATATCAGGCCAATAACATTGTAACACCGGTCCGATTATACTGAGCAGCATCATTTCCATGGCTTCAGTCATCGAAAAGAATCCAAGAATTATAGCGAAACGCCATTGAAATCGTCCAAAGCCAATATGATCTATACACTGTTCAAGATTGTAAGTTACAGTTGATTCCATCTCGTTTAGATCTAAATAATACAAAAAAAAAAACAAGAATGTTACGAAATCATTCGTCTGTCAAAAAATATTTTCCAAAGAACGATCATCAAAACGAAGCATATGCCAACTGAGAATGTCATCACAAAAAAAAAGAGAGCGTGTCAGTCGTGTATGACTATTTACATAGTTTCGTGTTATTGACGCTCTGGAGCAAAAAAGAGAAAAACGAGGTATAAAGACGCTATGATTAGCATATATTTGCGATCAAGCATATCAACCCTAGCCTTCCTTATAAAGTGAATGTATTCGCTGACATGATTGTATTTCAATCCATTGTTGATTTCATTCTTATTTTGAGAGACAACGTATTACAATTAGGTCGCAATGTTTGCAGACGGACATTTCAATCAACAACTAGGTCACTGTATGTTGCACGCACTGGTTTTACACTTTCATGGTAACCAGTCGTGATCAGGTATGTTTATATTTTTACAATTCATTTTGTAGTTTAGTCGGTATAATGTCTAGTATATAGAAGACGTTTTCAACAATATGATCGATAGCGCCATCTAGTGACATGTTTTGAACTTGATTTATTTATAATATAAAACCGCATTATGATCCAAAAAATAACAAAAATATACTGAATTTTGACAAAGAATTATCTGTCTGATAGTTGTTTATTGGTGAATAACAAGCAATGATCATAAAACAGAAAAGAGAAGAAAAAGTAGACAAGGCAATCTTCACCATGAGTTGCGACTTTTTTCTCACGCAATAACATTGTTAGATTGAATCAAGCGATTATTTTTGTTGTTCTCTATTGGTCCTTGGATGATAAAAAATGAAGACTTTTTCCAAGGGTTTATATATTGTTTATCCTTCATAGATGATACGATGAATAGCAACACAGTTCGTGAACTTAAATTACATAGTCCAGCTGGTGTTGAACCAGCTGTATTTACATGGCCAAATGTTGAACAGCAAGTAAGATGTCTCAGCAGAGTTTTCTTTTGCGTAAACGATTTGTTTAGAAAACGAAAAAAGATGCTATTTTCATCGGTGGCGATGAGATCGTTCGAACTATTCGCCTAGTATTCGAGGGTTAGTTGACAAGATTCAATTGATAATAAACACTTATTTTGCTTTTCCTGCGAATAGATTATCCGGAATTATATCAACAGAATCTTAATCTTGATTATTGTGATATTCATTCATATGTGAAAATGAAGGAACTATGTGATAAATTCAATAAAATAATCGATACACATGTGAAATTGAATCGTGGTACAGAAGCATTTTCTGCTCGTTTACAGCAACGTGCAACAGCCAAACTATTTCGTCATATATTAGCTCAAGTGTACAGTCGAGCTGTGACTGATCCAGATAAACTCCGTGATTATGAACCATTTTCACCTTCGGTATATTCACTTCGTTTGTTTCCAAGTACAAAACTGATTTTCTTTCTGATTTTTAAGGTATACGGTGAAACATCACCAGATTTAATTGATTCCATTTTGAAAGTAATCAATCTAACCGAAGAGCAAACGTTTATCGATCTTGGTTCTGGCGTTGGCAACGTTGTTCTACACGTAGCTGCATTATCTAATTGTAAACATGTCTATGGAATCGAGCACGAAGAAACACCAGCGACATATGCATGTGCTATGGCTGATGAATTTCGTTTTTGGATGCGTTGGTATGGTAAATGTTACTCGGAATTTAGCTTGGAACGAGGTGATTTTCTTTCACATCCAAAAATCGATGAATTAATTAGAGAAGTTGATGTGGTTTTTGCAAATAACTATGTGTTTGGTTCCACAGTCAATCATGGTCTAAAAGTGAAATTTATGAATATGAAAGGTAGAGAATAGTAATAACGAATATCTCACTAATCGTTCTATGAATTAGATGGTGCAAAGATTGTTTCATCCAGGGAATTTTGCCCGGAAACGTTTCGTCTCAACGATCGAACGAAAAATGATCTTGGAGCAGTCATGCATGTGTCGTAAGATCTTTTACTTGCCTCTTTTCCTGACCAATGCTTTCCTTTCTTTGTTTGTGATTTGAAGAAAACCGGAAAAACTGTTCGGCAAAGTTAGCTGGTCAGATAAATCTGTTCAATATTATCTACACGTGATTGATCATAGTAAACTAGCACTTTACTATGAAAAAGCACATCAACTTCATACAAAAGGACCCAAGACGAAGTAAGTACTAGTAAACTCTATCTGATGATATACAATGAGCTGATTTTGATTCTAGCCATTCAAAACAACATCATCATGTTGATGATTGTTCCCCGACATCACCATCGTTAACTTTGAAAATGAATCGAGTTAAAAAATCTCCAAAGATCGATGAAAACCATCCTCCAAGTTGTCATATTAAACGAAAACGAAAATCGACGTCTTCTGTACCGTCGACATCAACATCAACTTCGTCTACAACGATCAGCGCTCGCGGCCGCAAGATACGCATAAAACATCAATCAGATCAAGAATCTGAGCAAGATTCAGATGGTTTAAACGACGAATTACTCAATCCTAAACATTGTCGAACGTCAAGCAAAGATTATCAATCGACATTGAATGAATTACATGTGGCATCGAAAAAATTTATTCAATCGAGTCCACACTTTCCAATAAAAAATCAACAGTTTAATTATCAAAACATGACAAAATTATCCGACGAAAACTTGCGTCTCAATCATTTACGTGATTGTCTAGTTGAACAAGAAGATCAACGCTTTATCAATGCAATCAATTCTTACTTAGAACAGTTTCGTCAACGTCTTTTTACATACTTTGTTTACATGAAATCAGATAACTATCGCGAACATTTACGAAAACAATTAGACAACGAAATGGAGTTGAATCAAACATTAAAATCCAAAGTGAATTGCTTAGAAAATAATATCAAAGCTTTACTTGAAGATGCTATTCGTCTTCTCAAATTACGAACTAATGAATTAGGCATCGATGATTTAGAACGACCTATTCAACTAATCAGTTATGCAAGTGATATTTCGAATAAACACAAAGAATTGCGTTCGAAAGTTTCATCGTTAGAAAAAGAAATCGCTGAATACGATTATGAAAATGAGAAAATCAATTCGATTTTAAGTAGTCTTCAAACTAATGAGCGTTCTTCAGCGACTGCTTCAAATAATAATACATATTCGCAATTATTCGTGAATGCCAGTCAACAACACAGCAAAAAACAAAGTCAACATCCAGAATATTCAATCATCACACCTCTTAGTCCAAATGCGGCGAAGGAGAAAAATGTTGAGGGCAATTCAAGATCTTATTCAAGTAAAAATTGATTGAGAAAATCTTCTTTGACAAATTTTATCATTTCAGATTCGACATCAGCGTATAATATCGTTAAGGAAGAACGCAAAACCGATTTTATAATACAAAAACGAGCAAAGAAAAGTCCAAATCCGGATGGACAAACCACCGTTTCACCAATCAAAATCATCAAAGTTACTGATAAACGAAGCTCTTTGTCAGACACATTGCCTTCTTCTCCTTTACCTCAATTATCATCATCATCGTCATCAGTAACTTCGAACATGGCTGGTAGTATCGATAACCTCCTTTCAACAAAACAACTCGAACCAGTCCAAGTTCATTCAGTTGCTTCCAAAACTGGTACACAAACAAAACAAGACAACACTCTATCATCTGTATTTGTTCAATCAGTTACAATGCAAACATTACTTGAACCTTTATCTAGCAAACACGATGACGCAAAGTACGTCTAATGAACTAATTTTCTATCATCATGATTTTTCTTTATTTGATTCTAGTCAAGATTTAACTCTGCAATCGCCACGCAAGAAACGTGATTTCTACGGTAAAACACCAGGTACACCAACATCGTCGTCACCAAATAGAACCAAGTCAACTTCACCAGATAAAGCTCGACCATCGTCGACACCGCCTTGTGCAAATAGTTTTTCGAACAAGACAAGCAAACTTCCGAATCGACCCGTTTCGATTCCACCTTTGCAAACATCCTCTTAAATTTAATCTGATTACTCTCAGGGTCTATGCTAAACATTCTCAAACGAACACATTTCCATTTTTCCTCCTCTTTTTCAACACTCACATCTTCTTTTATACTCTTTTCTGTTTCTTCGTTGAATGTTCGATGAAGATCAGTATTCAAAACGGAACTTTGTCATATATACATTTAACTTCTTTCTTTTCATTTCTGTAAATCCTCTATTGTGAACTTATCCTTGCCAATGTTATATATGTCTTCTTTACTATTATCATCATTATTTTGTGTTTTTGATTTTGTATTGTTTATATATCAGTAGAACAGACGGAATAACATTTGAAAGCAAATAATAGATATAAGTTATGTTTCAGTTTTTGTCGAAATTTATAAATTCAAGTATCAATGGAAGTTCATATTTAATAAATTCGAATCAAATGAATCACACCGTAAACTGTTGACGATGACCGTTTTGAGAATTCTACGGCGAAGGCTTTTCATTTGTTTGTCATAGACTATTGCGACCCCTATGAACCACTAAAAATATTCCAAAATTCAACTTACATACGGTTGGTCAAATGACGAGTACCAATGGAATCGCAAATGCTGTCGTTGTCAATATGGCGGCAGAGTTTAACCACTTCATTTCATATTGGATTGGACATTAGGGATATATAAACGTATGACGGTGTACGCTACTTTCCTCTTTTTTTCGTTTTTAGATTCAAAATGACGTCTACATCGTTAATGATGATCATTCTGGTGATCCTCCCATTCTATTCCTGGTGTGCTACTCCAACAGTAGCCGCTAATCTAAGTCCAGCTAATATAGATGGATTGAAAGCTCAATTTCAAACAGCAATGAAATCATTTTCCGATGTAGCATCCATGCATTACACATTGGCCGGTGTTAAAGAACTCGGCGTTGTTCCTCCGGATACGTATTGCAATGATATTAAAAAATTAGTTGATAAATCCGATGTCGAATCTATCTTCCATGCCACCGAAGCCGCTCGAGCACTAGCCAATTGCAAAGTAAATTTTGCATGAAAACTAAACACTTTAATCTCAACCTTGGTATTGTATTTAGTTGCCAGCTGAAGAATATCGCGCACTCTTGACTTCGACTCTTCAGTCAGACAAGAGTACAACAGCGGATGTTTACCATGCTGTCCGTGCCAGTGTTAATCTTGGTTTGAATGTTGATGAATCCCGTGTTGAAAAACGTCTCAATGCTTTGGCCAAAACCGATGATAGTGTTTCAAGTCAAGGATACGCATTGTTAACAGGAGCCCAATTGAGTCAACCCATTGCCAAATTTTACGCGGATACAATCAATGATCTCGTTCAACAAGCTGATGAAGTCGATGGACGCACACTACAATATGAAGGTGGTGTTGGTACAACCGCCCTTTTGGTCAACGCGTTTTATGAAGTAGCAGAAAAAGCAGGTGTACCAGTAAAAATTGATCCAAAACAATTGATTAAATTTGCTTCATATTTTTCCACCAAACGACATGTCGCAACTTTACGCAGCGCTTACTACTTAACTAAAGTCTTCAAATATTTATCAGATCGCAAAGTAAACTGAATGAAAATGTCTATTTACTTTTCCGTTCTATTCGTAATTTAGAACACAATTCCAGTTGTCGTTAGTCGTACGACTCCAGCAGCTGTTAGCGCCCAAAATCCATCAGTTTTCGTTTCGGTTTCAAATCTTTTTGGTCAACCCGTCGGTGAAATTTCAGTCGTTGCTGAATCGGCTAAACGCAAAGAAGATGGTGCCGTTGTCATTTCCAAACAAAAGCTTACTGCCAAAGATAGCACCTCGTAAGTTTATTATCGGAGTGAACTAAGGAAGCTAATTGATTTGGGTTTTATTTAGTTCGATTTTCGAATTACCATTCTATGACGCTAAAATTCCTCGTGGATTCTACACCATTCACTTGACATTAACTCCGCGCGGTGATGAAAAACTTATCGGTTTAACTGATAATACAGTTCGTAGATGCAAACATACGAGATTTGTTTTTCATGTGTGTTACGAATGTTTAGATTGAAGTTAAAGTGACCTCGGAAGCAGCTTTGGAAAATGCTGAATTGAATGTTGCAGACCGTGATAGTACAGCTCAAGCTAAAACACACAAGTAACCAATGATCGGAATTCTCCTATACATCCTTCATGTGATTGAATTATTTAGATTAACATATCCAAATGCTTTATCTGAAAAGCTCGATCTTCATCCTCACCAAAAATTGATCATTAAATTTCAAGTGAAAGACAAACGCACGGGAGAATATGTTCGCACTCAACAAGCATTCGTCCGTTTCACCAATAAAAAATCCAAGAAAGAAATCATCTACCTCGCTGAGGCAGCCAGTGGTGCCACTGCTCAATATAAAGCTGAAATAGTATGACGATAGTTTGAACCATCTGTTTTTGCTCAGTTGAAATTTCATCTGTAGGATTTAACAAGCAATGCCGCTGATTTCCGTTATCAATCAGGTGCTTATGACCTTGTCGTAATTGTTGGCGATTCCTTATTACAGAATGCATTCGAATGGAAAGTCAATGATAATGTTCAACTAACATTTCATGAAGACAGTCTTGCCGATAAAAATCACCAAGACTTGTACTTACCACGACCTGAAATCATTCACCAATTCCGTGTTGAAGAAAAACGACCACCAACTATCGTTTCATTAGTTTTCAGTGCTTTAACCTTATTACCTTTATTAATCCTTTTGGTTTCAGTAAGACTACACAAAATTAGTCGATCATTTCAGTTCAAATCTGTCTCTTTCTAGTGGCTTCGACTTGGTTTCAATCTCTCCGGCATGCCATTAGGACTTAGTCCATTAGTTTTTCACGTTTCCCATGGAGGTAAATATGAGAAAACGTCTTTGAACAAATGTCCAACTTTATTTATCTCGTAGCTGCTTTTGGATTGATGTTTGTCTACTGGAAATATTTGGATATGTTCCAAACAATCCGTTATTTGGCTTTGATTTCAATTCCATTATTTCTTGCTGGACATCGAGTTTTAGCCATCTTGGCAGCTCGACGGTAAACAACTTGAAACCGTCTATATTTATCTCATCAATCTCCTTTTAGGGAAACGAAAGCTTAATCGATTCGTTGACAACATGGATAAACCGAAAAAAAAGCATGAACGTTGAACAATTCTCTTTTTGTTATTGTTTTCTTTCTCTTTTTATTGTTGTTTCGCCTATGTCTAGATCATATTTAACATACATACACACGTTTTGTTTTTGACTCTTTATTTCCATACGCTATGTGAAAACAATTTTGCTCGTTTGTTCTTCAGTCTTCTTCTACTTCTTTGTTGTAGTCTAGATCACGGTTTTCTTTGGGGGAAAAACATCGACGGTGATTCTAGTGAATATGATGCTATGTGAAAGGTTTTTCTCGCTGACTTTTTAACCAATGTTTTGTGTTCGTTTTGAAGATTCGCATAAAACAACATGATTCAACATAATTAACAAAATTTATTTGTTCAAAACAATTCTCTAACGAAAAGATTTGTCTATGTTCCCCGATATACATAATCAAAATAGCAAGAATAAATAAGTTTCGCGAGATTACCGTCAAAAAGTAAAAGCATCGAAAAAGTTCTACTAATGAATTCGATAAATACCTATGTCGAATAGACACCGATGGAAATTGTAGCCTTGTGCAAGACATACCTGTTTAAATTGTTCATAGCATCGGTCGTTGTCCTCATGTAAGATAGTCAAACATAAATTCAGATCAGGTAATTGTTTTTGTATGCGATTGACTAGGGATTGAAATTCTTCATTGAAATTTTCTTCAGTTGTCGAGTTCATGGCATAGGAGATGATCTCAATAAAGAAATTTAACCGAATCAAATCGTCTGTATCGCTATTTGTTCGTAGGAGAACGTAGAATGTGTTACTTGATTGGTCATGTAAGATGAGAAATCGTTCATAGTCGTTAGAATGGAAGTTTTTTAATTGTTTTTGACTTGGAAAAATCTTTTCCGGTATGTGTTTTAATGACACACCTATATGAGACCGGTAAGGGAAAGATGTTTTGAATAGAATTGGTTCTCGATCGTTGACTTCTTCGATCGAAAGAGTTTGTCTTCCATTAGTCTTGAAATATTCGGAACAAACTAGATGAAACCGCTGACGATTGAAAAGATTGAATAGAATACACCGTTTGGCTTTATAAGTCGCCCAGAGATGTCCAGCGGTCAAGACGAGAAATATCGGCCAAATGGAAGTTTCTGGAAGAGTGGCGAGAAGAACAACGTTGACGAATAGCGCGACTAGACTGACCACTAGAAAGTATTACCAAAAGAAAAAAAAACATTATCTTCAAATGACGATCAAATCAGTTGTCTAGTTTACTTGTTTCTAAACTAGAACATTTTGCGGCTATGTCAGCAAGATTATTATTTCGTGCTTGATGCTAAAGATACAAATCAAGGGCGTTTAGTATGACAGATGTTTTCATCTTACTTGAAATATCACTGTTCTTGTTGAGCCATGAATAACTCCAGTAACTGATCGACATATATTCGAAATACTTGATATGAATAATAATGCCGACGGAAAATAAGGTGTGATCATATCTGATACGCACGCAACGTCGTTGAGAACATCACCGAGGAAATGCCAACGTTTACAATCAGCGTCTAACGATGCTGCAAAACCCCATGCAAATATGATTCGACCGATCATTCCGGCGCCGTCTCTGAGAAGCCAAACAATCGATGCTGCTAAATAGTTCGACGCAGTTTTTCCTACGCCCATTGCACGGAACAGCGCACTAAACGCGAATGAACCTGATATTGCAATACAACCGGTTTGAACAATGTTATACAATTGATAAATGCCATAGTCAGAACTAACACCTGAAAAAATAACAATAACAAAGAATGGCTGGTCTGCTTGTAAATGATGAATTGAAACACTTACCTAAGGGATAATTATCTGGATAGAAAAACGCTCGAAAGAGAGATGTCAACGATGTATGAGATTTGCTTTTCTTTGTTGATAGATGTTTCGCTTTTTGTTCGTGATCTATCTGATAAATGTTTGCTTTTTCTCCACATTCATATTCTTGAATGAGGAACTCAGTTTTATTCTCATCATCTGTCATCTACAAAAAAAAAGAAGGAGATCGAACAATGTGCCTGTGATTAAAATGACAGAAAAGAAAATCAGTCATTCTTCTATCTTTAATAAATGATTGGCTTCTCAGGAAAACCAAGAATAAATTGAGGATCAGGACAATTATGCAGCATCGTAGGTGCATCAATTTTCGATGCAACACCTGGATAATCGCCTTTCATCTCTCCCATGTCCGATATGATTTGAAAATGTAAATGTGGATTCCATCCACCGTTTTCTGATTTATCTCCGATATATGCCAGAAGTTGACCAACTTCGAACGTTTGCCCAACAGTTAAATTCTCCAAACTAACTGTGCTTAAATGACCATAGAGTGTGTAAAAGTGAACATTTTCTTCCAGATCATGCTCGAGAATGATTGTTGGACCATAATCAAATGGTTGATTATTATTTTGAAAACTATGAACACGTCCGAGAAAAGGCGTGTAAATCGGTGTATTGAATTTCAAGGTAATATCAACACCTAAATGTATACAACGATTTGTTTGTGAATACGATGTTGATTGCGCATAAATATTTCGTTCTTCACCATATCCACCTAGCCTATGTTTGTGTGTAAATAAAAGAAGATTTTTTAATAAAACAAAACTAAATGATCGATCATACCAAATAAAATTTGCATGGTCAAGTGTTCTAACATAGTCTTCGTGACGTTTATATTTCTGTAATTCTTTATTTGAAACACTTATATCAAGTGATCGAGCATTTTGTGTTGTTAATGGAAAACCAAGTATCGGTGAGAATCGTTGTTGATTACGCGTGAGAGCAGCGATAAGACGTGTTCCAGCATCCAATGCCATGATGATCTATTTTTCAAATAAAATCTAACATACCGATTGGTATTTATCATTCGATCGTTCTTCATTGTCGAGATATGCTTCGTTTTTCTTCACTGTCTATCAGTTTGCCACTCGATGCGCTATTCGTCCACATGTAGTACTCTAAATGGTAAATAGTTGTTGACGAATGGTTGTTTGCGGTGTTATGTAATTGAGAACAGATGGCAGTGAAATATTGATTGAGTTTGTCTATGCGTACGAAGATATTTAGAGAATGATATCAACTACCCGCTCATAGAAATTTGACGCGCACAATATATTTGATTTTGTGATTATTATGTAACTAAGTAGTGATAAATAATCACTTGTTGAGCCTATTTCCCAAAAGAAAGTTTCCTCTTGTTAACATCATTTCATCATTATTCATTCACTCTTTGGCTGATTGCAATTGTTATCAAAGAACCAATTTCAACTCAATTGACTTTTTCATACTTCGAACAAATAATCGATTTTATACTTTTTCATTATATAAAAATACAAGAAATTTCCCAGTTGAAACGAAATGGTCGAAGTACAAAAGATGATTTTAAACCATTCACTTGATCATCACCTAGCTGTTGATACATTATCAGATATCTCACTAGGTAGCGCACAAACCAAAGCGACGGATTCGAGTGGTTACGGTTCAAATTTAAGTAGACATGGGCATAGTCGAACGTGTTTGATTGTAAATTATCTTCCGCAATCGGTGAAAGAACAACAGTTTCGTCAGATGTTTGCACAGATTGGTCGATTACGTTATTGTCGTTTGATGTGAGTGTCTGAGAAATGTTCTGTTTCGATCAGTTATTGCTGATGGTTTAGGTTTGATCGTGCAACTGGATATTCTTATGGATATGGCTTTGTTGACTATTATCGTGCCGAAGATGCAGCAAAAGGTAGATTTCATGTCAAAACTCTCTTGGGTCACATATTCGGATTTGTTGAAAGCTATTGACACGCTCAATCAGCTGAAAATGGAACACAAAACGATAAAAGTTTCATATGCAAGGCCAAAATGTGATGAAACTCGCGGAACAAATCTTTACATACGAAATCTACCTGGTAAAAGACAACGCTTCTAGCCCACTGAATTTCCATAGTTGCATATAGAAAAATTTGATGAAACGAAGCTGATTGAGCTATTTGTACCGTTCGGTGAAATAATTCAAGCACGTGTGATTCGAGATCAATCAACAGAAAGTCCGCGTGGTATCGCATTTGTTATTATGGGTACTCGTTCACAGGCACAACGTGCAGGTAAATTGGCGTGCATTTCCAAAGCTTTCTCATTGAAAAGTTGCTGTAGTTGATTGTTTAAATGGTCAAATTCTCGATCATCAACGTCCATTGCTCGTGAAATTTGCTGATGATGATAAACGTCGACGTCAACTAATGGCACGTTATCTGCCACAGATTGAAAATACGATTTCATCCGTGTCAACGGCTCCGATTCTTCAAGATCCATCTGATGTTCTTTCAGCACAAATGGCTCAATTGAATTTGATTGCCAATGGAACCAATACGACTGATCATCAACAACAAGGACAAGATATGAACTTTTTGATGAACACGTTGTTGATGATGCCGTTTTGGTCGAATATGTGTGCTTCAACAATACCAGTCCTGTATCCGAACAATGCAGCAACCTCATCAAATAAAACTGGCGAGCGAATACTCGATACATTAGCGACAACAAATGGAGCGTATGTTGTGATTATTTAAAGTCTTTTCATATTCATTCGATTGAACTGCATAGATCAAATTCATCGTTAACTTCGAATGAATCATTGAATAATGGTTTACCACAACAATCAAGTGTTGAATCAGCTGATTCTTCGTCAGTTCCATCGAATGTTATCGATGTATCAACCGGCGGTTTCGTTGTTTTCGTCTATGGAATTGGACCAGAGACTACTCAAGAAGAGTTGCTCAATATCTTTCAAGGCTTTGGGCCTATTCTACGCACAGATATAATAAAAAACAAACGAACAACAATCGGTAAAGGTTTGTTCTGCTTTTCATACATTTACCATCTCATCCACAATATGTATTTAGGCTATGGTTTTGTCGTCTTCCGACATATGAATGATGCACTAGCATCAATCAAAGCATTACATAATATACCGTATAAGGGTCGTTTCCTGCAAGTACGATTTCGTGTATGAAAATCTGAATGTGATCAGCCGATTATATTCTCATTTGTGATGTTCTGTTTGACGAAATCATATGTTCCTGTTGAAATGGATGCTGTTCATTTGTGGGATATGAATTGAATACGACGGTTTATGTTCGAGTACGCTTCTGTTTGTCGTGATTCAGTTGGTGTGCATTATTTTTATGTTTGGATTATTAGAAATAGAAGAATAAATTAAAATCTTAGCGGTTTGAAGTTTCCGATCGAACGATGCAACAATGAGTTTCCTTCTTCGTAAACGCGAAAAGCTCGTCTGACCACATCGCTAGATTTACAGCGATATCTTTTGAAAGTATTACTCATTAGATATTTGCTTTTGCCTAGGATATATATATATATTTAGTATAGTATAAATGAGTTGATTACATAAGAAGAAAGTTGCGTTTTTCTCGTTCTTTCTCTTTCGTATAAACAAAAAATACCTTCGTCAGCATGATGCGAGTATTTCGCTGTGGGTGCGTGCGATACAAACATAATAAAGACAGTTACATTCGGTTGGCGATCGTTGGATAAAAATGCCAACATCATTTGATACGGAACATGAACGTTTGCGCGAAGACGAAGCACGAAAAGTGAATTGGAAACGTTGGGGACCATACTTATCAGAAAGGCAATGGGGTACTGTGCGAGAAGTAATTCTTTTTTTCGTATTTATACATTGCACTGCTTTTTGACGTATCGTGACACATTAGGATTATTCGGATACAGGTTCATGTTGGGATTATTTTTCACATGATCAATCTCGATCACGTGCATATCGATGGGGTGAAGATGGTCTTCTAGGTTTCACCGATCGCGAATGTCGTTTGTGTTTTGCGTTATCCTTATGGAATGAAAAAGATCCTATACTCAAAGAACGTCTATTTGGTTTAACTGGACCAGGTATGTGAACTAAAAATGCGACTAATGAACTTCGCCTTTTCTTGTTTTGTAGAAGGAAATCATGGTGAAGATGTCAAAGAACTGTATTATTACCTTGATTCAACACCAACGCATTCATATTTTAAGAGTCTTTATAAGTATCCTCAAAATGAATATCCATATCAAAAATTAATCGAGGAAAATCGTCGCCGTTCAAAGGATGATCGCGAATACGAACTTCTTGATACAAAACTATTCGATAATAGTGAATACTTTGATATATTTGCTGAATATGCCAAAAACGCTCCTGATGATATTGTAATTCGAATACAAATTCACAATCGGTCGAACAAGGATGCGCCATTACATCTGGTCCCAACGTTATTCTTTCGCAATACATGGTCGTGGGGTTGTAAACACGAAGGTTGTACCATGCGTCCCAAGATTGAACAAAAAGATGGCGAAGCTTTTCTTCGCACTAAACATGACACATTGGAACCGTTTCTCTTCGATATTAATCCCGATGAGGATGGTCAGCTGCCAGAGGTACTCTTCACTGAAAATGAAACGAATTTCAAACGATTATACCAACTAGAGAATCGTACCCCATATGTGAAAGATGCGTTTCATGAATATGTTATAAATAATCGAAAAGATCTGATTAATCCGAAACACAGAGGAACAAAAGTTGGTCTATATTATCGTTTGAAAGTTAAAGCAAATTCATCGGCAACAATACGTCTTCGACTGTATCGTTTATTCGATGATACGAAGGTACCAATGAAATTGGATTTCAAAGAGATCGATCAAATATTCGAGCAACGAACTCAGGAAGCAAACGAATTTTATTCAACAATAATGCATCCTCAACTGAATGCCGATGAGAAAAACACTGTTCGACAAGCGTACGCTGGTCTTTTACATAGCAAACAATTTTATCATTATATAGTAGAAGATTGGATTGCGGGTGATGCTGATGTTATGTCATCATCCGAAACGCGAAAACAGAATGTGCGAAATAAAGATTGGCCACACTTGTAAGTCGATGATATGGTTCTTAAGATTGCGTTTTACTTTTCTATTAGGTATTGTCGAGATATTCTATCGATGCCTGATAAATGGGAGTATCCCTGGTTTGCTAGCTGGGATTTAGCATTTCATGTTATTCCGTTTGCTCATATCGATCCACATTTTTCCAAAACTCAAATACGACTACTGTTACGCGAATGGTACATGCATCCAAACGGGCAAATTCCTGCCTATGAATTCAATTTCAGTGACGTTAATCCACCGGTGAGTGCATGGGCTGCTTGGCGAGTCTATAAGATGTCAACAGATAAAAAGGAAGAACGTGACCGGTCATTTCTTGAAAGTGTATTCCTCAAGTTGCTTATGAATTTCACTTGGTGGGTTAATCGAAAAGATCCAAATAATCAGAACTTATTTGCTGGAGGATTTCTCGGTCTAGACAATATCGGTGTATTCGATCGATCAGCTGAATTACCCGAAGGCGGAACTATGCACCAATCTGATGGCACTGCATGGATGTGTTTCTATTGTTTGACTATGTTTGGCATAGCATGTGAATTAGCTGGTGGAGTTAACGGTGAGCCAGTCATTGAAGCGTACGAAGATATGGCATCGAAATTTTTTGAACATTTCGTACAAATTGTCGATGCTATGAATCTTCATGGAGGTACAGGTTTATGGGATGACGATGATGGGTTTTATTATGATCAAGTCAAATGCGGTGTCACCGATAAAGTTATACCATTAAAAAGTACGTTCATCAGATCCTTGAATTCTTTTCTTCGAATCTTCAATTTTTGTATAGCACGCTCGCTCGTTGGTGTACTACCATTAATTGCTGTGTCTGTTCTTGAAGTTGAAAAAATGAACAGTTTACCAGGCTTTCAACGACGATTTAACTGGTTCTTAAAGTATCAGCCAAATCTTCGGCAACATATTATTCAACGGAAGTCAACACGCAATGGCAGTAGTGATGCTTTTCTTCTTGCGATACCGTCCGAAGAACGTCTTCGTCGTATGCTTGGCTATATACTCGACGAAGATGAATTTCTTTCTGAATATGGTCTTCGTTCATTATCAAAATATCATGAAAAACATCCATATGTATTCGAACCTGGTAGTAAGCATGAACTATGTGTTAGTTACTCACCAGCTGAATCGAAAACGAGCATGTTTGGTGGCAACTCGAATTGGCGAGGACCGATCTGGTTGTGTATCAACTATTTAGTTATCGAAGCACTCGAACGGTATCATCGATCGTACGGTGATGATTGGAAAGTTGAATGTCCAACACGAAGTGGAAACTGGATGAATCTACGCGAAGTGTCTCAAGAACTTGCGAAACGCTTAGTGAAAATCTTTCTTCTGAACGAAGATGGCAAACGACCATTGAATGGGGACGAGTCAATCTATTCCACTGATGCCCACTTTCGTGATCTTGTACTTTTTTATGAATACTTTCATGGTGACACAGGTCGCGGACTAGGTGCAAGCCATCAAACAGGCTGGACAGCATTGATCATCCAACACATACAAGATATTGCTGAACTGAGAAAAGACTAACAAGAAAGAAAAAGAACTCTATTATAGTTTTTAGATTTGATTGTATTGTTGAACTGACATAAAATAATTTTATTTCGAAAGGAAGACCATGTAAAAACAATATAACAGAATTCTTGATTTTTTTATGTGAATTAAACAAGCAGCTAGATCGTACAGTTAATGTTCGCTCATTCTGAGTAATAAAATCATCAATATTATTAAGACGACTTATATGAGTAGAAAACAAAAGAGATAACTGCTGAGAATATCATTTGATTTCTCACAGAATTGGAAGAAAGTATTCGAGCTTTCGTACGACGCGTCCGATGTACATCATCAGGAATTGTGTTCACGTTGTTGAAAGATAGTTGAGAGTTTAATGATCCATTTCTATTTATTGAAAAATTCTTTAAATTAGCTTCGCCGATAGTCTCTATCGCAATACTAGCAATGAGACGTGTTTTTTTCTGTCTGATTCATACGACCTTGAAGAGTCTGTTTCATGTCTTCTATTGCTAAGTTAATGTTTGTTTTGAAAGATTTGAAAAGGTGACTATGAGTCATAGATGCAGGATTCTAGACCAGAATCTCATGGCCTTATATCCGTTAGTTTCCATTCACACCCGAATGTAAGATCTTGGAAACTATCGGAAAAACTCCAATAAATCCCATACAGAACCCTATATGCAAAAACCGGCCGGAAACCAGCAGTTCTGCCAGCAACTTTCCTAACACATGAGACACTAATTTCTTGTGCTACTCTCATCCTCTAAATTAGCAATTTATCACCTGCAAGTCACTTGCCATGCACAGAAAACGCTTTGAAGTCGTCTCTTAACTAGATTTTCAACCGAATTAAAATCCGATTTTAAACCTCTTAAAAATCGTCTATTTTTTGCATGTGGGTGGTATGTTGTTGTTCTTGAATAGTTGTGATGGGCCTATGTGTAGAGTCTAGATCGCGGAGTAGTGTTGAACAATTGCTGGTGCTTTTTGGAATTGCTTTCTGTGTGGAAGACATTATTTTACATACAATTTTTAGGAATATGCTGGTACCTTTTTGGATCTGATGGCTTAATGCGTGCATCATTTGTTGGAAGTTGGATAACGGAGGAATGGGACGAGAAAAACCGACTGATCGGATTCCAATTGAGCCTTGTTTATATTTCCTGGCAGTCCCGTTGGGATATGACTGTAATTGTGTAGAATGAGGCGAAAAGGGGTTGCTTTCCTGCCGATTCTCATTCAGATTCGGAGGTCAAAACGTCTGTCCTTGGTATATCACAGTACGCACAAATAGCGTATATTCTACTGATTTAGTAGTTTGAGCTTTGAATTGAGAGTGATAATCAACAGTTTGTAGATAGGCATAAACTAGACTGTGACCGTTCGGTATGCAAAAAGAGGAAACGTTATGGTTCGATGATAAATTTTGAAAAAAGATCTTCGCTCTTTCGTATAAAATAATTGATGTACTCATCGATTTGGCTTTCTTCAATCCATTTCAAATAAAACAATCATAATAAGAGGCGAGATAATGTTTGCATTAGCTCGAAGTTGCTCATTGAAATTTGTATATCTTAATAACTTCAGACATGATTTCATACCTTGACCATAAACACCATTAGCTTCATAACCGTTTAAATCAAATTGTAATGATAAACTGTCAATAGTTTCTCATTTTCTATTAGCAGCAGTCATTGTATTTATTTCATCATCCAAATCGATCATCTTGTCTTTTTCTGACTAAATTCATGACTGATTCTTTTGTTTCAATCCGATCAAACAAGGTTGTTGTTGTCTTGGACATTAGACAAGAATTGAAACAAGATCATTAAATAGCGTTCCAGCGGTATCATTGATCGTATAGTGATGAGTGAAAAGTCGATGAACTTACACGAAGTGAAGTATCTCGAGGATATCCGAAATGATCGGTAGGAACCTTTCTTTTGAATAAAGATAGCCAACGATCATTGAGTTGGGAATGAGATAATCTATTCCACTGATGCATAGCATTGATTACCCAATATATTTAAGACACATTGCCAAGCTATTAAAAGACTAGTGTGAAAGAAGACAAACTTTATCGTGGTTTTAGATTTTATTGTATTGTTCGACAGACAAAAACAATGATTTAAAACGCTAAATAGCTTTATTTGGAAACGAAAAACATATAAGAACGATATCACAAAATTCTTGAATTTTTTGTATGTGAATAAAACGAATTGAATAAGTAACTAGATCATATAATCAATATTCGCTCACCCTCATACTCTGAAGATGAGCATTTTAGTCTTGAATTTGATGAATATTAATTGATTCTCCATATCGTACGCCAAGACAATCTTGTGAAACGGTTAAATTGATGGGTGAATCACGTCGATTTTGTGGATGTGTGAATTGACATTCACCTTCAACTTCACCATCTTGACTAAGCATTATCAAATGGCCAGTAATATATTCAATCAAGATATAGACCTGAAGTTTTTGACACCAATCAACTCTTGGTGTGTACGATAAATCACTAACCCAACAATCATTCAATACTAATTGTTTGGCAAAGGTCCATTCTTTTCCATCATTAGTCAGCTTGAATATACAAATGCCAACTTCATGACGTCTTTCTAATCGATAACCAATGGCAGCATGCTCATTATTGGCAACGGCAATATCACTGATTTCGCCAGGCAATGCTCCGCCACCTCGATTCAATCGAGGTGGAAAGATATCACGTAAAGTTTTACATGCTTGTTCTACTTTGTTCGAATCCATTATAAGAATTTCATCACCGTTGAAAGCAGCCGTGCCGTGAATTGATGTTAAATAAAGTAATCCTTGACAACAGGATATTCGTCTCATTGTACGACCAGCAAATAGATGAAACTCTTCAAGTGCTTTTGTTGCAGGCTTATATAAACGTAAACGTGTTCGATTGAGAATTAAATAGCCTGAAAGAACATCTGAATAGGATATATCCTGTATCCAATCATTGTCATTTCCATCAATAGGATGATCAGGCGCAGTCCAAGCAATAGGTTCATTTGCTGATGGATTCGTAACATCGTTTATAAAAAATAAACTATAAGTATCAGTAACTTTGTCATAAGTGTTGTATAGCAGTTGCTTGTTATGACAACAGATTGTACCAGCGTATTTTTCACTTGTAGTAGGAATTATTAATGGGTTCGTACGTTGAATATGGTCTGTTTTACCACAATCCAAGTCATCTGGAAAGGTGGTGTCAGTCGTTATACCATTCTCTCTGTTCCCATTACTTAATTCACCGGCTGGTTTAGACGCTGCTGCTGTTGCAGCTGCAGCTGTTGCAGCTGCAGCTGTTTGAGGAGCTGGCGGTTCAGCAACTGCTTCTACGTTAGGTACAACAGACTCTATTTGCACAGGCGCATGATTATTTGATAATGCTGCTTCAGTTCGAACTACATTATTTGCCACCGGAACTGTTGGTTGTCGAATGACTGGTTCTGGAACTGTTTCTGATATCGAAAACGATGAACGATTTTCGAAAGAATTTCTTGTGTGAATACGATTCGACGGTGGATCGAATTCATCAGTTCTAGTCGATACTACATATGGACGTATATGTGCATGTAATACGGATGGTTGTAATTTAGCTTGTAAAGTTGCATCTAATGTAGTACTACTACAATCAGATGTGTCACCACGGTGCACGTTATTTACTCGCTCTTGAATTTGATTATTCAATTCAAGAATTTTATTTAACTCATCATGACCGGCGCTTTCCAATGAGTCGGCCAATTGAGCGTATGTTTCTCGATACTCTGAAATATCTGTAGAGAAATTTGCTTGTCGTTCATAATCCATGAGAGCTTGGTCAGCAATAGCGTCGATATCTTGATGGCGCTGTCTTCTCTACAGAAAAAAACATCATTTTACAAAACATTTATTTCTGCAACAACAATCAATACAAACCCAATGGTCTATGATTGCTTGAAAACCATGAGAGGAATCACTTTTAGTTCCATTTAAACCGCCGATGCTCAACAATCTCTCTCCCACCTGTGCATAACAACTTCGAAATTCCTGACCGAGTTGTTGCATATGTTCACTGAGACAAGAAAAGTCAAATTTCTCATCACAGATGCATGCGAACTGGTACGGCTTTTTCCCACACTTACTACAAAGTTCTCTTAAATCTTGCATGGATGTTGTGCTACGATTTTGTTTTGTCATATTTAAATCTAAAAAGTGAAATCTATCAAAACTCGAATTTTTCTTCGCTATGGATGTGTATATACGTGAGGGAATAATGTAAAATGTTTTCTCTTTTTCGCACGCGATGTCTCGATAAGCATAGTTGGAAAAAAGGAGAAAAAAAACGCCTGACTGAGATCATATAAAAACAACAGAATTCTCTCAACCAGTCTGCATGTTGGAAACCGAGAACTCTATTTGATTTAAAAACACACAAAAAAAGAACAAAAACTACTATTTCTATTCGCATGTGTCAACGAAAACAGAAGTTTCCTTTCAACAATCAACATTTGTGTTATGATATATACTCTATTCGCGAAAAATAATCATCACACTCAACAGCCAGCGATAAAATTTGTAAAATGTTTTGTTTTCTGTCTGTTGCGTTCTGTTCACGATCAAAAGCACGTTGTTTTTACTTTTTACTTGGAAAAAGCCAAACTACTTGTCGCCGGGACAGCGTCTTGATAGGACAAATCATAAAGCAAAAAAGGTTCCCAACTGTTTTTTTTTCAACTAAAAACGTAATAAATAACCAAGGAAGAAGAGAACGCGCGTACGGCTGACTCTATCAACTACTCGTATTGTATTAGATTATAAAATGAATCGAAATATTAATATGTAATTTATCTAATTTGTTTATCGTTTTACTAGTTCCTTTGGAGCTATAATAAAGGGTGTAACGAGAAAAGATTTGAATACAAAAAAAGCGAAAAATATGAAAACATTTGATGAAAGAGTTGAAAACTGAAAATGTAAGTCACGATTGAATTCTTTGTTCTTATCAATCATTATCAGTTCAAGTTGCTTTAGTTTTGTATAAATAAATCGACTAGAAAGTTATGATGAATCATTAGTTTGTCTTGGACAATCAATATGGAACAGGAAGAGGAAGTTGATGTTGAAGATCATTGACAATCAATGTCAAATTCTCCAGAAAGTCAGAGTAATCTTTTTTCAATTGTTCGTCTTGCGAGGATTTCTTTTTCGTGCCTAAATATGCAAGATTTGTTTGAATATAATTTGTCACATTGTCATCAACATCGACATAATCATTGAGTATAAGAATAGTATTAATTAGCTTTTTACAACGCTCCATTAGATCCTTCAATTTATCATTTGAATTTGGTTGTCGATCTAAAATGAAAACCAGAAGCTTTTAAATTAACATTGATGATTCTATTTACTATTTTGAATAGTTGTAGAAAATCCAGGCGGATTTGATAATGGTGTCTTCGTGTTCTGCTGAGATGGGGCACCCACACGCATCTGTTCAATTAGTGTTTGAAGTTCGTTTTCGATTGATTCAAGTTGCAGACTGCATACATGAATATCATCAATGCGCAGCATATTGCACAATATATTTCTACTTCAAAACAAAAATTGCCGTTAGCAATATCTTGTCTGAACAGAATAGGTATAAATACCGGCGTTCTAGGAGTTCATTGTAACGTTCTATGTTCTTCTGATCTGAAGATTGATTTGTCGATGGTTTGCGATATTCCTAGAAAGAAAACAGACGAATACTCTTTGCTGGTCAACAGGCTCAGTCTGCTACATAATCATTCTTCCAAAACTGTGGATTACTGGATGCGTTGACATGTTCATGTAGAGCTTCGACGAGTATTTCTCCGCCTGGTAGTGTCAACTGTTCAATGAATTTCATTGTCGATATTAAATCAAATACAAAAAGGAAATTCTGATGAATATGTAAACAACAGGTCAGATTTCTTTGTCTATAGAAGTCGTATACTGAACGATATTCATCTGTTAGTTGAAGACGTGTGCGCGATAATAACTATGGAGAAAATCGACAAATTCTATACGATATAAATTGAATTAAATAGTTTATTTACTGTCTGTGAGAGAATATCTGATTCTGATGCATTAAGAAGTTGTGCTAAGTTGAAACATGGAATATGTGGTCGATCATTCGTGTGACGAATAAGACACAGAACATTCATTTCATCAATCGGAACCAATTTACATCGGTGTTCGGTATTTGAAAGATGATTGTTCGTTTGTATTGAAGTCGTTTGATCTGGAAATTGAAAGACGGCGTTAGTTGTATTACTTTCTGGTGTTGATGGATCAGAAGTTGGTAATGGACACTGAACAGCATGATCCAAAATCTCAAATGTTAATTGTACAGGTTTTGGACCATGATGTCTACAAATTAAAGATGTAATTACTTCAATTTAAAACGTTCAACTGCAAATACGTACCGCGCCTGTTCGTTGTTAGACATCTCAGACAATCTTACCTGAAATTAAATATTTCTTTCTATAATTCAATCAAATAAATGACAATATCTTACCGCAAGGTTCCATTCAATTACAATATCGTTTAGAGATCGATTATCTGCATCGAAAATACGAATAGTTAAAAGTCCATTTAAACGGTCTGTTGGTTCAATAAAGAACGGTGTATTTTTACACAATTGATACACTTCATTATACGTGTCCGGTGCCCATTGAGTATCATCTGGTAAAAAGTAAACATCATCCAACCGACATGCTATTGCCATACAAGGTAATTCCGCAAAATGATTTAACAAATATTTAAACTGTCGATCTTCTTTATTTACTTCTTCTACTGTTCCGTAATCAATATAGACAATAACACATCGATAGAGATCAGTTTCCTTGATGAATACACGATGATATGCATGATCGTATTGTGTTACACAAGATAAACCTGCCTCAAGATCTTTGATAATCAATGCGTTGGATTGTGTACTTGAGTAGTATGAACTGGAAAATAGGGAAAGATAAACGAGAGTTTTTCGTGGAGAGTGGAATTCTTACTCAAGCTCTTCCATTAAAGTCTCAATATGCTCTTGATACCGAACTGGTTGGATGTGCAAGCAATGCTCGTTTTTATCAATTTCAGATACGAATCCTTGAAAACGTGGATCATTTATGTACGTAAAGAGGTTATTTGCATAGCGAAATGTTGACGGAACAACTCCTGAATCGGTGATCTGTTGTAAAGCATGTGCTTGGGTCTAAACGGAGACATATGATATATGTATAAACTCAATTTCCTCTACCCGTTTCCTACCTGTTCCACTTGTTTGGGATCTTTAAGTGTAATAATATGATCACAGGAACCATCTGCTTCTTCACGACGAAGAATACAAGCGAAATCGTCAACGATGTCTTGTAACAGTAGGATATTGGTAATTTTCAATTCAGCCAGAAGACTTTTGCCATATTTTTCCTAAAAGTAGTTTAGTCGCAAAAGTGAATAAATCAGAGACGGTGAAGATTTACTTTGTAGAGATTATCTAAAGCTAGAAGACGAACGCCATAAGGATATTGTGTAAGAAGCTAAAGGAACAATCAGCAAGGATGTGTTTGGAACATGGATTCTCTTGTCTCACAGTTTGAAGATTATTGATGACTGCATCTTCGACTTCTTCATCGTACTGATATTCTTCTTCGTTGATCTCATTTTCTAAGAACTGTTGTGCTAAACAAATCAAATACAAGAAGTAAATATCTCGACTCGGTGATGATCAACAAACGTGTAGTTGGTGATTGTTGAATATCGTTGTCAGTGGCTGTATTGTTGAAAGTAATTCGTAATGATGCAGAATTGTTAATAACTTGACGATCAGCAGCAGTAGAGAAATTCGTCGTTTGTCGAGAACTAAATGTAGATTGTACAGAGCCTGATCCATATGGTCTCGTTTGTGATTGTTGCTTGGCAAATCGAGGTGAAGCAGAAATCTAGAAAATCGCTCGATTAATTGGAATAAAAGAACACTAGTTCGACATACATTTCCTCGTGTTTTAGGGTGCTGGTTGGATGCATTCGACCGATCGAAACGGTTATTATTGTGAGCGAGACGAGTATTTAATGCGCCGCGACCATTACCACGAGATCTGTTATTATAAACATGATCTGAAAATCGAGCATCATGATTATCACGATTTGAATGATGTCCACGACCACGCCCTCGATTGTGCCCACCTCGAGCGCGCCGTCGAGATTTCCCTTCACGTTGGCCCTTAACCATTGATAGAATGTGTTTCGTACTTTCCTCTTCCATAGCAAGAATTTTAATTGGACCATTATTTCCTTGTTGTTGAATACGACAAACATCTGGCCAAGAGCGTAACAATAAGATTAATGATGGAAAGCCTAATTCTTTATATGGGAGATCTTTGTTGGAATTATATGTGCGATAATCGTTAAGTAAGTCACGTTCAGTAAGTCCATACTTAGCAGAAACAAGTAACGATAAAACTTCTTGTTTTATTATACCAATATCAATATCAGACATGTTTTGAACTATACCTATGTTTTATATAAATTTTAGAAGAGATTATGCATATCAATACGATAGTATATCTAGAATATAACGAATCGACGTGTAACTGTCTTGTCAGAAAACGTTCTTTCCCTCCGAATCGTATCCTCGTCGAGAAACGGTTCATCTGAACATGGGCAAGATTGTAAACTATTGGTATCTTGCACAATACGACTGAAAAATATAAGTTACGAAAATAAACGAGACAGACAGCAATTTTTATCCGTCTCCTTTTTCGATATTTATCTCGGTTATATATCAACAAACAAGAAGAGAACACAACAGAAACAAAAATATAGATCACTACACATCTATTACAAAATGTATACTAATTGTTCACAAAGCTAGTGGCAGGAGGGGAAAATATACAAAAGAAGTGTTATTTTTTTGTTTTATTTACAGGTTTTTTAATTTTCAAAATAAACAAAATCACAGGTTGATTATCTAGCTAAAAGCAAAATAGTTCGAGTATTTTGGTCAATAGATTGTGTCAAGCAAGTCTGTTCGTTGGACATAGCTGCGAAGAATGGGTTGAAAATGTTCAATTATTTGCAAACAAGAGTTGTATGTTTCGATACGCTTATGCAATGGAATCTGATGATCAATCAGACCCGACGAGAGATAATCTGCTTCTTGAAATAAACCTCGATTTTCCTCATCGGAAATCTCAGACTCTAATGTAAAGAAATGGACAACATTTCTGGTTATACGATACAAGTCTTGAAAGCACTCTTCGATATCGTCATCAATCATCGTGTCGTCGGTGATTAATCGATGATTGAAACGTATGTTTAATGAGAACTGTTGGTCAAATGGACGTGCAATACGAAAGAGTGTTTCGCGCATTTTGCGATTGGATACTTGGAAATTCGATGTTGACGACGACGATCGAGCTACAGTGCTTGAAGAGGGCATGGGCTTGTTGATATGACATTTGTTTTCAATGTCATCCAATTCTTGACTAATCTCCTGTATTTCATTTTCAGTTGCCACATTCTGATGAGCATGAGAGAGGGAGACTAATTGATCTCTGAGCAAATGCCGAAAAAGTCGAAATTCATCAAAGATTTCAAATCAAAAATTACCTGCGAAAATGCAATATATCCCGTCGTTGATATAAATTCTCTTGAGTTGATTGGAAATTTTCGTGATTTATATAGGAATTCTGTTAAAAGCAAAATAAAACAATATACCATCACGTTTTTCTATGAATGTCTCTCAAGATACGACTCTATACATTTCCGGAAAAGACATTTTTACATACTTTATTTTCATTCCAATATCCTGGTCGTTCGTAGTCATCGTATTCTTGTTGAAAAGCATCGATGACATCGCCTTCTTGAAACTTAATTCGGATAAGATAATCACGAATACAACTCAAATCATAGAGTTTTATTGTTGCACTGTCATCTTTTTGATTGATATGAAGACATTTACTTGACTCAGGTAAGCAGCGTAAGTCATTGAACAACGTTCGTTGTGATTCCGAATAGGACAAATCGGTTTCTCGGATAAGGTTCTGAAAAATTCACAAATATGAATGAAAACGACAGTTTTTAATAGTCCTACCAATTGGGAAATATAGCTTTCAGTGTTATTCAACAATCGAGCCACTTCGAAACATGGTAAACAAGGTCGTTTCGTATATGGATGTTTTACAAAATAATACGCATGTTCGATGGAGATTTTATAGTATTTTATATTGTTTTCTTCAAGATTGTTTATCAATGAGTCTTGATCACGGATATGAGAGTATGTATCCTTGGTATTTAATGGGCTAAACAACGAAAACATAATTAGAAGAAAAGGAAAGCTTTCACATACATTTCCAAAGGATAAACAGGTTGGAACTAAAATATGAGAAGATATTTGTGGATTTCAAGATCTGTTTTTCCTCTTACCTGGGCATCAAGATAATCGTCATGTTCGTACGCTAGACCTCGTTCAAGAAGCAATTGATTAATTGAACGCTCTCGATTCGAATGCGACCATAAGTTCACACAATAAACACCATCTATATTTCCGATGGTTTCCACGCGGAAACTGCTGTCTGGACATAACTCTTTAACATACTCTTTCACATTGTCTAACCATGCAGTGTCTCCGTCTGGGTAGTAAATGTTAGCGAAACGACATTTGTAAACTCGTGTCGATAGGACTGAAAAGTCCTTATGAAGGAATTTCAGATTCGTCGAATTCGTGTGACAATTGATATCAGATATAATGAGACCATAGTCAACAAGATAGATTTTCAGGACATTGATGTCCGAATGATGTGTCGTTTCAATTTCCAAGATATATGAACGATAGTATCGATCATCGACATGCTGATAAATACAAGCTAGATTGACTGCTAGTTGTTCAAATGGAATTATATAGATTGGCTGATTGCATGACTGACGATAATGTTCTCTAAATGGCATCGAATTTATAGTTCGTTTGCTTTCGATACGATACTTACTGCAATCGTTCCATCATATCATCACGTTGTGAAATAAATTGAACATTCCCAATGTGTATGTTCCATAGATCTTCTATACTACCCAGAAATCCCTCAAATGGTTTATCTGGTGTGTATTCGATTCTTTTATAATAGAAATCGGGTAGAACAAATGATGATAAATCCACGATGGGTGGATTTATGTTATTGGGGGGAAGTCTAAGTGAATTTTGATTGTCTCTTGGACTGGATAGTGGAATATTTAATTTTGGCGGCATTGCTAAAAATGACAGAAATACAGAAGAATTAGCAGAGGGAATGATCTTACGTGCTTGCTGTTCTCTTTTAACTGTTTCGACACATGCTGGCTTTAATAGCAGTATCCGATCGGATGAGTTTGCAGATCGATCACGTTGAGAATCAACAAAATCAGATACACATTCAAAGAAGCCCATTAGATTTTTTAATTTATAATCATCAAGGTTTAACTCTTCGTTGAACGTTTTCTAAAAACAGAAGACCAACAACTTTGATCTCACCAGAAATTCAATGTATGTACAAACATTGTAAAGCTTCTGAATATTGGACAGCCACAAACCATTGGTAAATTTCAGCAACAACTAAAATAGATTGTGTTGAAATTGTGTAAACACAGAAAATAATTCCACCTGTCGGATTCGTCTTCGAAGAAGAACTATATTCTCTCCATGTTTGCTTGCTAGTTGAGCATCGTAACTCGCTAATTCCTCGTCCTCGGAATAGTATGAATCATCATCTACTACTGAGGCATTATCGTCCATCGTTGGCGTTATTTGAACAGTCATCAAATCAGGAGCATCTGTTTGTCCGGCCATGAGTGGCGTTGGCGTTGGAGTACTTTTGGGAGGGAATGAGGCGACCATTTTATTCGTTGATGTTTGATTTGTTCCTACGAAGATATGCAAAAAATGAATTATTTTCAATCGATATTCTGTTCATACCAATGAGAGTTTGATGGGTGGAATTCAAGTTCATATTATTGATCGCAGACGATAGATAAGGCGATGGTACAGGACCATTGGATAGGCCACGTGTATCCCATGGACTTCTAGTAGTATTCTGGATTTGATGAAAAGGTTGATGTGGCACACCATTATTAATAAATCCAGTAGCTTGCTTAAAAAAAGAACGTGAAACTAATGAGAACCTATTGATCGAGGCTCACTCAAATGCTGTCGTCTACATTTGCATCTTACTCAAATCGAACATTCTGTGTATTCACGATAAAGAGAAGCTATAAACGTGTTAGTCTATAGCACTATAGCCTTCTCGTTCCTCTAACTTCAAATGATTCATCTATATCATGAGACAAAACGAACAAACGTCACATTGAAATCTATGTTGCAATGTTTGATGATTACAAAAACATTTCCTTACCGCTCGACTTTTTGGATAAGTCATTGGTGCATTGAATGGAATACGTGGATTGTATCCACTGTATCTGTTCACTGGAGCACGAGAAGTTCGCGCAGGTTTCTTTCTTTTTTGTGCCATAACAAGTTTCTTTATGTGCATCGTGTGTTGATCAGCAACACCGTGAATAATCACTGGATTTTTATTATAATCGATATTGGCTACGTCAGGCATTGATGCCAATAATTCCTGTAGATTCGCATAACCCATTTGACGAAAGGGAATTTCTTTCCGTCCGTTATAGACTGCATAATCTTTGAGTAACTGTTGTTCGCTGCAACCTTGCGGAGAACTAATCAGTATCGAACGTAATTCAGTTTTTAAATCAAGATATTCTTGTGAACTGTTATCTTTGGACATTATCAACAAAACGGAAAGAAACTTTATCTAAAATTTGTATAATTAAACAAAAAGTAAGATAATCAGTACTACTGTTATTCAATCTACATAACTAAAAATTTCCCAAATCAACATGAACCAATCATGATTAAAACATGGTCTCTAAGAACAAAAGATGGCGTTCGTGAGGCTCAATTCCTATTGGTGACTATTTCCCGAAGAGAATGATGTGCTGGCTTCCAGCGCATCGTATGTATACATAGTGCATTTAGTTAGTTAGTCATTCATTATGATCATGCATAGACTTAGCACGTTTATATTTGTTTTCTCTGTAAGTTGAACTTTGACAAATAAAATGTGCTTTCTTTTTTCTTCAATAAGATGACGACTATTTTGTGCTTTAGGTTATTTGTTCAACATATGGATATGAAAGTCCTGTGGAAGAGAAAGATTTTAAGAAGATATTAAAACAGAATAAAAACGTTCTGGTTTTGAGTGCACCAAATGGTAAAGTTGACAGCTTCGATTAATATATGAACATTTAATTGTACTTTAATTTGAAGATCAAACTGCCAAACCAACTCTTCAAGTATTTAAGCAAATCGAGGAAGAAATCAAAGGTCGAGGTTTACTTGTCTATATCAATTGCGAGTAAGACGATTCAAAAGATGTGATCAATCAAGTAGCAATTTTAATCGTGTTGTTTGTTATAGGAAAGGAAAAAAACTTTGTAAAAAACTCAAACCCGATTCAAACAATGCAGAATTACGACATTTTCAGTAAGTAAACGTCTCAATTCAATGCTTTCTAAGCTTATACGCAACGATATTATACAAACATTTCGTCTAGCTAACAAATTATATATAATTAATCTTTTCTAGAGATGGCGAATTTCATAAAGTATATGATCGTTCACTTACAAGCAAGGTATCACAATCGAATATTTCAATCTTGACGGATTACATTCACTTATCTTCTATAGGCTATGATTAACTTTATGTTCGATCCGAAAGGTGATATGCCATGGAGTGAAGATGTCACAGCAAATAATGTGCTGCATTTGAATAATCCTAAAGTAAATGATCGGTTTCAGGAAATATTTAGTAGACAACGAAAGAATTTAGGATCTTCAACGTGCATTGAAACAAAGTCTGCCGTTGTTAGTCATGTTCTACGCACCTTGGTGTGGATATTGCAAACGATTGAAACCAGTTTTTGCCGAGGCAGCAACAGATCTTCGCGGACGATTTGTCTTAGCTGGTATGGATGTAGATAAAGTGGAAAACTATCCAATTCGTCGACAATTTAATATTACGGGATTCCCAACAACTATCTATTTCGAGTAAGAATAAACATATCGATCGTACACATTAAAAGTTTGTTTCTTTTTTCAGAAAAGGTGAAGAGATGTTTCATTATTCCGGCGGTCATACAAAAGATGATATTATCAATTGGCTCAAAAAGTACGGCGCGACATCGATGGATCTTATTTTTCTTTAATCTTCTTCTTGTTTTTCATAGTCCACAAGCAGCAAAAGAAAAAACCGAAGAAGCCGAGGAGAAAAACGATTTCTTTCCAATCAACGATGACACCGTAAATTATATCGTTCATTTAAATGACTCAACGTTCGATGAATTTATCGCCACCAATGCTCAAGCATCAATCTTAGTCATGTTCTACGCTCCATGTAAGTCTATTTCTTGTTTAACATCTACAATCGAACTGAGTTCCTCTCGTTTTCTAGGGTGTGGTCATTGTAAAAATTTGAAACCTGAATTAATCCAAGCTTCTATTGATCTACATGAACAGGGGGTATGTTACGTCTAAATAGACGTTTCAACTGATGTTTTGTTCCTAAATATAATAGAGCAATGCCATCATTGTTGCGGTTGATGCAACTAAGTCGCCTGCTCTGACGAAACTATACAAAATTCAAGGTTTTCCAACAAGTAAGTTTCAAACCCGACCAGTTTCTCGATTGTTTTTGTTGTCAATTGCTAACCTGTGTGCGTTTTAATTTTCTAATTGTTATTTCAGTGAAATTTTTTCGGTAAGTTGCTGCATGTAGCTATGGAATGTTTTCATTTATCCTATGGGCTTCTTTTATACTCATACAAACGTTTTTCGTTCCTCTGAATGTTCTCTATTGGTTTTTAGTGATGGAAAATTCGCATTTGAAATGCACGAACGAACAGCAGACAAAATTGTTGCATTTTTGAACGAGTAAGAGATCGAGAGAATCCAGTTCAATCTAAAAGTCATCTTTGCAGTCCAAAGGAACCACCACCACCAGAACCAGAATGGTCCGAACAAGAAACAGATGTTGTTCATTTAACTGAAGAAAATTTCAAAACAATTTTGAAGAAAAAGAAAGCTGCGCTCGTCTTCTTCTATGCACCATGTAATGAACGAAATGAGAGAAGGAATGTGGTCATGATTTGATATTTTCGTAGGGTGTGGTCATTGCAAGAAGGCTAAACCTTTATTTACGAATGCAGCAGCTGCATTTAAAGACAATGTCAAAGTAGGATTTTCATGGATATTTATTAATTTGAAATGAACTTGATTTCAACAGGTCGCCTTTTGTGCTGTCGATTGTACGAAGAGTCAATCGTTATGCAAAGAATACGATGTACAAGGTTATCCAACAATAAAATACTTCAGCTTTGGAAAATTTGTTTCAGCATATGAAGATGAAAGAACCGTAAAATATATCTTACAGTATAATCAGAAGTAGGCAGCAAATTTATCGGATTTAGGAGGAAGCTTTTGTTGAATTCATGACAAATCCAGAAGAACAATCGAAAAAGGTTAAACCAACCCCACCACCTGCCGATCCATTAGAATTTTGGAGAGAATCAGCACCAGGGTACGAACACGTTCAAATGCTTCAATCAAGTACATTTGATGCGATTGTTGGAGCGGCACGTAAAGCATTAGTAATGTTCTATGCACCATGGTGTGGACATTGCAAAAATTCTAAGCCTGCTTTTGCAGCTGCCGCTGCAAAACTTGCTTCAGAACATAAGGTATATGTTCGCTGATTGAGATTCATGTTCATTATTCATACCTTTTTTCAAAGGATATTGTTATCGGAGCTGTGGATGCAACTATCGAAAAAGACTTAGGAACTAAATATGCAGTTCGCGGTTTTCCAACGTGTAAGTGATCAGAATGCAATAATATATTTCAATTAATTCTTTCTCGTTTCGTTTAGTTAAATATTTTGAGTGAGTCGTCGGCTTCCTATCAAGTGTTTTGTTAACATTCATTTATAGAAATGGTAAAGAAGCATCTGAGTACAATGGCGGTCGAAGTGAACAAGACTTTATCCAGTTTTTAACGTAAATCTTATTTCTTCTATTGTCTCTTCGTTTATTTCAATTCATATTTTTGTAGTCGTCCCACCGGCAACGTCGAGTTATAAAATGACGCTCTAAAACGAACTTAATTCAAACAGCAGCTTCGCTTTCCGTCTTAACTAACATTCATAGTTATATTAGTTTTTCTTAACTATTTGTTTTTTGTTATTTAACACAGTTTTTGTTTACGGGTGTTCTATTTATTGGGATGATTGTTTTCAGATTTCATCTATTGATATCTCTACGACATGGTTTATATCGACAGTAGTGGTACGTAGAAAGCAGGCGTGTTCGTCTCACCTTCATTTGTCATTATATATTATTGATCATCGGATTAGTTGAAAGAGAGAAGAAGAAAGAAAGAAAACGAATCAATTGTCACACTATGATCGTGTCTTATTTCCGGTGTACATTGATAGTTTTTTGTCTTAACTATTAGTGAATTGTAAATAGAGACGAAACTTTACAAAGAGATCAACTTACTTAAATCTAATCTTTGACACGTTCGTATTTGTTTTATGTTTGTTTAGGTACGGTCCGTGGCCAACGACCGTTATGGACACCAAGTGGATTCTACTATGCGATAGTTTCCTTTATCAATTTCATTGTACTATTGTAAGTCGAAAGATTTTCTCAATATTCCTTCCTATAATGTGTTTTGTTCGTATTCTAGTGTTCGATCATTGATTGATGTAGGTTTTCATTTTTTTATACGTGTGAAAGAATCATTAAATTCTTGTCTTTAGCCAACATTGACTAAACATGGAAGTAATATGGAAGCAACTAATTATCGTACAGGTGGTGGAGGGGGAGGTGGTGGTAATGGTGGTGGTCGACACGATCGGTAAGTTTGCGTGTGTAATCTTTTCTTTCTATGACAAGAAAATATATGTCGACGGAAATAGATGCTCGGCAGGTCATATGTAAAAGAAATGCGTTGTACTTGTTCAGCTTTTTTTCCAATTACTAAACACGCACTAGAGAATATTCTGCTATTTTTAGACCTCCTGACGCACGACCAAGACGACGTTTTGGCGGATTTGGTGGCACAGGCGGAGGTATAAGGACGTTTTTAGTTTGTTTACAACTGATATCTATTCGTTTGAATAGGACCTGGTTGTGCACCGATGGCGGGTGGATGAGGTTAAAGAACGATTTCTAGTGCATTTCTGCTAGAAATCAGTTAAATTACAGTTGTTCAAATGGAAAACTCTTTTTTGATAGAGAAATCATTTCTCATTATGATAATCTTGTATGAAAATCCGCTGATGTACAAGTATTGGATGATTGTCAAAAAAGAATCCATTTGAACAATTGTTTGTTTATTATTTTTTCAATTTGTTTGTGCTTTCTTTCTTTCTTTCTTTCTTTCTTATGATTCGGTTTATATATATATACATATATGTTTTGCTAATATAAATATAAATATCTGAATTTGTATAAAGAAAAACAAAACGTGTAAAAATTTTCAATTTGATTCATGCACATCTGCAGTTGCCCATCATCACTCATTCTTTCAAGTGTGTGATGCTGACAGACAATCATGCTGACTGTTCGACTCATTCGGCGATGAAATATAGGGGAAAAAAGCGTAGGCACTAGCACATCTTCTCTCTCTCTCTCCGTGTCGTTTTCTCTTCTCCAACCAGCTTTTCGGGGGGAAATGCAAAGATGATGATAATGATGATGACGCGAGTTAGTAATGTTGGTGGTTGAAAAAGAATCGAGCAGTCGGCTTTTTTATTTCTTTTCTGCAAGATATGAGTTTTTCTTGTTCCTGTCGTCATCGGATTTTGAAAAGAATTCATAAATAGAGTAACAGAACGTTAATGCATGTTTAGAACAACACATATTTTGTGCGTTTCCATCCAGAACTATTCTGCCATTGCCATTATCCCCTAGTCCAACTCTCTTGTCAAAACACTTGGATAGTGTTACTTTTTCTTTTCTTTACTTTCTTTTTTTTTCTTCTTCTTCTCCTTTATCAACTCATATTAACATCCGTTGCCTCTGTCTTCTTGTTTTGTGTATTGCTATGATCGATGGTATTGAGAGAAAAATTCGATTCTTTCTTTCTTTTTCTTTTTCTTTTTCTTCCTATCTACGTAGTCGAAATTGACGTCCTGTTTCGAGTGCAACCGTTACTAGCATCAAGCAATGAAAGAAGACGAACATATGAAAACAAGAAATAGATGCGTATACAAACATAAAAGCATCGTATATTATTCTTTTTCGTCCATCTGTCTATCTATATCTCTCTCAAGCATGTATAGAAACAATTTCGTCTACATTATTAATCCCAGGCTAGTAAGCGCTCTCTTCTCTCCTCTTCGACGTGTGCCGAGTACGAATAGGTCAATAATAATGTGAAGAGAGAAAAAGAAGCGAGAGAAGAAACGGGAAAAAACTGGCATCCATGCATGTTCTGCATCTATCTATCTATTTTTGTATTGAAGGAGAACAAAGAATCGACGATCGAGAAAAAGAGGAGGGAGAGAGAGATGCACAACACTATGTTACAGCCGACGTCGCGAGCACATCATCACATCATTCAGTTCGCCTCTATCTTGACGAGAAGCAGCAATAGTAATAGTTATACGCGAAGTAATGAGAATGGAGAAGATTGACAAATTCATATGGTTAATTTGTAGAAGATTTCACGCAAGGGTAAGTGCACTTTTTCTTTGGTCTTTTGCTTGCAAGTGTAAATAAAATTTACTTGTTGGAATCTAATCAAAAATCAATTCGACTATTTCTTTTTCTCATTCACTTTTTATTGTTTAAACGCTCAAGATCTGTGTAAACGCATACGTCTGGCAATTGATCCTATACTGTTGTTAAATGGCAAAGAGAGAAAAAAGAAAGAAAGAAAAAGAGAAAGAGCATGTGAGAAAAGAATCTCTGTTACGCCAGCGAATGAAAGGTGTAGAGTAGAGTAGAGTAGAACTAGTAATCGATTTTTCTTTTGTGGTAGTGAACGAATTATTAACAGAAAAGCAACGTTTACTATACTGTCTATTTCTCTTTCGATGCAAGAGAAAGGAAAAGAAGACGAGGATAGAAAAAAAAGCACCCAAGCGAGTGTGTTTGTCATTTGACATCAATCATTAACACATGAAAAGTAAAGATGATTAGAGAAAAAGACTTTTCTTCTCTCTCTCTCTCTGTCATTTTCCCTATATCCTCTATTTCACCATAAATATGTTGTCATTTACTTGCTTAGAAATCTACTCCCTTTCTTCATTTTATTTAATCAACTCAATTTGTGTCAGCAAAGAGATTGTGCTATGTGAAATTCGAAATCATATCACAGTCTTGCTTTGTTGACATGAAACGAACAACCATGACAGTTTACGTCAAGTTAAACGATTATAAAATGGATTTTTTCCATCAAAATATATCATGGTTTATTTCAAGCCTATTTTATTTTAAAATAATTATTGTTTATGTATATATATATTCATTTTCTATTTATTTACATGTATATAAATACACTTCAATAGCTACATTCGAGGACGGTTTCTGTCGGTAATCAGTCTGTGAAATGTTGAGATAAAATCAAAAGTCATATCACAGCCTGCTTGCTGATCTTCACCGTTGATGACTTCCTTTGATCGTCATGCAATTCTATCGATTGATATTCGTTCGATTAAAATGAAATCATATATCGATATATCTCTTGATGCAATTCGACAACAATCAACTTGTTTTACTTGTTTAAAGGGCACTCTGAACTTTTGATCATGGGAATGAATCGGGAAGATTTATCTTTTTTTCTCCAATTATAAATGAACCATGCCATTTATCTATTCTCTTATGTTCATTCTACACATATGTTCATCTGCTATTAATAAATGAACAAATGTGAAAGACAAGATGTTATCTTCTCATGTTGTTTTGCTCTGATCAGATAGACAAATAATGATTCAATTGTTTTCCTATTGAATAGACACAAAGTATACGAAGGAGAATTCAGCAACTTATGTTTGAAACCTTATTCTTCAAATGAATAGCACATCTGGAAGAGAAATGCGTACAGATTAATCATATCGATGTTGTTGAGAATTGTGTTCAGCGATCGTTTCAATCTGATCAAGAACTTCGAATCAAAAAGCTTGTTGAAGACAAGGAACGATGTTGTACGACCTCTGTTTAAACGAAATTCTATACGTGATGCAAAAATTTAGTGATGATAAATCATGGAATTTAGATTCGTTGAATTTTCAAGAGAAAGTCATTTTTTCGAAGATGCTACTATCGCGTATTTGTACATCTATTGTTAGTCGATGTCATAACGGGCTGCTATGTAATAGCTATTGCCGGTTTTTGACAAATATATCATCAGAGAAGAAAATTGATCATGAAAGCAATAATTCAAATGTAACATTAACAGCACATTCATCGGATGAGGATAATGAATGGTTATGGGCATATTTACGTGACCATAGAAACTTCTCTGAATTAACTATTGAACAGAGACGACGTGTCGTTGAAATTGGTAAGGTAAGAACATCAACATAAACGGTTTCTACTCAAACTTTACTTGTAGAAGTTCAAACTTTACGCGAAAGTGGTGAACGTGTACCGGACGTCATCCCGAACGAACGATGGGAAGAGTTACTCAATATGCCTTTAGTTGAATCTCGCAAAACGCTCTACGGATATCTTTTTCTTCGTGAAATGTATCGCAAACGTCGTGCAGCTATTGTTACTCAAAATAATCTGCGTCGTACTGAGGCAGCTAAACGTCGTGAAGAACTTCTCTCTCAAGGAAAACTACCGACGAACTATCCAGGCTATTCGACAATATTCCGCCACATAGGTCGACAAAATGAAAAATATGTACGTGAACAACTATTACTTCCATCTGCACGTCTCGGCGATATGATTGTGATTGATTGCGGATTCGAACAAGAACATGCGCGTAAATATCATCTACTAAATTTGGTTGACCAAGTACAATATTTATTTGCGGAAGTGAATCGATATCATTCACCATCGTTTGTTTACTTGTGCAATTTATCACCAGAAGGACAACTACAATCGGAATTCGATCGACGAGCACCTCTCGAAAATCTTTGTCTGCAACCAACTGAGTCAAGTTATTTAGACGTTTTTCCACAAGAAAAACTGATATATCTATCACCGGATTCGGATGTCGAAATGACCACATACGATCATGATGCTGTGTACATTATTGGTGGAATTGTGGATGTCAGTAAGTAATCTTTTGACTAGCGAAGTTGTTGAATTGACCACGAAGCAGAGAAACAGAACTGTGTTTGAGAATTGTGGTACCATATATTCATTAATTGATGAACAATCTATCAAATAATCGTTACATTCTTATATTTATAGCTGGTAAAAAGCCATTAACAATTGGCAAAGCCAAACGAGATAATATTCGACATCAACGATTTCCTATTGATCGATATGTAAAGTATGAAGGGAGAAACCGAAGAAATCGATTTGCCTAGAAAGAAAACATAAATCATTCTTATTAGATTTGGTGGCGGTAGTGGCAAAACTCTAACGATTGATCAAGTTTATAATATTCTCATGACATTGAAACACACGGGATCTTGGATTGAAGCATTTAAATTTATTCCGTAAGTATATAGAACTGTTGATCTATTATGAATGAGATATTTCGGTTTTATCTAGAGACAGAAAAGTTGTCGAACGATACTCGGAAAAAAAACAAGATAAACAAGTTGAATTAGAAAAATTCGGCCGGTGGACGAGTTTAAATGTCAAACATTAATTTGTTATTTTTTTGTTTTCATCGTATGAGGAGAAGAAATATACAATTTCGATATTTTGTTATTGTTGTTCCAATGAATTTGATCTTCATAATACGTCGTAATCAATCCCATTCAGATGGCAGAAGTCAATATAAACAACGTATCAAGTCATTCAAATATCATTTGTCTAGTTGAGACGTTCTGCATAAACACATAGGTCACACCACATGCTGTGGTTCATAGTTAGGACAAACGATTAAGCAACCCTTGATGAAAAAATGCGCTGATTTGTTAATAATTGCGCAGATATATTAAGAGTAAAGACGAATCATTGGTTTTGATTCTATGCTGATAATGAGCCGCACTCGCCTTTCAATTGCGTTAATTGTATGACTATCTATACCTCATTAGCGCATGATAAAATGAGAATTTCGAGGTGTTTCTCTGATTTTCTTTTCTTCCTACCAATTATGAATGATTACATACGGTTCAATGCAGAAAATTTCTTTCAGCAATATAATTATATAAAAAAATTAAGTTATATCTATATCGTCTTTCTTTGAATAATCACCGTTGTTGAAAACTGTAAGAAAAAAAAAACATGTTCTTAGACGAATTTCACATGATGTGCATTTGAAGGTGATAAATCATCTGTCTTCTTCTTGATACAACTCGGACTCGGATTTTTTAAGTAGCGATCATTTGAATGGACAATTAGAGTATTGTTCATAATCGAATGTTCATCGTGGTTAGTCGGTGCAAGTTGTTGATAGGATGAATTCGGATAGGGTGACTCGGCCATGTTTATTGATGAATATGATGTTGTATGTTTATTACCATTCGAAGCGATTGGAATGTGCAAGTGTGATGAATTCGTTGCTGATTGTGATATCGATCTTGGGCGAGTATCTGATGGATTGTAGAGAACAGCCATGGTTGCCGAAGATCGTCGACGAGAGATAGCCGCCCACAGATCTGAATCATTCGTTGAGAATCGTCGTGACTGTCTTCGTGAAGCATCGCCGGATGGTGTGCCACCGAATACACTCGGCCGGTGTGCGCTGAGACCTTCAAGTGCATTCAAGAATGGATGTTGTCCACGTCGGAGAAATAGATATAGAACCATTTCACGAAAACGTTGACCAAACACAGCAAATAAAAAGAAATTTATAAAACCATTGAACGCAATGAATAAATTTGCAAATGCATTAAAACGATGTAACGAATTCTGATTCAAACATGGCGATAATTGTACAAGTAAATTAACAAATAAATTTATTGAACGACATAACATAAATGTTAATACGATAACAATTAACATAATGGTTATTCGAATATCTGCTTTCATACGATGGCCTAGTCGTCGTTTCTTTTTTTTAATTAATAATAATTTATGTATCATACTGCCATTACATAATGTTAATAATGTGAATGGAATTACAAAAGTAACAGGGACATTTAGATAAAAGCGATAGATCGATAAGTAGATCGTGTTTGAACCAAGTTTTGTATAAGCTATCTCGTGAAGTTTTTCTCGTAGAACAACAACTGCTAATGGATTACTTGCATTTATTGTGACATTGCGTTCAATATAAACTTTTTTTGTGCGATATTCAAACCAATGTGGAAAGATATAAATATTAACAAGAATGAAAACGAGCAGTAGTAAACGTACAGCCATCTTTCGTGTACGAATCTTTTCCGCAATCAATGGCCAACAAATAAGAAAATATCGATCACCACTGACAAGAACAGTCAAGTAAGTACTACATAGTAATAGCATGGACAAGAAAGGTGTTGTTACTGGTGCGACATGTGCATAGAACTGCTCATACGAATTGGCTAGTAGAGCATTGCGATTGGCTAGATCTGATCGACGTAGGTAGGCTAGTAATTCTGGATAAGAAGCTAAAATATCAAAGAAAGATGAGAACAAAAGAATATTTGCTTTGGTTATTAGGTAAAAATTGAAATATGAAAAGAAAAATTTACCAATGGACTTCAATGAATAATTTATCAATAAACCAGTTAAGAGAAATACATTGCACACAGATAGAGCCATTAAATAAACATGCGTTGAACTATTTCTCATTCGTGGATGAATTAGAACGACGACTGTGAAGATATTGGTAAGAATACCTGGAAAAGATGCTTGAATTATTTTCAAGAAAAAGACAATGTTCGGATTACGTACCAAATAAACAAAAGATTAATGTTAACCATCCACCGACGATGTATTTGATAGAAACAGTGTTGGAATCGATTGGATTCACCTCGACGGAACAATTGAGCGCCATTTAATCGTCATCGATATTTATCGACCGACATCGTTAGAGAGAGAGAAAAAAGAAAGGAAGTTTATTCTAAAATGAAATGAAAAGAAAAATCAATAAGAACTCATTGTTCATTTTTGAAACCATTTTCCTATATTTAACCATCTTGAAAACTAATTAGACATGTATAGTCATACTTGCTATCATTGCCTTGTCATCTACATCTTCTTTTGTTATTTTCTGAAAGAAAGAAAGAAAGAAAGAAGAAGACCGGAATAAAAGATACTGCTTAAAGTCGATCGCTAACAAGCCTATGTCGCAATAGGTCGTTTCTTTTCATAAAAGAATAAGATGATCATGATAAGACAAGACTTCGTTAGATATTAATTGTCGTCTTCTTTTTCAAATTGTCTTTCTTAGCGACAAACGAAAAAATCGGATGATACGTCTAGATTTTAATTTGGTTAGCCAGGTTTTTTTTTCATCTCGCCGCGACAGTTCCTCTTCTTCTTTCAAGTGACGGAGAATATTATAGCATGCACGACTCATCTTTACATTAACAACCATAGAAGAAAAAAAAGTGCTGATGAGTTTCATGGTATCTTTTCCCCAAATTATTCTCTCAAGCAGAATCATAGAAAACCTGAGTAGATACAAAACAGAAAAGGGTTGGTTCCTCATGTTTTACTCAATCATGTGTAATAGATTTTTTATCTGTAAGACAGTAAGTATTGAATGAAATCAGCTTAGCCTTGTCGTTTCTTCATCTCGCCTCTTTACCTGACAATCTCTCACGCCTATATTCATATCTGAATATAGGAAAAAAAAACCCTATCAGCTATTTTTACTCTATGAATACATCGAGTAACTGAAGAGAGTAAGACGATAGTTATAGCATCGAACATTGCAGAATCGAGAGGAGAAGGAGAAGTGCAAAAAACAGGAAATGCTCCCTTTTTTCCTTATTTGCATAAGTTATGCTAAAATACATTCGTTTCATTGTTTGCTGGAAGAAATGGCCAATTCTTAACTAATAAAAGCTCCGTTAACTAATAAGAATACATCTTTTCATCAACTAGTGTCAATAACTATTTGTGTCCGTTGAACATTAGAGCTAGGCAAAGGAAAACTAAATGAGACAGAATCAGGAAACAAACTTCGAGATCGATGTGTGTGCACACTTGTGTGAAGAAAATCAGTCGTGAAAAACAAGGCAAATTCAAGCTAATAGTTAAGATATTCTCTATTCACATCCGAAAGCTTCTCTCTCTCTCTATTCGGAAGAAGTAACATATTGACAGAACTCAACAAAAACAGTGAAAAAAGTTATAAAAGGAAACATCGATTACTTTTTCTTTCAAATGTATTAGATGAATTTACGCGATATATTAACAAATGATGATCATGAGTTGTATTAGAACAATCACCGACCTCTCTTTCTCACTCACTGACATAAGAGAAAAAAAAGAAACGAAGATTTCTCTATACAACAAGTTCTTTTTTTTCTTCTTCTCTATTCTTGTTGAATTTCTATTCTAAGAAAAAGAAACGAAGAATGGGTAACATGGAGAGAACATAAATAAATGAAGTTAAATTAGTCATGACTAGTAGGAGGAACTTTTGTAGATTATTAATTTGAGAAAGTACACTTTAGAAACATAAGGAGAGCAGAATATTGAATGAGAAACATTTCGTAGGAAAGTTTTTTCTCGACTTGTTTTCAAATATAGATTGTTAACTTTCTGTAGGAATGATGCGTGCGATTATATTGTACATTCGTAATGTAGATGTTATGGCGATTAGCGCAGTAGGGCGGAGCTTATACCTTTATCTGTCGTTTGTCGTCAGTCATCTAGATTTCTCGAGCCGATTATTACTGTTACTATACTGTCGAATATAATCTTTGGCAGATTTCAACGCTGCGATTAACATACTTTCCACGAGCGAGTAACAGGTTCGTCGGAGAAGAGAAAAGTCATTCAAATTGCGAAAAGAGAAAGAAGGAAAGCAAGAATGGCAAACACAATAACACTTCAAAAGATCGACATGCAAATATACTTCCTAAACCAGAAGAATTATTCATCGGATCATTGATAATTACATTTGATATATTCTTATGATATTGATTCTAGTCGTATGTTCGCGATAGTGTCATAGACAGATTGATCTCGATCTAACCATTGCGTATGAAAGTGAAGGATGCTCGTTAAGACATGTCGATCTTTATATACATAATATATACTGATTTGTCTTACAGTCGACAAGCATCACATAACTATCAGGATTAAACTTGTAGGAGATATAATCAACTTGTGTGTGCCACCAGTCGTAGAGAAATGATAATCGAATAATCGATGACAAAACGCGCTAGAATATGTCAGTAAGAAAGCAAAAAAAAAACGCGAGTAGAATCAATGTTGCTTTGATGGTAACAGGAGAAAGTAATAGTAGAAGAAACTGCATTATTCATTTGGTCTGATTGCTCTGGCCCATTGGCATCACGACTCGTTCTGGCTATTTGAGAAACGGAGAGAATATTTAGAGTGTTTTCTCAATGGTTCACTCACAAGCATCAGTGCGATAATGCGTACGTTTCCGAAAAGAATAAAAAGTAGAAAATCATCACGAGGAAAAGAAAGACCTCGAGTAAATTATATATAATTATCAATATTTCATGCGTAACTTCGAACGTACGCAGGAAAATGATACACAGCTGGTTCGATATAAAGAGAAAGTGGTTGTTTAAAAAGGAAAATGCTTTTCTTCTAAATATAAACTATCGACATTTGACTTGCCGTTATTCTCTTTGATAGAAATGAGTGATGTGTATGATGACATATGAAAGAAACTAGCAAGAAAAACGGACAAGCAGAAATGCTGCACATCTGCAGCGAGAAGACAACAAGCACGATGACGGAGAAAAAGAAGGAGAAATCGACATATGAGCCGTCTTCATCGATGAAACAGCAGGTTGTCATTAATATGAGACACACTTAGTTAAAAATCAAGCTAACAACAACAACAACAGCAAACAATCTTCGCATCATTTCAGCATTGAAAAACAAACTCCTAGACGATCAAGATCAATTGCCCTCGAACGTATTTAATAATCGCCGTAGCGAACTTTTGTTCCTCTTAGTACGTCTCGCATGATCTCGGAGCCGAATGGTCCAATGTGAATATTTTATCAACATATCTACGTGTCGAGATTTTGTTTTTCTTTGCCTTGTGCAATATTGTCAGCTGTGGAACGGAATACTTGATCAGACATGCATCAATAAGATTATATGAATATTGTTGATGCGAAACGCACTCTCCTACTTTCTCGGAGTTAATAATTAAAATCACGTTGAGACAAGTAGTCAGAGCATTGTTTTCTTTTGTTCAACATATTTTTTTGTTATTGATAGAACCATTGTCGACATATGACGTCAAATGAGGAAATGTATTCCGATTCCAAAATTCCCCAGTAATGCTAACAAGCAACTATTTTTCCATTAAGCACAAATGTAAATATGAGGCATTTCCTCGCGACACAGTTTTGGTGATTACCGTGAGCAGTTATTATTATAACATTAATCTCTTTCTTGCACTCATCTTCTCCTGTCGAAGTAGGCAGAGTTGGCAATCCGAAATGACTTCTGATGAATCGTGACTGTTGTTGTTATTGTACGATAATATGTCTCTTCTAAACGACATTCATCGTCGTTTTAGTGACAAAAGGTAGATGCCTGTAAGAAATGGCGTTTTGGCAATGTTTGTTGTTGTTTCGTATCATATAACCAAAAGTCAATGGATATGTCATTGATACAACGCGTGATATCATCATTGTTACAATTGGGTACAGATGGATCGATTAACAATAATATTGTGGGATGGAGATCGTTATTTAATGAAGAGTTGATAGCTGACTTGTACTTTGATTACGTAAATCGAACTTTGCAAATCTAATTGAGAGAAAAATTTAGCAATCTTTATTCACATGAATTATAAACGAGAAATTCTCATGGGCTTTCAGAATAGACAATAATTGAGTTTGAATAACTAGAAATTATATTGCTATATTCGAAGGAAATTGGTGAACAAGACTTGATTTATAATGATCAGAAATAACTAAAAAATACAATTTGACAAGTTGCGAGTGCGCAAGTAAAGACAGCAAATGTCCACACATGACTAGTTGATCTTCTTGTGCTCGCTAATTGGTTTCAATGGCTACCGTACGGATATACTTTTCGTTCTTAACCAAAAGAACTTTTCTCGCACGTTAAAATACGTTGGTTATCATTAATATATCGAAGAGTGGTTGATTCCGTTTTTGCTTAATTCAATTTAATGATGAGTTTATTATAGAGCAGGAAGTATGTATAGACACTCTTTATTTTCAATTTAACTGTAAAGAAATCGTTCGGAAATAAGTAAGTGAACGTACTATAATATCGCTTTCTTTTACGTGACATTTTCACTGATTTCTATACTTCGGCTTCAATCTAACAGAAAACTGTGAAAACACCGATGATACAAATGTCATCGAGACGTGATTTTTCTATGATGTCATACATCATCTCGTATATCACAAATTGCGATATTGGTAAAATAATTCTATGAGATTATAACTATGCAGAAAGGTTTAACAGAGCCTCTAGCTATCATTCACATCGCGCAATAGTTGTCACATTTTTTTTTCTATATACTTCGTTGTTAATGGATGTAATGATATTGCTCAGACATGTAATTTCCTTTTTTCAATCAACATTTCAAATAAATGCACACAATATTGATAATATTGCAGTTGTTTTTATACTTGCTTTTTATCTAATAATCGATTAGGGCAAACGGGCGTAGGCGTGAGTGTAATAGGTCTAATATTCAGTGTTATTGACATGACGTGACATACTTTCCGATATCATTCTTAACTAGTATACGGATAAATTTTCTTTTTTTCAGTGTATGTTTTCGTTGATATGACGTGCGCGGTGCATTCTTGGTTGATGATATGGTCCTAAAACATACTAGTGCATCTGATCAGATTCCAGTAACAAGAATATTAATCTAAGCGTTTCCGAACAACATATGCTGCTGATTGAATGAGATGATGGTTTGTTCAGCCAACACTTGCTCTCAGTTCTGCTACCTGTCAATCATAAGTGACGAGAGAAATATCTGATTTATGTATTGGAGATTGGTAGTCTTCTTTTTGTACTTTGAACCTTGCGAAGCCATTTGAGTTATGCTATCTTTTATTAAAATGACTTGTCAAAGATCAATCAAAATCTCTTGATTCTTCAATCATTTTCTCGTTGGTTTCTTTGTATTTATTCAAACAGTTGCATAATATCAAACATAAGATATTCAGATTCAATTCATAAACGAAACAATCATTAGAGATGAAAGAATATTTCTTCTTTTCATACTGGAAAACGATACAACATATATATAGTAAAATATACATACACACGCACATGACAGACAATATAAATTGACGCACAAATGAAGAAGCCTAATGCTTGGAGAGTTTTTCTTTCCACAAACGAATCGAATAAAGAAGAAACCGGTTGCTTGTTTTCATATAACGAGAAGAAAAAAGAAGAAGAAGGAGAAGAAGAAGAGTTCTTTACATTATGATACAAAATTAATTGTGAGTTCTATCACAACGTTGCTTGATTACTTTTATTGTCGATTATAGTTGCTTGGGATGTAATAAGATCGCCGTTATCCGCGCTATTATTGTTGTTCGTATCATTGGCTGCTGATTGTTGAGCAGTGATCCATGTCAAGCGTTCTTCGTAAAATTTTATGACAACTTGCGGACATTTTATATTGCAGATACGCGATGGAACCAAATCGGCTTCTCCTGTTCCTTTCCATTGAACTAACAACATTAATTCACCCTGAAAAAATCATAATATAGTTTTGCAAAAGCACTTTTTTTTCATTAAAACTCTGTTACTGTTGCGTCAGTTGCTCCAAGTATCTTTTCTGCTTCGTAACCTCGATCAAATGCCGATGCTTCTTCTGTGCGCGTCGACGAGGTTTGCTGTTTTGTAAAGCTATTGCGATCGAGTGGTGGACGACCACGTTTATTATGTACTGGTGCTTGATCAAGAGACGGCTTGCGTTTCAGTGTTTGAGGATCATTATTTATATAACGAGGTTTTTGCAATAGGCGATTTTCATATTCTTCAATTAAGTCGGGACAATCCAGATTTTGTTGCGGTTCCTAAAAGAATTCCTATATTTGATTAATTAAGTTGAGAAAAGATTATTTACCCAAGTATTTTCCTCTTCTGTATAACCTTTCCATGCTAATAAATATTCCTTTCGACCATTTCGAAATCGATGGCTAACAATACGTTCAACAATGAATTCTTCGCCTTCCTCAGTGCCCAGCATTTGTTGTTTTTCGCCACTAGTATTATTCATTAGATATTGAAAGAATATCTATGTTTTTCTCAGTGAAAAAGAACTTGTGTGTATTTAGAAAGAGAAGAACAAATTCACCAATGAAGTGAAGCGATTCTATACACAAAGATGAAACCGAGTGTTCAAATCGCAACGAACCAATCACAATCAAGGTGCCCATTTTATCAAGATTTTCTTTCTAGTTTTATACAAATTATCTCTGAGTTTCGATGAAAATCTAATTAGATTGATAAAATAATATGATGATAAATAGATGTCACCCAATGGTGGACCTCAATTTGTACGTATTGTGGTTTGAATATAAACCAATCGAAAACGTTTATGCTATATTCTGCACTCTTCATGGAGAATGGAGATGAATTAAATAAGATGATGTAAGATTAAAAAGACAGTACACTCGTTCACTAGTTGAGAATACTAAGATAGCATTTAGAGAAGCAAAATAGGTATAAACCATTTACTAAAATATCAATTTTGTAGATCATGGCTCTTCGATTACTATTGTCAAATCGTATAATAATCCCTCAACGTGCAGTATTCACACGTTTTTGTCGTTATTATACTCCTCTTACTTTCGATTATCGGTCGAACACTACTTTACCACATGTGCTCAATTCTTCCATCTACTGCCCGTCATTGAAAATCAATGCAAAATTATTGTCAGTAAATCATACACATCTTTTAACATTTCAATCCGCTTCGTTATCGTCATCGTCATCCGATAGTAACGCACCATCAAGTCCATCGGATGGTAACTCGTCATCATCATCATCATCATTTTCATCTTCCAATGATGGCAAGAGTCGGGATGACGATGGTGATGGAGGAAATGAGCAAGGAGATGCTACTGTACCTGTTGTTATTCAACCAGGAAATCCTTTGATGCCTGTTGAAGTTCCTGAGAATTATCCTATTGTTCCTTTGATACCTGTGACGCGTCATCCTTTATTTCCGAAATTCATCAAAATGCTTGAAATTACAAATAAAGACTTGATGGATTTGATTCGACGAAAAGTGAAATTGAATCAACCTTATGCTGGAATCTTTTTACGAAAAGAAACACCCGAAACAACAACTACCACTGCTACTACTGGCGAAAAACCACCAGCAGAGTCGCCAAAAGAGAAGGAAAAAGAAAAAGAGAAAAATGCGAACATAGTGTCATCGGATGTCATTAAAAATCTTGATGAAGTTTATAAAATTGGTTCATTTGTACAAATACATGAAGTACATGATATGGGCGATCGATTACGTATGATTGTCATGGCTCATCGACGAATTAAAATTGTCGGTCTCGTGTCTGACGAAATCGCCGTAGAAGACGTCGATCGTCGTCGTCCACCACCGACGCCAACAAAATCCAATGGAAATCGAAGACGACAAAGACGAAAGGGTAGGCATGATTCTAATCTTCAAGTACAGCGACCTATTTCCTTCTTTAGATGATCCAGTCGTTGCTGCTGAAGAACCGATTTCAGAGCCTACTTCACCATCAGTTAGTGAGGAACCTATCGTTGTGAATAAAATTCTATTGGTCAATACTGAAAATGTCAAACACGATGAATATACGCAAACGCCAGAATTGAAAGTATGATCATCGTCTCGACAAGTCTATAATTAAATCGTGATTTTCGGTATATTTTAGGCATTGACTGCAGAATTAGTGAAAACTATTCGAGATATTGTCGCTTTGAATCCATTCTATAGGTAAAACTAACACTGAGTATGATTTGTTTTCTCACAGCTAGAATTATTCTAGAGAATCCATAGCTGCACTTATACATAGTGGTCAGCGTGCTGATCATCCTGTTTATTTAAGCGATTTGGGTGCAGCTCTGACAAGTGCTGAAGGTGCTGAACAACAAGCTGTCATGGAAGAAATGAATGTATGATTGAAAGATAAAGTTTTCTGAAGAAATCGTATACTTTCATTTGTATAGATTCCAAATCGATTAATGTTAACATTGAATCTATTGAAAAAAGAATTGGAAATGAGTCGTCTTCAACAAAAGATCGGCAAAGAAGTGGAAGAGAAAGTGAATAAACAACATCGAAAATTTATGTTAATGGAACAACTACGTGTGATTAAAAAAGAATTAGGCTTGGAAAAAGATGATAAAGAGGCAATGAATGATAAATTTCGTACAAGATTGAAAGTAATTTCTGTTGACATGTATTGTCAGTTTCAGAATTCTGTATTCCAATTCAGGATCTTGTCATCCCACCTAATGTTAAAACGGTTATTGATGAAGAATTGGAACGATTAAACGTTCTGGAAAAGCATTCAGCTGAATTCAAGTTCGTTGAGAAGTTTTACCTAAGTGAAATATTGTATTCTCTCAATCTTTCAGTATTTGCACCAATTATTTGGATTGGTTAACAAGTCTTCCATGGGGAAAGATAAGCGAAGAAAAAACTGATCTTCATCATGCACAAGAAGTGCTCGATGAAGATCATCATGGAATGGAAGATATCAAGAAACGAATTCTTGTAAGATGAAGATTTTAGCTTCGAAATCCTTTCATTGGTTTCATGCTTCGTATCTCTAGGAATTCATTGCAGTTAGTCATTTGAAAAAATCGACTCATGGAAAAATTCTCTGTTTTCACGGACCACCAGGTGTTGGAAAGGTAAATCATTCTAGAAACAAATACTATCGATGTATCTCATTTCTTTTAGACTAGTGTTGCAAAATCGATTGCACGAGCATTGAATCGAGAAGTACGAGACATACATTGGAATGAGTTTCGATTGTATTTCTTTCGATGTTTAGTATTTTCGGTTCAGTGTCGGAGGTATGCATGATACGGCTGAAATTAAAGGTCATCGTCGAACTTATGTCGGAGCCATGCCTGGTAAAATGATTCAATGTTTAAAGAAAACGAAGACAGAAAATCCATTGGTATTGATTGATGAAATTGATAAAATCGGTCGTGGTGGTTTTCATGGTGATCCATCTGCTGCACTTCTCGAAATGCTTGATCCAGAACAAAATGCCAATTTTCTTGATCATTATCTCGATGTTCCAGTTGATCTTTCAAAAGTATGATTAATATCAGAGAAATCCAGTGCCTTACACAAATGATTGACTTGTTTCAGGTACTATTTATATGCACCGCTAATGTACTGGATACGATTCCTGACCCGTTAAGAGATCGTATGGAACTTATTGAAGTATCTGGATATGTAGCTGAAGAAAAGCTAGCTATTGCAAAAGTAACTTCGAGCGTGCGGTATTTTTCTATTTGTAAGACATGCTTCTTTTCTTTCTAGAATTACTTGATTCCATTAGCTATTAAACAAACCGCTGTGAAGGAAAATAATATAGAAATATCCGATAGCGCTTTGATGCGATTGATCAAAGCGTATTGCCGCGAAAGCGGTGTTCGTAATTTACAAAAGCATATCGAAAAGGTAAACGTAGTATCTATTTCTTCGACAATTCGTCAGTGATTTCGTTTAGATTTTTCGAAAAGTTGCGTTTAAAATCGTGAAAGAAGGTGAGAATAAAGTCGTTGTCGACGAAAGCAATCTTCAAGAATTTGTTGGTAAACCCGTGTATACATCCGATCGAATGTATGAATTAACCCCACCTGGCGTTTCGATGGGTTTAGCATGGACAGCAAGTGGTACGTAGTATGAGTAATTCATATTCGATACAACACTTCGAAATCTACTTTTGTAGGTGGTAGTGTTCTTTTCATTGAATCACGTTTAATCAATCCAACCGAAGCATTTGGAACATCTGATGCATCAAGTAAAGACGATAAGAGCAGTGGACTAGCCGGTAGTCTAACATTGACTGGTAAACTGGGCGATGTGATGCAAGAAAGTTGTAAGATTGCTTTAACTTATGCTAAATCATTTCTACAACAAATCGATCCAAAAAATCGATCATTACGCATCGGTCACATTCATGTGCATGTACCTGAAGTAAGAACAAAAAAATGCTTTTTTGTCCTATATACAACACTAAAATATTCTACATTTTCTTTACAGGGCGCAACACCTAAAGATGGTCCATCAGCTGGTTGTACCATTGTCACAGCACTTCTGTCACTTGCTCTGAATAAACCAATAAAACAAAATGTTGCAATGACTGGCGAAGTATCATTAACTGGCCGAGTGTTACCTGTCGGTGGTATCAAAGAAAAAGTCATCGCTGTACGTCAAACAATCTGATTTCGAGACATTAATTAGATTTCATTTGTGGTTTTTTCTTGTAGGCAAAACGAGCGAATGTTCATACAGTGATTTTACCACATGAAAATCAAAAAGATTACAATGATTTACAGGATTTTATCAAAGATGGTCTCACAATTCATTTCGCGAAAACATATGATGATGTTTACAAGATCGTATTCGAAGATTAATAGACTTGTGAGGAAGAAATAGCTCTGGCAATTCTTCTCATGGCTTTTTGTTATCCTTTGGTTTTTCTTTCATGCTAAATATACGTATATGTAGTTTGCATTTTTGTTAATAAACAAGAAAAGAAAATATTGTCTCAATAGAACATATGATCGTTGCACCGCATCTCGTCATATTGGAACGCTAAAATATTAACATCCTTGGTGGACGTCATTTCAGGCCGTTTCACTCCTCCGCCGTCTTTTCCGATACGTTGATCTTGAGAGTGCGGCTGAGAGAATGAAAGAAAAAAGAAAATGAGACTTGAGAGCTTGTTCTCTACAAGTGAATCGAGTTGTGTGATGAAAACAAAGACATTCGCTGGTTGCATTTTATTTTTCTTCAGAAGAAACAGAAAAAAAACGACTACTTGGCATGATTTGTTGACAATATTTCTAATTATATTTTCTTTTTTTTACTGTACAATTCAATAGCAAAAAAGCAGCAAAGTGTACTCAAAAAACATCCTTTTTTTTTGTAACACCACATTTGCTTGAAAAAGCCAGCCAAGTGTGTTCGAGTAAGCAAAAAGTAGGAAGAGAAAAAACAAACCGAACAGAACGACACACCTTTTTTTTTAAAAAACAAATCACAACTGTAATTCGTATGGACACGTAAGACTGATTTCTGGGTTTTTTTTTCTCTAGAAATGTCAATCTTTTCGCGGGTTGCCTATCATCAAAATACGACATTGAAGTTAAACGTAGGTATTAATCATGTACAACGCTTTGTACGTGGCCTACAGTCTACAGCTACAGATTCAACACCACAAACAATGCATTTGGATAGTGAAAATCAACAAGAAGATTTAGGGTATTCACTTCTCGATCATTCTCTTTATTTTAATTGGAAAGACAATTTTCTGTGTAGAACTGGCTTTTATACTATGGTGGAAAAGTTTTACGATCGTGCAGCAAAGCTTCTTGAAGAAAAGCTAGTGAATGATATGGCTAAATCAAAATTAACCGAAGAACAGAAGCGTATTAAAGTACGCGGTATTCTAACAATGATGAAACCACCCAACTATGTACTAGCAGTTACTTTTCCTGTTCGTCGTGATAATGGTGAATGGGAACTGGTTGAAGCGTGGCGAGCTCAACACTCCTTACATCGCACACCATGCAAAGGTGGTATTCGATACTCAACGGATGTCAATCTTGATGAAGTCAAAGCTCTAGCCGCCCTCATGACATATAAATGCGCCTGTGTAAATGTGCCATTCGGTGGCGGTAAAGCCGGTGTCAAAATTAATCCTAAAGGTAGGACTAGACGATATTCTTCAATATAAAGACTTATTTTGGATGTTGAACAGAATGGTCGGAAGCTGAATTGGAGCGTATCACACGACGATTAACTGTGGAATTAGCAAAGAAGGGTTTCATTGGACCTGGTATCGATGTTCCTGCACCAGATATGGGTACTGGTGAGCGTGAAATGGCATGGATTGCTGATACCTATGCATCAACAGTTGGTTGGGAGGATATCAATGCACATGCATGCATCACGGGTAAACCCATTCTACAAGGTGGTATTCACGGTCGAACATCAGCTACCGGCCGAGGCTTGTATCATGGTGTGAACAATTTTATAAATGAAAAGTTCTATATGGATAAAGTCGGTTTAACTACTGGACTTGCGGGAAAAACATTCATCGTTCAAGTAAGGAAGAGTGTTATAAACCATGAGTAGTCATTTTTTAAAATTTTTTTCAAGGGTTTTGGTAATGTCGGTCTACATTCAGCACGATATCTAACTCGACACGGTGCAAAATGCATTGGTGTACTTGAATGGGACGCGGCTATCATCAACCGAGATGGAATTAATCCAAAAGAACTTGAAGATTATAAGGCTGAAAATGACACTATCAAAGGTTTCCCTGGAGCGAATCCCTACGAAAACGCCGACAAACTCGAATTACTCTGTGAACAATGCGATATCCTTGTTCCAGCGGCAAGCGAACAACAGATTACATCGAGAAATGCTGGTCGCATCAAAGCCAAAGTAACACTTTTTATATTTATCAATTACTAAGACTGAAATAACTTTATGTAGATCATCGCCGAAGGTGCCAATGGACCTACGACACCTGCTGCAGATCGAATTCTTCTTAAAAATAACGTTCTAGTTATTCCAGATATGTATGTCGTATGTACTTTTCACCATTTACCTACAAAAATAGTTGAATTCTTTTTCCCTATAAAGAATGCCGGTGGTGTGACAGTATCCTATTTTGAATGGCTTAAAAATCTAAATCACACATCATACGGTCGATTGACATTCAAGTATCAACGTGACACAAATTATTCACTTCTTGGTAAAATTAGTTATTTGCTTCATAGCTTTCCTCACTGCATTTTACATTTCTAGAAAGTGTTCAGAGCTCATTAGAAGCAAAATTTGGTCGAATGGGTGGTAAAATTCCTATTGTTAGTCATCAGATTAGCCCTTTGATTTCACCATTTGACTTTTCCCCGTTCTTAATAGATTCCCAGTGACCTATTCTATAAACGTATGGCTGGCGCGTCCGAAAAAGATATCGTACATTCTGGCCTTGAACAAACAATGGAAAAATCAGCACGGGCTATTATGGAAACTGCTCAAAAATTCAATTTAGGTTTAGATTTACGTACAGCTGCTTATGTCACTGCGCTGGAAAAGATTTATAATACGTATTCATCTGCCGGCATGACCTTTGGTGTTTAGGTTGTTCAACCAATATCATAGACAAAGAAATATTGTCAGCAAGACATATCAAAGTTTTGTTTTAAGAAAATCTCATCGTTTTATTTGTTGTCTTTTGTCCAGATATTCTACGAATGTGACTAATTAATCCAATTTCGAAAAAATTTACTTTTAGATTAAAAACGACAGGAGGAAATGTTAAAAGTCGCATTACGCAATAATCATTCGTTGTATCAAATTTCAAGTCACTCTCTTGTGCGTCATTCTTCACATGGATCGGCAACAACACAGCAACAAAGTGGACCAGGACATTTCGGGTTTTATCGTCAAGTCGAACTATTTTACGATCGTGCTGCGAAGATTCTCGAAGATAAATTAGTCGATGATATGGTTAAATCAAAACTATCCGACGACATGAAACGCAAAAAGGTGCGAGGAATATTGAAAATCATCAAACCCTGTAATCACGTCTTGGAAATACGTTTTCCTGTGCGTAGAGATAACGGAGAACTCCATATTATCGAGGCATATCGTGCTCAGCATTCTCAACATCGAACACCATGCAAAGGTGGTATTCGATATTCTATGGATGTCAATCTCGATGAAGTCAAAGCCCTGGCCGCCCTCATGACGTATAAATGCGCCTGTGTAGATGTTCCATTCGGTGGTGGTAAAGCCGGTGTCAAAATCAATCCTAAAGGTAGGACTAGACGATATTCTTCAATATAAAGATTCACTTTGGATGTTGAACAGAGTGGTCGGAAGCTGAATTGGAACGTATTACACGACGATTAACTGTGGAATTAGCAAAGAAGGGTTTCATTGGACCTGGTATCGATGTTCCTGCACCAGATATGGGTACTGGTGAGCGTGAAATGGCATGGATTGCTGATACCTATGCATCAACAGTTGGTTGGGAGGACATTCATGCTAATGGTTGTGTCACCGGCAAGCCGATTTTGGTTGGAGGTATTCATGGTCGAACATCAGCTACCGGTCGAGGTCTTTATCATGGTGTGGACAACTTTATTAACGAAGCTTCATATATGTAAGAGTCAGAGGTGAGTTTCGATAGAATTTTATAAAATCTATTGACTATTTCAGGGGAACTGTTGGTCTTCTACCTGGTCTTGCTGGCAAAACGTTCATTGTACAAGTATGAGAAAGAAACTGATATAGAGGAAACGACTGATTGCTTTCCTTTTAGGGTTTTGGTAATGTCGGCCTTCATTCGACGCGCTACTTAACTAGACATGGTGCAAAATGCATCGGCGTACTAGAATGGGATGCTGCAATTGTCAATCCAGAAGGCATCGATCCCAAAGAATTAGAAGATTACAAACTAGAACGTGGAACAATTAAAGGCTTCCCCGGAGCAAAACCTTATGATAAGCAACCGAAAGAAGAATTGCTTTGCGAAGAATGTGATATTCTTGTGCCAGCTGCAAGTGAACGACAAATCACATCAGAAAATGCAGGTCGTATCAAAGCTCGAATTATTGCCGAAGTAAGCCGTATACAAATCTTCGTATCACATATCAACAAATATATGTGTCTAGGGTGCTAATGGCCCAACGACACCAGAAGCTGATGTTATTCTTATGAAAAACAATGTTCTTGTCATTCCAGGTATGACTAGAAACGCTTCTCGTCGAGCATCGTGAGAAATACGCTATTTAGATTTATATATCAATGCTGGCGGTGTCACTGTTTCGTATTTTGAATGGCTGAAGAATTTGAGTCACGTTAGTTATGGCCGATTAACATTTAAATATCAACGTGATACAAACTATGCTCTACTTGGTATGTTTCCAGACGATTCTCTTTTCAAAGACTCTCTCACTAAACTTTCATGTAGATTCCGTACAGAGGTCATTAGAATCGAAATTTGGGCGAACGGTAATGAAATTCCTTACCACTATTTAATGTCTATCTTCTTCATTTTCCTATTTGTTTCTTCAGGGTGGAAAGATTCCAATTGTAAGTAGAAGAATAATATATTTGCAAAGCACATATCTAAACTTATCTATTAATCAAAACAGGTTCCTAGTGAAAACTTCTTCAAACGTATGGCAGGTGCTTCCGAGAAAGACATCGTACATTCTGGTCTCGAACAAACAATGGAAAAATCAGCGCGAGCAATTATGCAGACAGCCACGCGTTATGATCTCGGTCTCGATATCCGTACAGCCGCTTATGTAAATGCGATTGAGAAGATTTATAAAGTTTACGTTAGTGCTGGTATCACATTTGGATCATAAATGATCATTTCTCGAGACGATGACTGGTTGCTATAAGAAAATTTTGTTTTTTTTCTGTCTCATTGTATCAGATTGTTTGTTTCCAGAAAAATCTCGAATTTTCAATCCGATATAGCTCTACTATCCAGTAATAATAAAGATGACCTATGTGTATGAAATCTGTTGTGACTGCCACAAATCAAATCACACATTGATGGAAATTTCTACTGCCACAAGGCGACGAATTTACATTCGACATTCATCAGTCGCGTTTTAAAGACAAAATATTGATGTAATTAGATACATTTGCATGATATTCGATAATTTAATAACACGAATTCTGTGTCAAAAATGACGATGTTATCTTTGTGGATGTTTACCAACATTTATCAAAGTAACTAGACATGTTCTTGTCTGTCATTTATCACAATTCAACTTGTTGCTTTCTTCAGTAAACGTCTGGTACTTGATAGAAACCCATCATCATCATCACTATCAAGGTTATCACTAATAGCCATTTATTTTAGAATTAAGTCAATAAAAACAATTGGATAACTTGCCATTAACAGATAATAGTTGCTATCTATCAAGATATAACATATTAGTCAAGCTGCAATAAACACTTCGCACGAGAGTATAAAATAAACACAATGAGAATACCGACATGACAATGTTAAAAGATATCAAGTTGGATTGATAATTATGAATATGCGTCTTCGAAATATTTCGAAGATAATATTCAACTTATATAATTCATGCACAAAGGGTCTACCAATCCCTATACGAAATAGATAATGAGTTTCTTTCTCTCTTTGTATTGTGATTATCAAGTGTATTATGATGTAATCGAAGCAAATGAATACTAAGTATGATGATGATTATGCAAATAGTCATTCATATTCAAAAAAAAGAATGAGAACCTACTATCATCAATTGTCGTACGTGTTGATAGTAGTTCAATATCCTATATAATCTCATCGATATGTCTACGAGATTAATGTTGAACAAATCTGATTAGACAAGAAACAGAAGAAGAAAATGCATAGATTATTTGACAGTCTATTCAAGTCAAGTGATCTATCTGATCAAATCATTTCTATACATATATAAAGTGTGCAAATTTGTTCCATGCTTGGTATTTATTAGAATATGACGAGTACGAGAATTTTCTTCATACAGAAATAGAAGAATAAAAGCAAGAGATTATATTGCAGAGCTATTTCATGAGAAGAAGAATAAGAAGAAAAGAATGAGAACAGGTAGACAAACGTACAATGAGTAGTGAGATATAGGATTCAAATAACAGCCACAGGACAAAAAAAAACAAACAAACAGTGTTGTGATATTCACCGGTGATGGCTGTTCGTAATAAATGAATTTGTTATGAGATAATTAAAACAAATAAGCAAACAAACAGAACACTAGTCTACATAGGTTTATGAGAATTTTAATGTTCATTCATCATATGGACTTGTGTGAACAATAACATACTTCTTGTTATTGACATGTATACGTAATTTAGATTTGTCCGATTGTAAAGCCCAACAAAAACAACAACTGAGTGTTGTTGTTAACAGATTTGCGCTGATAGCAGCAACTGCTAACCAAAAAGCTAAACCAAAACGTTCCACATTGATAATCCAAGGATTAAATGCTACAATCAATGCTTCAGATTGTCCTAATTCATAAGTATAATCAGGTCGATAGAAACGATCTCGTGTCCATTCGTACAGGAAGATTCCTAAGCCTCCCGCGCCACTGAGAAACGATGCGAAAGAAAATAAACTAATAAATGCAAATGGAATTGAATAAAATCGATCAACACAATTTATACACAATAAGATTAGTAGGGCCATAAATGTTAATAATGGCGAAGCGATGAAGAGAAGTATCATAACCGAATGACGGATACGTTTCAAGTCATTGTGTCGATCACGTGATGATGGTGTCGAAGAGGAGAACTTGAATGAGAAATAGTCTTGAACACCTTGGAGATCAATCGAAATTGTTTGTCTCCAGATACATTTCTCATCTTTTAAATAGTAATGTGTACGATTGAAGATATGATCACACATTTCTTGATCGATATAAGATGGACACAATGGAGCATCATCACATCTTTTCACCTAAACAAACCAACAGTTAATATTCGGAACACTTAAGAACACTCAAATTAAAATCATACGCAAGATTTTGTTTCAGGACAGTAAACAAATGAGCTATTACATAATTCAGGAGAGAGAATGGAGTGGGATTCCATCTGACCAAGATCATGCTTGTCACTATTGATTGTATATAAATAAATCCATTTATAATCAAGACAATAACCAAATAAGCTTAATTGTGAACGAAATGCGTGTCGGAGGAGACGTTTTTGCAATTGAATACTTTGATTATTCATTACTAAATATTCTCGTTGTTGATTGGTTAGATTATGTTTAATAATTGCATTGTGATTAATCGAAGTCCAACGAGAACTTAGCAGTGCATAACAATACAAACCAATTGATACAGTCATTGGAAGAACAATATTAATAACTAAAATACTGACCTTCATCGTGAATATTTTTCTTCTATCTAGAAACAGAAATAAACAATAAAGACAAACGACAAATAATGATCGACATTCCTGCTGAGTAGACTTCAGTTTTCAGTGAATGTGACATATTAGCGTTTGTATAAATGAGGTTTACATTCTTTCTCTTCTGCTGTGATGAGATATTTTTCTTCGATAACTTTAGAGTGTTAACCTTTTTACTCTCGTTTATCTGACGTGTTTCGTGTTCGTAGAATATGTACAATCATCGACTGATTTCTTCATCGGACGTGTTCAATAAATCTACACTTCAACTCAGAAGAAAAAACATCTGCTAAAGAAACAAGCGGTTGCTATAATGCTACTGTTCCTGCTCAATCAAGCACTTAAACAAAAGAAGAATACATAAATACCCGCAACACAGGCGAATAATCGTGTATATATGTAGGCGTGCCTTGACCCCCCACCGGCTGGTCGTCACATGCATACATATATAAAGTCGATTACGTATTCATCATTCAATATTAGAACGTCGGCACATACAAAACACAATGAGTGGTTCATCTAATTCATTTGTGTATGCTCAACCCTTCGAGACCGGTGCATTTGTATACACATACGGATGTGTAGAAAAGGTAATTTGACGCAGACTGAGAAGAAATATAAGCGAGAAAGAGCGTGATCATAAAATTCTTTATTCGTACGATGAAAGACGGAAATCTGATGATGATGAATTGATGAAAAAATATCGAATGATTGAAAAAATATCTTTTCAACGTGTGCTAATATCATAATTCTTCTTCGAATGTCAGTCGAAGGAATACATAATAATGAAAACTGAATGCCTTTTGATGATAAATATGATAACATGAAAAACAAACTATACATACATATACACAGACAGATAGACACAGATAGAAGAAGCGATCGTGAGTAGTCAGCTGCAAAAGCACTGAAAAGAATGAATGAGTGATGAAAGAAAGAAAAAAAAGAAAGAGAGCCACAGAGAAGGAGAGCAAGAGAGAAAGAAGAAAAGAATCAGATAAAGACACTAATCGAAACTATGTGAATAAGAATTGACATATACGATAGTGATGATACTGTTATCATAACGTTCCAAATAGTAAATATCTTTTTTCCCGCCTCGAGGAAGAGATTATTAGATTAATTCTAATTACATGCAGCGCATGTTCAACACTGATTTCAAGGGAAATCGCGAAGAAAATTCTACCTTTTTAGTAATTCAACAGACATTGATCGGATCGAATTTTGATAAATTGTTGATACAAAAGTCAAAGTTTCTGATTATCATCAGTACAAGATTAATGCTAACCTTGATCATGCCACACTAGACATCAAGTAATTCAATGATCAATAGCACGATAATGAGAATAACCGACACGACAGCAATGCAAGGAACATACTATGATATATTCTTCAATTGTATATATAAATACACATTTAATCAAAGAAGAAAGGTTGAATAGAAGCAAAGAAAGAAATCTATTTCTATTTATTTAAATAATCCTTGATGGAAATCAAAGTATGTAGTTATTAGTTAAAAGATTTCTCAAGTTCAATTTTCACTCTGCCCTTAAGATCAAAAGAATATTTGAATACACATCGGCCAAACTTTAATGAATTGCAATCTCATGGAAACAGGATACTTTTAACCTTGAAATCAATGCGAATCTATTTTTATTTCGAGCAAATCAATACCACTTTGGTGACATGAGTAATTTTCGCTATTGAATAATAGTGTATTGTTTTATCGTTTCGAAGAAGTCATTATCAATTGTTTGTGTTTGTTAGCTAGCGCCGTCTGTTGATTTCATTATCGGTTTGGACAGACGAACACCTCTAATATTTCAAGGAAGAGAAAAAAAAAGAAGAAGAGAAGGAGTAAAAGACAATCGGTCATTCATCGTTCTTTTTTATTTACGTTTGTCAATCAAGTTAATTTTGGAAGAAATGACGGATACGCGAACCCTTTCATCGTCATCTTCCTCGACAACAAACCATGTAAATGGAACAAATTCGACACCGTCACTACCTTCTGATTTAAATAATGTCAATGGTTTAACCACTTATGTAAACACTGGCAAATTTGTTAAATTTTACTCAACATGCTTTTTTTCTAATTAAGGTGAATACGATCTTCCATCAAATGGAAGAAAAATTTCTAGCTGCAAGCGATCAAGTTATGAATCGTATGAACGAATTAGGCCGCAAGATTGATACGTTAGAAACGAGTCTTGGTGATATTATATCTCATTTACCAGCAGAAGAGTCAGCAACATCAAACCCATCGCCAAGCGCTATCCCAGTACAACAACAAACCAAATCATGATCAGATTGTCAACGTTTCTGTTGTATTTTTTATCTTCACAATTAGAACGTCTTCTTCTCACGACGTAGAAATGTTATTTCATTTGTAAACTATAAAATAAACAGATATAACCTAGCTATCAAATGTTTCATTTTTGCATAACAAAACTCAACCACAGAACAACACATTTGCTCACTTGTATTGCTATTAGTCATTCAACATTCTCACACAAATAAATAATCCGTAAAAAACTAACTTCACTGTGCATGTTCACGCTTTACCAGTATTTTAATCTATCTGTAAGCTTTCTGACAAGTCAGTTGACCTTCTTTCATATAATAGAATTTATCTCTACCTGTTAACTTTCAAACAAAACTTCTCATCTAAACAAAACAAACGCGGTTGTATCAAATGCTTCTCTCTTATCTTTGAGTATATATACTTACCTTTCTCATAATCTATTTCGCTTCAGACATTTCAGTTCGAGAATATAGATCACACAATCCTTACTTCATCACTTTAGCTAAAATTAGAAACTTTTTTCAGATGTTCTTGAAGACTTTATGTATTGTCATATCGTTTCTAACGGTATCGGCCCATGCCCGCCTCATAGATGACGTACCGAATTTACGTGGGAATTATTATATGCCAATTCCAGGCAATGGTAATCAATATGTATTCAACATTGATTGGTCATATTCTCTCGATGAATACGTTGTTACTGTTACCGGACAATCGTTAGCTTGGGCTACTGCGACATTAAGCATAGTTAATGATACTTCAGTTAACCTACTCTGTGATAATGGCATTAGTATATCGGGTGTTATAAGCTACTCGACAGATTTACCGACAATTTGCTGGCCGACGTTCAAAGATTTTACCTGTTGGAAACATCTTCTTTCGAATATAACACGAATTCATGTGATTAATATGTAAATAAATTATTTCCTTGTCTTATAATCGACATGAAACTCAACAATTCGTTTGAATTCTCTTTAGGAATCATTTAGATGTCGGCTACAATGGCATTCCCATGACTGGTTTCATAAACAACATTCTAAATATCTATTTCCATCAATACTTTCCTCGTGCCGCTCTTCTAGCCGAACAAATTCGTCAAATATCTCCTGAAGATACATTCGTATATACAACTCATCCTTGGTTACTCAGTATGTTTTTCGATTGTCCATCAGATTTTGTGCTCGCTGGTATTCAACTGAAATGTCCATCGAATAAAGAAATGCAATTGATTGAACGAGCTATACGAACAGGTGCAATCACCTGGCATGCTGGCGCGATGAATATGCAATATGAATGGATGGATGAACGAGCATTAAATTATTCGTTAGATCTATCAGTGTCATTGGCAAAACGTTTTAATGTTCCTGTTCCATGTGTAGTCAGTGTTCGCGATGTTCCAGGTGTTCCGATTGCGATTCTCAGATCGTTAAATCAATATTTTTCGCAGTATTGTTCGTTCAAACCTATGGTCACCGTTGGAGTTAACCCTGGTAAATAGAAATTTGAAGTATTCTTCCAAAAATTCAAATTTATTTTAGCGGTTACTGATGTCGATATTCCCAATGGTTTATTTCGCTGGGGAACAAGTGATGATTTAAGTATATTGGCAACATGGCATGTATATGGTTCGCACATACTCGAAAAATTCGTGTATAAATCATAAATTTCAGGCTATCCAAACAATCCTGGCTCGACATTTGGTAATCCTGGTGGTTTATCGATTGACGATATTGTCATCGTACCCGAAACAGGTGTTGGTTTGGCATTCGCATTCCGTACAGATAATCAAGGTAATATGGCCGACTTCTATACGATTGTGAACACACACAATGCAAGTTTCTAGGTCCACCAATGTCTGTTGCTGAAATTCGTCAAAATCATGAAATCATTCGGCAATCATATCCAAGTGCTCGAATCATCTCGTCGTCATTTCAACATTTTCTGGAAGATGTTGCTGGCGTTGCACCAGAATTAGAACTATTCGATCGTGATATATCCGATTCATGGTTACAAGGTATCGGTTCAGATCCAAAACGTGTTCAACAATATCAAGCATTGCAAAGAGCATTGGCAACATGCTTCGATCGTAAACTATGTTCAACAGATGATGATCAATTGAAAAGTGCAAGTCGATATCTTGTTAAAATTCCAGGTACGAGTCAGTAATCTTCTTTCAATGAAATATTCTCAATTTTTTATTTAGAACACACATGGGGTTTGCCGTCAGTATACGATCAAATTAACTGGAGTAACAAACAATTTGAAGTAGTGGTTAATACAGCCCAATCGTACAATAATTGTCGATCAGCATGGCTTGAACAACGAGCATTTTTCGACGTATACTTAAAAGCTGTTCAAGATCATCCACTTCATAATATAATTCAAGAGGAACTTCGTTTAGCCTTTGACAATGTCAAACGCCCTAATCTAGATGATTTCAAAACTGTTTCACCGACGGAAACATTCGTTCTATTTCGCAAATCAGCAAATCCAATTACTGTTTCATTCGACAAAAATCTCGGTTCCATCTCCAATCTATCCCGAAGCGAAACAATCTATTGGACTGATGAAAATTCTCAATTAGGAACCTATGTTTACATAACCTACAATGAAACAGACTTTATCCAATTGTCAAATACATATGGCAATCCAGGTATGATACTTCGAACTCGATGTATGGATGAATCAATTATGTATATTTAGGTTATGATAAACCAAATTCGACGGTTAATGCAAATCCCGATTCACGCATTTGGTTACCATCACTGAAACGATTCTTTCGATCCCGTAACGATGAAAATGTCTTTCTCGCTCTATTAAATCTCGACAACGAAGCTGTAGCTACTTATGGTGGTTTCAATGAAACATGGTTATTGTATAAGTTCATCGACGAAACATCATTTAGTCTCGAGTGGCTTGGTTTAGATAAGACAGCAACACGACTTGCCGAAGCATCAATGGTGAAATTTCTACTTCCGAATCAACCATCATGCTCGCTAATCCAATACGATACTGAAGTTGATGTTCAACAAGCCGCAACAAAATCGTCATACTATCAACGAGGCGTCGATGCTTTTTCATGTCAGGCAAGCTTGTCATCGAAATGTTTTGTCACCCTCAATGTTAAATCATTGGATGCACCCATAGGTCTGTTGAAATTTTCATTTCTCCTCGCTCAAGTTTCTTTTTTCTGTCGTTCCGAATTTCAGCTTGTCCAATCCTGAAAGGTAAAGAACCAACAGCCCTTCCATTTCCAGCACCTGGCAATTCTCCACCATTGGACGGAATGGCTTACAATTTACATAATAATGTTTGGGATACGAACTATATTTTCTGGTATCCATTAGTTTCAGGTGACGAATCATGGCGCGCTCGATTTATAGTCACATTTGATGGATCATGTAGTTAAATCATTCGACTTCTTATCAAAACACGTAGTGATACATTTATTCTTTCATTCTTGTTGTAATTTATTTCATTTATTCTGTGAACAGTAGTTTGTTTTCGACATGCTTTCAATAAACGAATCAATAATAGCAAAAGGAATTAGTGTCATCTATATCTCATTGATTTTGTTTTCTTTCATTCGGAGACTTAAAAATCATATCGAATATCTCTTCATGATTTTCGATTGGATAGAATGAAAGAATTTTCGATATATTTTCTTTGCCACGTGCTACTTTTCTCATTAAATTTTTACTATGAATAGACCATCTGATCACGTTGTACAAGTGAAAAAGATCGCCAGTTTTGAACCACGAGAACAAAGTATGAATATCCAGAATAATCATCCAGTGACCGTATGTATTTTTCAAACAGGAAAATCATCTTTTTTTATCATTGATTATAACGAAATAGAATGGTTCGAATGAACTTGATTACATGTCACCTGAAAACATGACATCAAAAGAATATTATCTTGATTCCAACGCTCATTTTGCTGTGCATGAAGTTTGTTTGAAAGTCAAGTTCCACTTTTCGATGAAAAGTTCTCTTTAGGAATCTTTAAAAGATGAAATTCGAACGAAAACGTTTCGTAATGCAATCATAAACAATCGACATTTATTCAAAGACAAAGTCGTTTTGGATATCGGCTGTGGTGTGGGAATATTTAGTTTATTCGCTGCTAAAGCCGGTGCAAAAATGGTCATTGCCGTAAGAATAACATCTTTAAAGTTGATTTTAAATTTTACATTTTGGCATTAGGTTGAGAAATCGAATGTGATTGAATATGCGAAACGCATTATTCGTGCTAATCGTTACGATAAAGGTAAGATGAATTTTTCGAAAGAGAAAAGTATTTTCTTAATAGCTTTTATCCTTCAGTCATTCACATCATTAAAGGTCGAATTGAAGATATTCAATTACCTGAAGGTATTGATAAAGTCGATATTATCATTGCTGAATGGATGGGTTATTGTTTATTCTATGATTCAATTATTCAAAGTGTTATATATGCTCGTGATAAATTCCTAGTAATTATCATTTGTTATTTGTCTTTATGAGAGGAAAATTGTTCGGTGTAGAATCTTCATCATCATGAGAAACTATTAATAGAAATCCACGTTTATTTTGTTCGACTTCAGCAGGAACACATGTTTGTAAACAAACATAGATTTATAATTGAACAGTTTGAAAAGCTCTAGCATAATCGTCTGAATGTTGTTGAATTGGTTTAGAAACCGGATGGTCTTATCTTTCCTGATCGTGCAACAATGTACATGGTCGGTATTGAAGATCGGGATTATAAAGAAGACAAAGTCGAATGTAAGTTGTTCGAAAGAGAGAAATTTTGAAATAAACAGTCTATTCTTTAGGGTGGTCGACTGTTTATGGTTATAACATGAGTTGTTTAAAAAATTATGTTATGCGTGAACCACTAGTTGATAATGTTGACAAACGTCAGATTTGTACGGATCATTTTCCATTGAAGGTAAATCAAACTGATTGTTAATACATTACTTCCGATTTTTGTTTAGACATTTGATTTGAAAACAATGACTGTTAACGATATTAATATCGTCACGAAATTTCGTCTACGTGCTCTACGCAACGATTATATCCATGCATTTGTGACATATTTTCTCGTAGAATTCACTGCATGTCCTCAACGAACAGTAATCAATACAGGTAGAATGATCATCGTTATCTTCCGGAGAAGAAACTTGTATAAAAACGATTTTTAGCACCTGGTGCCGGTTATACACACTGGAAACACACAGTTTTCTATTTTCCTGACTATATAACTATACAGCAAGATGAACAGTTAGAAGGTGACTTTTCATGCAAAGTCAATCTGGAAAATACGGTATGTCGAAGGAGAGTTGTGACATGAGAATGAATATTTGATTTTGTTTGTTAATAGAAAAAACTTGATTTTGCAATTGACTTTCAATTTAATGGTAAACTTTCAAATTTACAAAGTCAAAATCGTTATTTCATGAAAGGTTAAAATGACGATAGCATTTCTTTCTCTTTGTATGTTTTGCTATTCTATTTGGAATAAAGTGACGCGTCCGTAGAAGAAGATAAATGACTTTTTCGTGTTCGTTCATGATCATCTTCACATAAAATTTGATTATTATATAAGAAATATCGATCACCAACACAAAATCTAGAACATTTTCCTTTATCTTCAAATCTGACGACAAAAATCCACTTACTTTTGTTGACATTCATAACACGAAAAGCAATTCAGATGATAAACAAGTTCACCACAGCGCATTACTAAATCAAATGCCGGAACTACAAAACATATTAGATTTGAATCCAAAAACATTCTATATCTCCTTACTTAGTCGTTGACAACTCGCACAATGACCAGTCATCCCAAACAATCGTAGATAATCGCGTTTACAAAGTATCAAATTTGCTTTGAGATATAATGTCGAGCCCGTTTCGCCAAGACGACAATCGCAACAAGCACATTTCAAACAGTCTTCATGCCACATCTTATCCAATGCTAAATGACCGTGAAGAAAGAGAAATGACTGAATTTGAGAATGAATTAGTGTTCGTACCTTGCAGCATATAGCGATCATTAATAATTTGGTTGCAATTAGCACAGATATAACTTTTATTTGTCGAGAGATTGTTTGTATTAGTCATTTGCAAGAAGCAGAAATGACAGAGATGAAATCTCGATTTGTCTGAAAAGAAAAAGAAGAAAATTTGATTAAACTGGTAGACAAAGCAGCGAAAGAGAGAGAGAGAGAGAGAGAGAGAGAAGAAGAAAAAAAGAATAAATGATGGCATTCAGAGGGGGTCCTGTTTTTAATTAAAATAAGTGTGTATAGGTGTGAGGATTCCATCACGGTCAATTAAGAAAAAAAAAGAAGAAGAATGAACCATCTGTCGCACATAGTATATTCCAGTGAACATTTCAATTTCTCTCTCTTCCTATAAATGATGACAGTAGAGAAAATAAAAAAAAAAGGTAATAGAGATGACAAATTCATCTGTCACTTTCATTTTATTTTATATCTTTCAGATATACGATCAGCATGTCCTATGGATCATTGTGTCGGCCATATTGTCATCTCATCCAATTTCTGCTGCTGCTGCCGTTACTTCTTCGTTTTCCTTTTCCCTCAATTCTCATGAGGCATATTCTCTTTTCTTCTTCTTTCGAACAACTAATTAGAAAGAAAAGCACAATGATGGGCAAACGATGATAACTGCACCGTATGTGAATGTTATGCCGGAGAGAAATTGGAAACGACGTCCATCAATGACAGAAGTACCGGGAGCAGAAGTTCGAATGGATAGCAAAGAAAGATAATTCATTCTCACAAACCAATTAACGATTAGATTGAAGAACTAGAAAGATGATTACTTATTGCCTTTTAACAGCAGACGTGCGTGTGTAAAAGAAGATGAACGAGACGCGTGCTACACGCAAGAAAACTAACAGGCTAATTTTCATTAGAATATCAGCGAAATAAACTCGACAGCAGCTGGTCAAGTTCAATTGGATTTTTAATCAATGCAGAACATGTGAACAGGAATGCAAAAATAATTGATTAAGAAGTTAACAAATTTGCTCATTTAAGTAAAAGATATCATGCATGAGTCATCCATTGCACGTTTTTCGGGAAAAAGCTTTTGACATTGATACTGTCATCAAATCGACTATTCAGATATTCGATATAATGTACGTGAAGTTGGCAAGAGATTTGAGACTTTTGGAAATGTATTCGTTTCACACGATATGTCACTTGTCCTTCGTTATGGAATAGGTAAGCGAGCTCTATCGACTTATTTTAGAGTATGTGTCGCATCTAAAATCGATTTTACTGAACTCTAATTGGAAAACTATCGGATGCTATATTATTTGATACCTATAGGTAAATAAACGTGCCTTATATGCTTCTGAAAGTTATTTGTAAACACGGTATAGAGATCACACGAATACTTGTATTCAACACAAAGTGCTAAAACTTAATAAATATCGAATAGATTTATCGTTAAAAGCATTGATTTCGGTTGAGTTATCAATGTGTGATTCAAGCACTAAAATGAGCACAAGTATCAAGCGAGAAAAAGACTCATAAATTAAAATTGCGATTCAGTGGCAATGTCTTATTACTCGTTTTCCAGTGTCTCACGGGTTAGCTTAACATTTTATTATAATATTTTGTGGTATATGAACTTGAAGGCGCGCTGAAGTGCGATGGGTAAAACTGTACATCAATACTTATTTCTCTCCTTCATGAAAGACATGAAAAACTTACGAGTACACGTTACGATCCAGTGAATATTTTCGCAAAAATGCTTGAGCACTGACTGAGAGACGAAACAAATTTTATTTTTTTAAGGCAATCGCTATTACGCGTTTCATACTTTTGATCCCGTAGGAATTGCGCTAATGAATTTCTTGAAGTAGCCAGATATTCCACTTTCCAAGAAAAGTTTAGGAGGGGAACAAAGTCCAAGGTTAAAAGATTAATATTGCGTCTATCAACTTGTCATTGTCGGAGAAAAGCAGAGTGGTCTCGTTCTATTACTGTCCTCTCGCTGTTAGTGAAAACAGTCTTGTTCACATTCATGTTCATAAGATATACATTTGTACGGATCTTGAGATCGAAGACTACATATATTCATACCTAAAAACTATCATAACACCTGTTTCTTTACTCCATTCCATCGGATTGAGAAGCGTGTGTATTGAGTCACCGTTTAAGACGAAGAAACTACGTTACAGGTTTTATATTGAATGTAAAAACTTATTAAATACGAATCAAATATGGACAATCAGGAAATAGAGTCGTCACCACACCTCATTTTCTGTTGATAAGCTTGCACAAAGCTTCCTTTAATATCAGATGTTAGAAACAGCAAAGCCCTGTTCTTATCTGATATTTAATCGTGATCCAACGGCTATTATGATCACAACCTGTCGAAAAAAATTTTTCTGCAGCCATCATATATACATAACCATCATATTCGAAGAGATTTTCGATAGTTTATTGCAATGTGTAGTTTCAGTATTGGAGAGGTAAATGAGTCGAAGCGGCGAACCGTACTGGTTTATTTCACTAAACTGAAACAAGTGATTGATATAGGAGTAAAGTACGAACTGGTAAAATATTATCGAAATGTGAATCAAGATGGAACAGTTCGTCTAACCAGAACTATCAATGTATTCAATGTTAGACAATATGGAGCAGATAAACAGAAATACACTTACATCATATGACTAACAGTAACTATCTGCAATGAATAAATATCAAGAGTTTCAGAAGCATAATTCTATGCCGGTCTGACATTCATAGACATCAAATGTCGTTGTCCGCGGTCATGAAAGCACGTAACTCGTTTTTTTAAGACAATGATTTCCGCTTGTAACTAATTGTACCGTTGTACTTGAACTGGTGTCGAATCATCGAATGGCACTGTTATGAGCTGATCCAATTGAAACACCTTCCTAACAACATCGAAAGTTAAATGGTTTTTCTAAAGAAAACAAATAAGAGAACAACGATAAATCAGATATCATCGAACAGTAGGAATCAATATTAAACGTGGACGTGGATCAGGAGAAGAAATCACCACTTCAGAAGAAAAACCAGCGATTTTGTGTTTTAATACTATGTGTGTGCAACTTTTATACAATCGACGTCTTTGTTAACTATTTCTCTTTGAGGAGTAGCGTACTTTTGTAGCGACAGAAAAGAAAATATAAAACAGACGATATCGGTCACTGGTTCCTTCAGTTAAATTCTAAACGGAAAATATACGCTTTTGTGAGCGATACTATTTGTGAAAGGAAAATGACCGCTACGTTGTTTACTAGTGCGTCATTTATTTATATCTTCTCTCTACTTTTATCTACCACATGCTACATACGATCATTTTCTTTTGATTTGTCCATATACAAAGCAAAGTCAATTTATTTAATTCGATGAAAATTTGCTAAGAAGTGTTAGAATCTCCAATACAGAAATCCATCAGAAGTTTATCAAATGCCAGATTCTAACTGGAGTCTATCGAGTGAAGGCAAGTTTGGATGTAGTACACATTTTAGAACGCGTCTGCATAAGAAATCGATGCTTGAAAGGTATAATGCAACATGTGAATCGTCAGAGCTAGTTGAGTTCTACCTGTTGCATGACAAAGGACAAGTGACATATTGTGTGAAGCAAATGCGTTTATGGGAAACTCATCTCTCTCGCCAACTTCAAGTACATATATTGGAATTATTCTTTGTACTTGATTTCACAAGCCAAACAATATTTTCCCACTTGTACCATGACGCACTCTGAATAATGTTATTACGTAATAACACCGAAATCACAGGAATATAAAAGTCGTTCGTATGTTATTTCATTTATGTTAGTATCATTTACGTTAAAAAAGTAAATGGCGTCAGCGTCGACTAGTTCTATACAACGGCAAAAGTACGATTATTTTCTTGTTTTGGACTTTGAAGCAACATGTGATAACAAAAGCAAACTTGATCAAAATGAAATCATTGAATTTCCAGTGTTAAAAATCAGTGGTCGTACATTTGAATGTGAATCAATATTTCATACATGTGAGTTCGATTTTGTTTTTAAATAACTCTTTGAACGTTATTTTCTGTCAGATGTCACCCCTACATTGAACCCACAATTAACCAAATTCTGTACAGAATTGACTGGTATAACTCAAAGTCAAGTAACTAATCAACCAGTTCTCGCTGATGTTCTCCAAAGTTTTGAAGAATGGTTGAGAGAAGAAAATCTGCTCAATCCAAATGTGAATTTTATTTTTGTTACTTGTGGCGATTGGGATTTATTTACCATGTTACCAAGTCAATGTACTCATTTCAATCTCCAACGTGCGGCTTATTTTGATCGATGGATCAACATTAAGAAATCATTTAAGAGAGTGACAGGTAAATTCGCAAATAGTGGCATGATGGGTATGCTGAATGACCTTCATATACAACATCAAGGAAGACATCATAGTGGCATTGATGATTGTAAAAATATCGCTGCGATTTTAAAAGCATTGGCTGAACGTGGACATGTTTTTGAGGAGAACAGAAAGAAATAAATATTTTGATGAATAAAATCTGGAGGAAAGATTTAATTCGAAGAAAATCTCATAGATGAATAAGTTTTACTTAAATTCACAAACATTGTTTTATTGCGTTGTGACTCGAGTGAATGTTAAGGTATTGACCACACTCTAAACAAATTTTATTCTCGAATGATTTATTAAGCTGTAACTACGGTGATTTACCTACATCAATCTTATGTATACACTGTTCGTGAAAAAATGCAGCGAAAGTGTAGTCTTAATCTCATAAAACAATGCTACAACAACAATAGCAATACGAACAACCGAGCGATAAAGGGTAAACGAGTTAGAAATTGATAGAATAAACACAATCACACTAATCCTCAAGACAATACTATCAAGCGATCGAATAGTAAAAGCTTCCGTTCTCTTTCTTTTCGTCTATTTTTACGTCAAATTTTGACCGATTTATATCTTTAATCGGCGTTTCGTTCATGTTTCATCATTATTCTAATCGAAATCGAAGCCATTTTATATAATGTTGTATACAGTTTAAAATTATTGATCTTGATCAGAACACAATAACGCATCATAATGCTTCTCACCAGATCTTTTCTATTCATATGCTTTATCAAAAGTAATTTTTTCGTTTCTCTTTACTATAATCAATAAGCTACTTGACAATTTAGTTTCGATTCTTCTCGCTGCTGAACAAAAATTCAAAATTGTCTGTTACTTCGCTAATTGGGGTAAGTCGTTACCCTCGCTATTCCTTCGTGATTTGAACATAGGTGAGATTTTGCAGCGGTAAAACGTCCCGGTGGAGGCTCAATGACCCCTGAAGATATTGATCCGTGTCTATGTACCCATGTTATCTATGCTTTTTCGGAAATGGATAATAATCAGTTAACACCCATGGAAAAACATGATCTGAAAGATGGAAATCAACCAGGTAGCGTTTAATAGTACGTTAAAATGAACAATCAGATCTTTTGGTTCTTTTAAGGTTTTTTTGAACGATTTAATGCTTGGAAGAGTGTAAACAAGAATTTAAAAACGCTATTAGCTGTTGGTGGTTGGGTACGATACGATAGAGAGAGAAGATAGTATTTGTAGAGTTTGCTCCATTTCTTTGTAGGATATGGGAATGAAGGATTTCGCAGGTAAGATAATATTCATAGTAAACGATAGCAGCATGCTGCCTTCTCTGATCATTCTCACTTTATCGAATGAATGTTATAAGGTATTGTGAAGTCGGAAAAGACAATGGTGAAATTCGCTGAATCAGCTATAAAGTATCTACGAAAGCATAAATTCGACGGTCTTGATCTGGGTGAGTAGTTAACTCAAAAAATTGGTCAGAAAAAAAGAAGTTTTTCTTTACTTTTTCAGATTTTGAATATCCAGGTAAGAATCTATCGATGAATAGAATATTTTGCATATCTCAGCATACGACGAATAGGAGTTGACTGGCGAGACAGTCCCAAAGAAGATAAACAGAAGTTTACGAGAATGTGTGAAGTAAGGATAGTACTTAGAAATAGTGAAATTTTCAAATTTTACGCTTAGATTTTGTACGAAATGTTCGAAAAAGAAGCGGAAAAAACTGGAAATGAACGTCTTCTTCTGACAGCAGCTGTTGCAGCTGCTAAAGTCAACATCGACAAAGCGTATGAAATAGACAAACTCGTTCCGTAAGTAACAAAACACTTTTACTGTAGTAAAAACGCCGAATTATCCACATGTTCTTGATTCGTAGAGTAATTGATTGGTATGTAGAAAGCAAGTTAGCCACTTGAATTGATCTGTTCTATTGTATAAAAAAAAACAGGTTCAATTTGATGACTTATGACTTTCATGGATCATGGGATCAGAATCGAGCGCATCATTCATCTTTGAATAGCAAAGATAATGAAAAAGATGATACGATGTACACTGTACGTACTAAGAATGTTGTCGTTCTACAACCTACTTAAACAATTTTAGGATTTTGCTGTGAAATATTTTCAAAAATTAGGTATGCCTTCTAATAAGATGATGCTAGGCATCGGTACATATGGACGAGGTGATACTCCCGCGATGCCGTATACAGGATTCAAAGGTGAAAGTGGTTTTGTTGCGTATTACGAAGTAAAATAATCGGAGATTAGTATATTGTTTTTGAGCATGAAACGTTTGTCTTTAATAGAGCTGTATTCAAATTGTGTGTGAGAATATGAAAGAAACTTGGGATGCTAAACAACTTGTTCCATACATTGCTGGTCCGTATAATCAACCAAAAGCAGGCGTGGAGAATGTTCGAAGTATCAAATATAAAGTAAGAGAGCTGTAGATAGATGATGAATATGACGGTTTGTTTGATTTCAAGGCAAATTATATCAAACAAAATAATTTGGGCGGTGCAATGATTTGGACACTCGATATGGATGATTTTCGTGGTCAATTTTGTTGTCAGGGCAAATTTCCTCTAATTAAAACAATCAAAGCTGTTCTTCATGGACAACTAAAATTGTTGCCAAAGGAGAAAATCTGTTCAACTTGTCCAACGAAAGAATATAAAGGTATGAAGTTCACGAAAGATTTGATTTGAAAACAAATGTGGATTTAGACTTTAAACCTAATTCACAATCTCAACCACAAACGACGGCGAAGCCAACCAAGAAGCCAAAGAAATCGAAACGTGATGCCGAGGGACCAAGTAGAGTTTGTTTGTTTTCATGGAAAGAGACGATAAGTCAAGTATTTTATTCTTTAGCACCAGAAGATGTGTGTGAAGAACTGAAAGATGGACAATGGCCAGATCCATCCGATTGTAAAAGTTATTTTCTTTGCCGCGGTGTAGGCAGTCAATGGGGAGAACAAAAACGTGAAATGTGCTATGCCGGTAAGATTTCTATTGAAATAAATAACATTGTATGTCCAAGGATCTTTATCACCACCCTAGGTTCCTATTTTGATCCTAATGATAAAACATGTAAATGGGTTGGTGCAGATAAGGTTTGTTATTGTCTTTCTGACTGATATGACTAGAAATTGATTTTTAGATAAATTGTGAAGAACTGATCGAAGGTTATGAAAATCCTGTGGCAGGCGTCACTGGAACTCCGGACAATGAGGAAGATGAAGATGAAGATATAACAGGTGACATAGGTACAGTATCAAATAAAAAGAGTAAAGCAACGTCGTCATCCAGTAAATCAATGGCAATATTGAGTCGATCGATATCTGAATATGATACCTGTGCACCTGAGAAATCGGTTGAATTCGATCCCGTACAAGGTAATCAAAACATTTCCTTGATTTTTTTGTTTGACGTGACTCGCTTCATCTTCTATAGCATTCTATAGGTATGCTTTGCTACTCTTGCGAAAGTCCGAAGGAGAACAGCGAATGTCAAATCAGTCCCAATCAGACAACGACGATGATGTGCGAATCGAAACAACACATCTGTTACAGCAAAAAAGTCACAAACGGCGTCGGTAAACAAATGATTTGAACGAAATTCTCTCGGTTAATCTTCTCATCGAATAAATCATTTAGGAAAACTAGTACAGTTCATTCGTGGTTGTATAACTCCTCCATCGTCGACGGGCAATCACACTCAACAATCACAATGTCTATCAAACAAAGTCGAAGGAAAAACTATATGCGTGAAATATTGTCCCACCAGCTTGTGCAACAATCAGGACATAAGGTCGATCGATATTCTGCAAAAGAAATTTCAAACAATTTATTTGTTTCTTTTCCTTTTTTTTAGCGATGGCGCTCCGGCACTCATAATCAATCGACTGACATCCGTCGTTTATTACCTTTTGGCACTGGTGTTAGTAATCGTCCGTTCACAAAATCATTGTTGATCATCACATTCTCATCAGTTCTTCTACTGTACATTTAAACTATTGAAAATTTGTTTTGTTTCTTATTCGTCTATCGTTTTTTTTTGTTCAAAAATAAATTCGTCATTCATATGTCAGATGAAAATAGTTGGTAATCGAACAAGTTCGAGAAGATTTGTACAATCTATCACATTTTCTTTCATATGTCAAAAAGAAAGAGAATGTCATTTATCTAAAGAAACTCATTAACTTTTGTTATTTTATCTTTTTCATTAGTAGACTTTGTGGTTTCAATTCTTTCCTCCCTCGTTTTCTTTCTTAATACACTTTCACTGGGTAATAGTGAACATTGAGTATGTCAGGAGATTCAACGGTAACCAAGTCTTTCTTCGTTTTCTTTCCGTTCGTTTTTATTTAAAAAAAGTACAAGAAAAAACGAACGAAATATGTCCTTTACCTCTTTAAATACATACGTGCGCAAGCCTGTAAAACGGCTGATGATTACCTTTTGGCCTTGTCCCTTTTGTAAGACACTTCACCTCGCAAACTTCTTCTCCAAGAAAAGAAGAACAAGAAGAAAAAAGAAAAAAAAACTAAAGACGGTCTTTGAATGTAAAAAAAATCTTATACAGTGTCATACATTTTCTCTCAAATGTATCTAGTTTATTTCTTTGACAATGATCTGATGTTTTTTTATGACTGTCCTTTCATTTGTCTCTTATGCAAACAGTTTTTATTATTATTTATCAAATACGCTATATACTATAGATAATTCATGTGTCTATCACGTTAATAATTATTTTATTCGCTGCTCGAACAAGAAGATTTCAACATGTCGATGGGTGAAATTGATACTACTGCATTAATTATGTAAGTATTCAGGATACGAAGAGATTTATTTATGAGAACGGACCATTTAGTTCGATCTGCGTCGTTATCCCAGCAGTTATTGCCATCGGTATATGTGTAATCATCTATTGTTCGCATCGAAACAAAGATCAAAAGTTAAATCGTCAAATCAGTACGTATTTTATTGAAGTTTATATTACATTTCCAGCACTGAAAAAAAAAGGTATGACATTTGCATAAATACGGCAATAAAAAAAACGTATGTATTCTGTGAGTCTTTGGTTAAAACACTCAATCCAGGGAGAGATATTATAAATATTGATGAACAACTTAGCTTTTCATTTGTTGAAAATTATCACAGTTCTGTCTTTGCTTTAAATCATGCATAACATCTATATTTAGATAGATCAACTCTATATGAATATGAGTTTCCACGAGAGCGGCAATCTCGGGAGGCTTATATAATCGACTTTTCGCGTACTAGCCGTTCTCAACCGCAATCGCGTCGACGTGAACCGCCGCCGATATTCGAGCAATCCCCTCCAGCATATGACACAACCATTATTCCAACACGACGGCAACCGCCAACATTCTATCTACCACTCCGCAATGGAGCTCGTCAATCTCCATCCACAATCACAACATCTGCATATTCGGCAATGCCGCCATCTTATGCAGAGATATTCCTTACACCTCAAACTCTATCAAATGAATAGATCTTCTTCTTCTTTTTTTTACTTTGTTTATAAAAAGTCTGATTGTTGTTTTTATATTTTTTATATTCTATCTCGTTCCTTTCTTTCCTTCTTTCTTTTTCACATTTACATAGACGTAATTTCGAAAAAACAAAACAACGATAGAATTATGCTGATTGAATATGAACTGTTCCTTGATTTTGATTCGATGAATATTTTATTACATTCGATCGAAATGAATTTTCACGGCAATACGAAACCTAAAATGATTGTAAATCCGGGTATTTAATCATTTATTTATGCGATACTCACTACACGAACTATTGAACAAACGAAATCGATAAGAGCTATTGTAGACGCGATGTAAAATACGAAGAACGACCAGTCTGTTCTCGAATAACTTGGATGCAAACTGTTAATGATCCCAAACAAACAGAAAAGGCCAGCAGGGGCAAGAAATATTAATGTTGTCAGCAGTGAAATTTCCTCTACAAACAAATGGACCAAAAAGAAAATCATCTCGAACGATTTTGTTTCCAAATTTACCTAGGATCAGATTAATACGTGCTCGAGTTCGTTTCCACAACAAGAGTACATTCAATAATTCGAAAATCAAATTCAACGAAACTACTCCACAGAAAAACCACACAATCTTATGCCCGTGGTTATATTGGTAACAGTTACTACCATACTGAAAACATCTCATACGAAGTCCTACGGAAAAAAAGATGTTTTTCGACAAATAGATTGAAAATCTCCTACCTTTATGACCGGCTTCGTCAACGTCGCGAAACCAATAATGAGTTAGCGTTGCTACGAACACAGTAGTACACACCATGAGTTTACAACTGACGATATAAGTGTTCAAAAGTAGCCGCGGCATTTGTTCGATCTATGCTTTCGTATGTTCGATGAAGATTGATATTTGTTTGTTTATAAAGCGAAGTTTCTCTCTTCTTCCGATAAGCGTCCGATTACAAAACATGAATCCAATTTAATCATTTCGTGATCATATAACATTGAATTAAATTTAATGTGTTTTATGAAATCATATCTGATTCTAGATTTCCTATCGAACTACTTACATTCGATCAACGAAAGAGAGCATGTCATTTTTCTTTCGTCTGCTTTTATTGAAAAAATAGCTTTAAAAAGAACTCATTTTGAACATGGAATTGAATCAGTTTAAATATCACTATTGATCACGGATTTCTGTCGATATTTATGAACGTGTTTCGCTTGATTTCTCTGTTTGTACTGACAATTATTCATCTAAACATTGTAGAAAAGATTAGCATGTGACAGAAAACAAATTTTAACTGACCATTCGTGCGATTGAGCAAAGACAATCGATGGGAAGGAGAACAGTCACTAATCCAAAAGCAAAAAACGTCCAATTTAGTTGAATTTGAACGATTTCAATAGCAATACGTATATGAACAGCACTAACCCAAGTACAATGAATTGTAACAGCAAATGATAGCGCTATACAAGTTTGTTCTAAACGACAACATTACAAAAGATACTCAGTCAATCAATTGGGAAGGATTTACCAAGAAAAAAGTTTAAAATTGATCGGATATGATAATCCGAAAAGTACAATAAACTAACATCGATTGTTTCTAATAAAAGACTGATGAACGCCAAGATACATGGCAAGACGACAATCAATCGAGGTAACGGCATCGGATCTTTCGTATCACAAAATGCACCATAAGACATACATAATTGTCCGAGTAGTTGTCTATCGACTAGAATAAAGAAAAAAACAAGGCGAATATAGACGATTTTAATTGAAGTTCATTTCGGAACCTGTTCGAATATCGAGTCGAAACCATTGATACCAATAAATCGATACGAGTAAACAAATTAATGAAATAGTTTTACAGGAAAGTATGGTAATAGATAAAAACGAAGCCATATATGATTTTCGTTCAGAACAAACAAAAATAATTAAGAAACGTTGTTGTTTCAACAATTGAAAATTATTCTAAACATACCGATTGAATTACCTAAAAAGAATATATATATATATATAAATATACATGAAGAATAATTACAGTTCGATGAACTGAATAAACTTTGAAGGAGAGAGAAAGGAAGAACGAATACGGAAATATTTCTTCCTATAAAATAAATGTAAAATGCGATTTGTCATGACAAAACAAGATTGTTTCTCAACGATCATGAAAGCGAAGTGAAGTTTTCCTTCTTAGAACATGTTTTTTCTAAGTAGTCGTCAACATCGATGTCGTTATATCGTAGTTGAATTTCAAATTGACGAAACTCGGAAAATCAATTATTTGTCATCTAGTTCGACGTGTTTTCCCTAAGAAAAAGCAATTTCTATTTGTCACGTTTGTTCTACGATCACTACAAAAGAGAAAAACAACTAAAAAACTACCAGCTGTCAGTGATCAATCAAATAAATACGCATGTCATTTGACAATTTCCGACTAGTTTGCGTAGCGTGTTGCTAAGTTATATGTAACTGAAGAGGAATGTTGCTAAGTTGTGTGACATGATACATTTGTTATGTCTGTCATTGAGATTAATCTAATGTCAAATGCGGATCTATTATTGTCTTTGTACAAGCTCTGATTTGTGAGAAACGATGAAATGAGTTGTTTCCCTTCGAAATTAAATAAATATTGAAGGAAAGACGAACAATATTGATTATCCACTTACGGGAAAAGATGTTTGGAAAGAATATCGGTATGATTTTTGTGTAAGGAAAAGATTAAAATAGTTGAGCGAATATCTATGGAAGAGAAAATGAGAATTAATTTGGTGTTTTCATCATATAGTTTGAATAATATAAGTCATATTTATGTGATGACTATTCTGACAAAAAAAGAAAACGTTCATAGAATATTTATAGCAACACTATTTCCGGATTAGTTTGAGAGAGAGAGAAAGAAGAAAAAAGAGAAAAGAAAATTAATGCTTTAGCAACTAAAAACGTTTCAAAAAGCGATTATTATTAAATGATTCTCTTCTTTTCATTTCTTTGAATAACAATCGAAAACAATTAGGTTATACTGTAGAATTTTTTGAAATATAACAAAGAACAAATCATTGATGTCATTGAATAAAGTCTTTTTGATTGAAAAGATTTCGACAAGAGAAGAAATCCGTTTATCTGAAGGAAAAGAACGACGTTACCTCACAGTTGATTGAATCCATGAAGGGATCAATAGGAAATGAGGTAGTACGTTTGCAAGCTTACAGATAAGAACAAGATATACAGAATAAATACAAAAAATAGGCTGTCAACGCATGGCGAGATGAGAAGAAAAACCTTCTGTAGAATGACTAATGAAGAAACCAAAGAAAGAGAATGAAAAACTATGTTGAAAACGGACATTTTTGGAAAAATAAAGATGCAGATATATGTTAGTTTGTGTTATACGTAATATTGACGTTTATTTTCTTTTTTGTTTCATTGTTAGAACAATTCCATGAATTTCTCTGTTGAAAGAGAAAGATCCTGTTCGTTCTTTCAATGCATTCGTCTATATTTTAATGACCCAAGAGAATTCTTATTGATCAATGAGTTTGTTAATACTTTCATCGTATCAGAAAATAACAAGTTATGTCAGTTAATGAATTAGGATGTCGGTTGACTTCTAACGAGTCAATTTATAATGCGCAAAAAAAGAACTCATTTCGATGAATGTTTCAATGTCCTTTTTTTTCCTCGCAATGTCGATGTACTTTATCCTCGATCTTTAACCATTTCCTCTTTAACCTAAGACTGGCACAATTGATCGATAAAAAGTACATCGAAACGATCGATATATATGTGGAAATAATTATAAAGCATCGTTGATATTGCGACATCGTCGTTCGCATTTCAAATATTTCTTGAACAAAAGAAAATAGAAAGTTTTTCATGACATGGCAGACTAGTTTTCACTGACTACGCTTATGTATGTTTACAGGTGTATCGGGTAGTGTTAGTCAAAGAACTGACAGATGAAAGAAAAAAGAGAAATTCATAATTGATGGTAGTTAAATATATACTTTCGTTTTAATCCATTCATTCATTCGATCCTACTAGACTTTTATCGAGCGCACAATTTTAGACGAAAAAAGGTACAAATATGCACAAACCCGAAGATATAAAACCGGACATGTTTCACGAATTATTTTCACATTTCAAACACTCACACATGTCAACGTCATTTGATTTTCCATATCAAGATTCTAAACCACGCCCTGGCGACGGCGACAAGATGCCATTGAGACCTGCAGTAGTTCATGGCGACGCAGCAATATTAATGTAAGACAAAACTATTTTCGTACTTATTGAACTGTTATGAAAAGTTTTTCTGTAAATTCTATAGACCACTTATTATCATTATTCCAGTAATCTTTGTTGGTCTGCTATGTTTCACAGCATTCTACATCTATCGGTGTCGAAAACGACGAATGCAACGAAGAGCAGGTAAACAAAGACAATCCTTTAATAAAGACATATCTTATACTTTGAATTTATCAGAAAGCCTCGGTGAAGAAAATAATGATGTATCAACAATGTCCTACAACATTCTACACAATTCAGCAGAAAAAGAAGAACTACCTCCACCATATATGGTCATTTCCGAAACAAAAGTAGATCTCCCAGCAATCATACAAGATACGAAATAGTACGAAGAACTTGCAAGGGTAAGACATCAAAATCGAATCGATGTCTAACCCAGCAACATGTAGTTCACATCAGACCAATCCAGTTCCATGGAAAAACATCTGAACAGCAAGAAAATGCTTTTTTTGATAATCTTCTTATATTTATTGTACAAAAAATAAACTTTTTATGTTCTGCGATAGAGAACACTATTCTCCCTTGTTGTGTAAACATTGGTTCGCTCCTTGACAAATGTTTTCGACTTCGATGTCCCTATAACAAATAATGTATCCGTTTGAAATAGTAAGCAACGTTCTTTCGTGCCACTTTACGTGCATGCACTATAACTACAAAAAAACTCCATTTCATTTACTTTGTTGAATTCATTTTAAACCAATCTTAATAAAAAAAATATTTCCTGAGTTTTCTTCCTCTTGTCACCGACGTGAAAATGTTAAAATAATGAATTCTTCTGTTTATATTCCTTTTTTAGTTTCTAAAGACATCGAATATATGAGGGAAAAAAAAAGAGAGGAAAAAAAAACTTAAGTATTAAAAACGAGAGAACTCAATCGTTTGCCAGCGTACTTTTCTTTTCCGTCACTTAAAAGTACAATCATGAAAACGTGCATGAAATAGAAGACAAAAAAAAAACAAACGAGTTTTATTATTTTTTCCTTGATAATTTCAAAGCAATAATTACCTTGAAGTCGTTCTTAAGATCTCAAATGTTACCAATGAACAATCATATCGGTTCATCTCTGTATATTCTACTGATCCAACAGATTTTTCATGTAAAAACTTTTGGTTTATCTCGAATTTTTCACTTAATCAATTTCTTTTCAATAGATTCAAACAGCCGATATGTGCTATTGGCGAAATCAATCGGCGATTGTGATGATCAAGTGTGTTCTAAGACCAACTCGCGAATGAATATTTTCGTTTTTCCTTTCAAAGTTGTGATGATTCTTGTTGTATGGGTATTGCTTCATCTCCTGAATCAGCATGTTGTTCCAGCACATCGTGGAGTACATTGTAAATTAAGGAAACCTTTTGATCTCGGTGAAAAACTAATAAACATGTTTTTTTTTCAGAGCAATACCAATTCTGATAGTTATTGGTATTTGTCTGCTTGCAATTTGTTTCGTATATTTTCGACCGTTACTGAAAACTTGTTGTTGTGGATGTCATCTTCCATGCGCGCATCGAAGTCGAAGTAATGATGTTTTATTTGTTCGTATGCTGATCCTAATAGTTCATTTGTTTGAAATTAGTTTCTTCAGCCAACTCAACATCGCCACACATGAATCATGTTTATCATATAAATAATGATGATCTACCAGATTATGAAACAATTAGCAAAGATTCACAGCGTAAAGAAATTACACCACCGCCTTATAATTTTGTTACGACCCATCCAACTGATTTCGGTCTCGAATCACGTGTTCCTAGCGCTCCGCCACAATACCGTTCGCGAGCTAACTCAGCTATAGTAAGTCCTATAACACCTGTTCAATCCTGATAAATCACAAACTGTTTATACGGAAATTCCATGTTTGGTGCTCGCTTGAAACTGGTTTTTTTTTAAATACAATAAATCGCCTCTGAGAATTTTATTTTCTACATGAATTTGATGTATCTTCTGTGTTGATTCGACGTATTACTTCTGCATCGGTACTCCTTCTTATGTGGTCAAATATAATATCGATAATCTCGTTATTGATAGTGCGGCACATGTGCTCGGTTAAAAAATCAAATGATATGTAAAGCGACGGAAGACGACTTGTATTTCTTCTGGCTATAGTGATACGAAGCACGAAAACGAGAAAGAATATCAAAGTAACTGTTGATGGAGAACAATTGAAGAGTAGGCAGAGGTGCGAAATCAGAAGAAAAAGGAGGAAGGAGGAGAAGCAAACAGCATTAATTCCCAATAGAGGAAGTACACTATATCTTTGATCGACAATAATCAGCTTGTCGCATTTGACACATCCGCCTGGTCAATCGCTCTGATCATCATTGATTAGTCTCATGAGTTACTATCAAACGGAACTACGCTAGTGATTTGTTCACTTTTGAAAATATTCAAATGACAAAGTTCAACTTTCGATCCGTTTACTTCAATCTGACACCTTCATAGACGCGTGCTTGACGCACCTGACAGTTGTATTCTTTCGCTTCTTTTGATTTTTTTCCTCTACTCAGCAATCTTAAGTATTACTTTTCTAATGCTTCTAGTAGTAAAGTCAACATTGAACTCATCAATGTACTTTCTTCTTTGATGTGACCGATTCTTTGTATTTCGATTGATCATATTGAACGAAAGACATTGAATACATATCGACATGAAACGTACCATAAGACACATTTGAATCGATCGATAGAACAACAACTAATCAAATTGAAGTGCTATAAAAATCTTCGACATTATTCATAGAACGGAAATGAAGTTTGTTGTTCTATCATTTATCAATGCAAAAACATCATCGTGTCTGTTTATCCTTGCTAATGATAAACTTGTAAACAATGTATATACGTGCGCATGGCTTATTTCATACAGACACATCGACGCCTATGACATGCTGTTTACAAGAGAAGAAAAACGAAAATAGATAATGATAATAGGGGAGGAGATGATGATATTTATTCGTCGCGACAATTTATGAGCACCTGCAGTCGGCGCCGATCGATATGACTGGCGCCAATATGCAATTACAACCGATTCTCTTTGTATATATCAAAAATATACACAGTCGCCAATTGTTATTTTACTTTGATTTCAAATGAAGTAGTCAATTTTCTCTATTCCTATTTGCTAATGAATACACACAACTTCGATCAGTCCCTATTGGATACAGTGTCTAGTCATCATCTAATCGGCATCTCTTTGAAATCATATACAAATACATGCATTGAAAAGAGAATAAGTTGAACGTGTGGCAGTTTGCAAACATTGACAGGTATATAAAATGAATGCGGAAAAATATCAAATGAAAGAAATAGGGTCAATTGAGACACGAAATTCGAATGAATGACTGACGATAAGATCATCTGTCTGGATTGATCTCTTTTAGTAAAAGAGAACAAAGCCAAAGAGAAAATAAAAAGAAGGTGAGAGTCTTTTCATTGAATAGCTCATTGTTTTACACTATCCAATCTATTCATAAGCATTCATGCATATGTGTACCGTATTGTTTGTTATTCATCCATTCATTGACTAAACGCTAGACAATTGAATCGAGATACCGTGCTTTCGAGAAAGAAAAACAACAGGAAGTGAGAGAATTCAAGATGAAATTGAATCAATTACTCCGCCTATCAACATGATCGATTGCCATTTCACGTGTCTAACATATTCGTGTGAATTAACATAGGAAAGGTAGAGAAAATAGTTAATCCTTTTCTCAGCTCATTCGATAATTAATTCAATTTGCTAGAAAAATGATCGATGATATGAGACATCGATTTCACTAGCGTGTACAAGATATATTTACTTTTCACTCATTCAATTTTAATGCCAAAGCAATTAAACTAGGAAAAAAATGATGAGAACAATAAGTGTCATAGACACGTGTCTTCACTTCAATGATTTCATTGATCACTTGCACCTGCATTAAAACAGAAGGAAAGAGATAAAATCAACAACAATTGAATTCTTCTCCAAAGGAAAACAACACACTACTGACAAGACGATAGGCATGAATAAATGACTGAAAACATCACTTTGATATTTGATCGAAGAACATTAGCTAGCTTTTTAACGCAGCATGATTCTATCTAATGTATGTGTATAGTAACCTGATGTATAAACATTTCCAAGATCAAACATATCGATTGTATATTCTTTTCTTTTCTTTTTTTGATTATTGAAAATTTAATGGAACATTTTTTTTAGTACCATCATCAATCCATCAATTGATTCTTGATTAACATTCCATTTGATTCACTTCATTCACATATGTTCCTCCCTTGACACATACTTTATCTATTCTACTTAACAGTCAATTATCTTTTCGTCAGCATTCTCAGATAACATAGCTAAATGTTTTGTTTCACTTTGTAAACACTAAAGGGATTACTGGTTTCTATTCAATGATTCTATTTGATACCATTCTCTATTGTTGACTGAATGATTCTATTCATCATCGTTGAATAATGATGATGTAAGAGTATTGTTTTGCGATACCACTTCTGATAACAATATGAACACAAGAGTACACACTTGTATGTGACATGAACAAGAAATCATCGTATTCACACGTCTATGTCAATTTCACAGACATGGAAAAATGGTAGTAATACACGTATGAGAATGGAATGATGTCATCGATGGACACTTGAAAGATCAAATACGTGAAAAATAGTCTTGGTGGAAGTTTCTTTTCCGGAAGAAAGGATTCGAATCGCTATAGTAACATGACTTAGACTGGGATTAATCAGATTGATTGATTGGCTTTGTTCATTTACGAATCCTTATGACTCTCTCTAGTCAAGGAGCGAGAAGGGAGAAAAGACGCACATATTCACAGATGGGGGGCGACATCAGACTAGTAAGCAAGAGGGAGTAAGTAGCGGTCAAGTTGAAGTGACGCCAGTGAATAATTATAAGGAAAAAGGAGGAGAAAGAAGGGAAAGGAAAGGAAAGCAAAAGGTATTATTAAAGTAGCTTTCCTGTTGCCAGACGACGCGTGCGTCCGAAAAGTTGACCTCAAGGAAAGTATAAGGAAAGGAACGAAAAGTGCTTGGTAACCGCGAAGCTGAAGGAGAGGCGACCTCTCTCCGTCTTCTTATGTTCAATATCCGATCATATCAAGAGAAAGAGAACGTAAGAGAGAAACACACATACGAATAGAAAAGGAAAGAGAACACAATTATAGATTGTTTCTCTCGTCGTCGACAAACATAAATTAGAGAGTAGTGACCCTCAATCAGTCATTCTATCAAAAACACGATTGCTTATCGGACACTTTTCCTCTTCCTTATCGTTCGTTCACGAGCGACACATTCACATTTCGATACATTGCACCATCTACACGTGTGAGGCCGCTACTCTACCTGATGGCTAATACAATCATTCTTCCTTACACTATCATTACAAGTCCTCATACGTCCAAGCGACGACACTGGCGTCGTTATACGACCACCACAACTGCCTATTCTCATCAAAAGCAGCAATCCTCATTGACACATTTTGTACATAATTCCACATCTCATCTACCTGATATTGTCAATGATTGTCAAAATCGACAAGAGAATTTAAATCATACCAATGAAGAAATCAAATTAACCTGCAAACAAATTGCACATTCCTTGCGACTTGTCGCTGATCAAGTTGATCATAAATATTGTCAAGTAAGTGTGAAATACTTCTTCTTTATCTCCATTGATCTATTTATATTGTTTGTCTTTTCTCGTTTAGGATGCCGATTTTAATCGAAATCTTAATTACTTATCCGTACGCTTCATATTCCATCCAGCACACATGCGAACCATTCTTTATACATTATGGACGCGATCATTTCTACCATTGATCCTACTGGTTTTCAACACAAAAACATTCTTTTAAGTCGAACAACAACAATTACGATAATGATTGCAATATGGTTTTAGTCATTCTGTGCGCACCCGTGTGTGTTGCTGATTTTATCGACATGATATATAAAAGATATACTTTTCATGCTTGCGAAACACTTATTTGTTTGTTGTTCGAAGAACAGTGTGTGCTGTATGTTTGTATTAGTTTGAATAACAAAATATCCGAGAAGAATACATGTGAAATAAACAACTAATTATGAAAAATTCGTCTTTTGCTGCATTGATAACGGATGAATATCAACAACATTGAAATGACTATTCTTGACATGTATATTTTGTAAATAACAATCATTTGATAGATTTATATTTCTTTCAATATATCACATGAGTAAATAAGTACAGAATACACTAACACCGAAGACAGCTAGCTGCGCAAGTCGTTTCAATTTACGTTTTCTTCTCTGAGAATGATCGTTCGCTTGTGCTAGAGTACTCTCCGAACCTGAAATACGATCATTTTCATTAGATAGAATCTTCGATGGATTACGTTTTGATAAGTTTTGTTTTGTTGTTAGTTGAATGTTGAAATTGACCGCATGTAAAACCACTGGATGAGCCGATGATATGAAAGGAGGGGAATATTGAGTTTGTGACGGTGATAACAGACAATTCGTTGGTACAGTTTTTAATTGATCTTCAAAAGCGCTGAAAATGATGTCAACAATAGGCTGAACCATTTTCACAGCTACTTCCATTGTTGGAGACGATGTGATCTCAGGTGAATCTAGTTGATTGATATCAATAGTATCACTGTCCATAGATAAAGGATCCTGTGTGATGATTGAATTATTAGTAGAGGGTCGTGCTTGTTTCGTAAGATTTGAATCATCTAAAGGTACAAGATAATTCATATCATTCGACAATCGATCTAAAACTGAACGAACGTATGAGTTGTAGTGTACTAGAACTTCTTTCATCGTTTGGAATAGCTAACAAATCAGATGTTTTCGTTGGTGACGAATGACACAAGCGACTATCCCAGGAGGGTGTTTGCCCGTTTCTTTTTCTTTTGTCGACATTCAATGTTGTCACCTGATTATTATTCAAATCGGTTACTGATTGCATTGATGTATTCGATATTGACGAACAATAAAAAACACTTTCAGTGACGCAACTTTCGTGCTGTCTTGCATTCGTATCTGGTAGAACCGAGTAACGATTATGATTCAGTTTCATTGGATAGGTATAGATTGTTGATTTGTGGAGGGTTGCACTTGAATCTTCATTATCTGGAGATCCAGTAGGTATCTGTTTACGTTTGAGTTGTATTCGTGGTTGTTTCCATGAGCGAAGACGTTTACGATATGTATCATCGGAATTTGTAATGTTTTGTTCTGAAGGAGGACGGTCTTTCGCATTGGATTTCCGTCCCATTAAAATGCTTCGCTTTTATCAAAATATGAATTTTAAGGAGGAAAAAATAATAAGTACAATATAGATAAGATGGCGGGAGAATAGCATCTAATCGTTATGCAAATCAGTTATTTGACAAAAGAGAACTATCAAAAAACTTTTATTATCGAATAAAAAAATTTGAGTGTGCAATAAAAAAAAGTACTCTAATGTGAGACCATACTTCGTTCGATTCCTTCACTTTGCCAATGGCGTGCATGTTCAAAACCGTTCTGGCATAGTTGATAATCCTCCATAGCTTGGCGAATTTCTAGGAGACAAAAATCAAAAGATAAGTTTCTTCTCAATGAACAAAATAGTAGGATGATTACATACCTTCCGGGGTATTCATTACGAATGGACCGCGTTGAACGACAGGTTCATTTATCGGTTGTCCAGCGATGAGAACAAATCGACAATCAGCAGTGCTGCTGGTATTTCGAAAGTCAAGTCCATCGCCATTTGCTGAGAGAATAAGTACATGATGAGCATCAGCATGCGTCTTTTTCGAGCCGAATTCAGCTTCGCCGGTAAGGATATACACAAATGCATTCCATCCACTTGGAATGGCTTGAGTAAACGAAGATGAATTTGGTTTAAGTGTAAAGTCAAGATACATTGTTGGTGTACGAGTATACACAGGAGATTTGACTGACATAGATTCACCGGCACTAAATTAGACAACAGAATGAAAAGCTTTTCTTCTTGTTTCTATATGATTAAGAATACATACATAATCTTTACTTGTACTGTGCCATCCGATGTTGCTGTACGAGGAATGTCTTTATCTAACAGTTCTTGATAGTTAGGTTCAACCATTTTATATTTTTTACTAAGATTCACCCAAAGTTGAAGACCATGGCATTCGCCACAGTTGGCGCCTGGCATTTCACAATGAACAATACCACGGCCAGCAGTCATCCATTGAAGATCACCTGGATTGATAACACCTCGTCGTCCTGTGAAATCTTCATGTTCTGTACTTCCTTTCATCATATAGGTGACAGTTTCGAATCCTCGATGTGGATGATCAGGAAAGCCAGCGGGTGCAGAAAGACGAAACTCGTCAAGCATCAGAAATGGATCGAAATTTCGCACCTGAAACATTAGTAATAGATATTTGTCTCGAAAAGGAGCACAATAATTCTACACATACTTGTGAAGTTCCAATAGAACGTCGTACTCGTGCACCAACACCTTCGCTTTGTTCAATACTAAGAATCTTCTTTTCGACGTATCGTGTCATTCTTGTTCGTATTTTGTTTGTTTGAGTTATGGATGAACGTAGAATTTTGAGCAGTATTTATATGAAAGACTTACATTCATGCTAGCGTGTGTATGACGCAGCAGAATGTTGCATGAGTCATATACTGAAGTTGACAGTGCAAATGTTTGACTCATATATTATTCAATGACCATCTGAGTCAATAGATGACTCTCTCATCGAAAACCGTTCTATACGTACGGAAAACTCTGAAATATCGTTATTCGCATTTCATGTTGCCAACAAAATCATGAACTACCTAGTTCAAGTTCGAATATATATATACATCCAAAGACGTGTTATATCTTCGAAAATAAATGAAGAAAATGACAACTAAAACAGTAGTATATGGTATGTACAGCCAGATGTAGTTTGGCGTTGATTCGTTCATAGTTGCTTTGTACGTTCTCCTGTACAAATAAAAGTCTTTACTGCATCTAACTATAGCTCCAATATAATAGCATATCTATGGCTGAGTANAAGAAAATGTTTGATGATATTAATCTAGTATATTTATTAAGTTCAACTAATCCGAATGAAATAGCTCAGAAACTAAATGATCAACAGATTCGTTCGATTTTGCCATCATTGACTTGGCTTGGATTACAACAATGTCCCAAAAATCATCGTTTGACTATCTCAGCTCAAATTTTACAAATTGTTTCACGTTTTCATGACATGGACACAATTATTGAATTATTCGAGATTGACTTTCATGCATTGAATCTCGAAGTCAAACGTCTACAAAAAATTAAACAAAAAGTTTCTGAAGGAGGTCAACAGAATAGTAACGCATTGATAAATCAAGAAATTATCGCATTTGAACAAGCAACCATCAGAGATAGATGTAGAATTGTCGCGCAAATTCTCTTTGATGATCACGAAAAAGATCAGCAATTGTTAACAAGTAAGATTTTCGCTTTTATTTACTTGATTCTTCGATGGAACATACCAAATAAAAAGACAGACGTTTGTAAACATTCTCAATAGTATGTGACGGAATGCAAAGTGCCTTCTATTCAAAGAATGTCTATCGAACGTGTTAGAATCTAAAATATGCATCGTTCGAATTTTGTTTTCAGGTCTACTTAACGAGTCCAATCATGTTCAAATCGTTGGTGATGTTCTCTGTGTGCTGCTCCTTCATTTATCTCATTCATTTAAATTCGATATACTTATTTCGAATCTTCTTCATTCAAAATATGCTTACGATTACCTAATCCGTCTTATTCTCAACATTCCAACGTTAAAATTAACATTTGCAGAACTTATCATACGTTGTCCAACGAATGATGATAGTCGATATCATATACTTCGAACATTAATTAAATTATATCCAATACACAAATTACATGTTTTACGTCTATGTCATCAACGGCAAACACTTCTCTCGTTGATTCTTGATCTACTCGATCATTCAACAATGAATATTCTTCTTCAAATCCTTTCCAATCCCAAGCAACGTGCGTGGTTTAAGAAATGTCAAACAGAAGAACTTGTACATAATCTTATCGCTAAACTCTTCGAACTTCATCGGCAACAACAATGTTCAGCACATACAATTTTAAAACTAACCGCAATTTTACATGTCCATTGCAATATCAAGTAAGATATCAATGAAAATATTTGCGTGCTCTTACTGTACATTCTTCAATGTAGATTTTCATTCGATGAAGTTCACCATCTACTTAAATTGTTACTTTCACGAACAATGGACGTTATATTAGGTCTATGTTATCTATTTATGGTTCCATCGTTAGTAGAACATAATGAACAAAGAATAATTGAATGGTTAATACCGACGATGTCATCATTAGAAACCGACGATAGGTTATTAATGATTGGACTTTTTTGTATGACGAATTATTATGAAGTAAGAAATGCTTTTCATGCGCATTGTTCATATTTAATCTATTTTTTAGCCATTAAATGCCTTAGTTTCTTCGACACTAGACTTTCCTTGTCGAATCGATCCGGGTCCATTTCATCATTCACGTCTTTTACTTATTCAACGTGTTTTTACAAATGATTTACTCGTTCAACGTTTTGCTACGATACAAATTACACCGAATCTCAACTCAACAATGACACTGAAACATCTACCTGCACATTTCATTTGTTATCTTCTGACAAAGGGTCTTTGCAATCAACATCATGTAGAAATGAGTCCATGGGTCTGGTCGCAACTTTTACAGTGTGTTACACCAATCCATCCAATTATGTTAACACTTATTAATGAACTAGTTACAGCTATCGTCGATGCACGCTATACTTGGCATTTAACACCAATCGACAATCAAACAATACATGACTATTTAACTTCGGCATCATCAAATGATCGTATTCCAACAAAAATGTTAATTTTACTTTATTTATTGACGTTAAATGATCAAGCGAACGGCGAGATAGCTACACAATATCAGCAATCCGCTCGAGTACTTTTTGATCTATTACCATTACCATACCTTGTAGAACAATTGACAGGAAAATATTATGATGCCATAGCTCCTCAATTGGGCAGGTAGGATTAACCCTCAATGAAGTTGTTTACAAATTTTGTTTCATGTGGAGGTTGATGATGGAGCAATTACCACAAATATTTCTTGCTGATCATGCACTTTATTTGGAAACCGGTTCGTTTTTTATTCATTATCAATAAGAATACAAAGAAATGTTTTGTCTTTCATAGAAGATTCTCAATTGATTTCATTGCATCATTCTTATAAAGCTGACACAGTCGAAAGTCTAGTAGATCAATTGAAACAAACACTCGTTCATGGTATATCCCGAAAGCAGGCTGATGAATGGCGTCGACGATGGTTTCGCGTTTATGCATTTCGTGGACAATTGTAAATGAGCATCAATCATACTTCATCAATTTTTCTAATCCTTCCTTTTTTTCTTTCTCCGAATAGATTAACTTTAAAAACAGCTCAGATATTATTGGAGAATAATCAACTGACCTACGATGATCTGCGTGCTGATCCTCACTGCTTATTGCGTTTTCCATTTCAATTGTACAAGTAATCAACAAGTATTTTTCTGTTTCTTCTCATTCGACAGTCATAATCTTTAGTTATCCATCCGTCATACAAATCATCTTGTTCATTATGCGAGAGTTGTTGATTGCTAGTCGACATTGTTTTGAACAGGCTATCAAAGCAAAGCAGCAACCATCTCAAACAACAGGTAGAACAAGAGTTAGGTAATATTGTCATAAGAATTTCGATTCTTTCTTTAGATGTGATTGCTATGCAGGATGTAAAAACCAAACAATTACAAGAAACATTGATACATGCACAAGAAGCTCTTGTAATTCAAATTTTACTCGACGCTTTGCATCAATACAAAAAAGTTTGATTTGATCTTTTGCAAATCTTATCATCTATTCAGTTCATTCTTCTAGACAGCATGTATCCCTGCGTACCGTGAATTACAAGGTGTCGTATGCTCATTCGTTCATCAAATGTTTATCACAAATCCTATTCTCGCTAAACTTGTTCACTTTCAAGTAAATTTCTATCAGCCATGTCGATGAATATTTGATAGAATTCTTTTGTTTTAGGGCTACCCATCAGATCAAATAAAACCTTTAATCTATAGCGTACCATCTATGCACATCTGTCTAAATTTTATTCCACAAATGTTGGCAACCAGTGAACTAGACACTCAAGTATGTTGAATGTTTGGTCATTTTTCATTTTACTTCTTTTGAAATAAGAGATCAGATCTTTCGATTATCAGTTGTTCAACTTTTCTCTTCGTAGACGACCATAAAATATTGTGATAATTCTAATTTAGATCTTTGCCTTTGAATTACTCACTGATCTTTCATCGTTCTATCCTATTCGAACAGCACTACTTGTAGTGAAACTTGCTTTACAAGTGTATGCAACACTTCTGCGAGGTAAACTAGTCGAGCTGTTTAACCTAATTCGCATTATCATTTCCTTGTCTTTCTAGTTCTTTCAAATGAAGATCGTCTTCGTTTTTTCTCACGTACATACAAATTTCTCACTCATATGAGTTCCACGTTTCCTCCATTGACACAAAATTCAGTTTATGTTCTTCAACAAGCGATACGTGCATGTTCACTGGTAAGTGTTTTTGTTTGTTGACCATTCTCTAAGTCTGTTGTTTCTAGTCACCTTCAAACCTACCACCATTGAAATGGACATCAGATTCTCTCGGTCGGCCACGACAGATTGATATTTAGAAAACGGAATGAAAGAGGAAAAAAAATGATATTATTCATAACTGTTAATTTGAATAAAAACACTTTAAAATAAAATTTAAGAATAAAAATCAAAAGTAAAGAAGTCTGATTCTCTGCGTTTTGCTTTATGTTTGAGCGGTTTTTGTCGGTGAAGCTGAGCGTCGTTTACCATACAGAGATGGAGTGACTGATTGTAAACGACTCTGCGCAGTTTTGACACGAGACAAAGGTTGATGTGTGCTCGTTGGTGTTTGATGATAGACTTCAGATAAACAAAAGAAGAATCTACACGTGAGCTTTCTAGTGCAGTCGAAAACATACCTGAAGATGTTGGTCGAGATGACGAGAGATGCCGTTGCGTAGGAAAACTATTTCGAAAACATTGAGAAAAATACCGAGTGTTTACTTGTGTCTACCTGTCTGTTGGTAAGCCTTGAGCTCGTTCACTTTCGAAATAAAGCACAAATTCAGGCGACATGCATGAACGTTGCCCATATTCAACGATTTTATCATAGAGTTCTGAAGATAGAACACTGAAAGTCAGTAGAGAATATTCGACAGTATCTTACTTGGATGGCGACGAACGCAGTTATAAAGTAGACGAAACGCTGTTTTATTGTAGGTTAAAGTACCGATTGCTACAGCGCAAGCACGATACATTTCATCTGCATCTCCTGCATCTTCACTGCTTTGCGGAAGAGTCGGTGCATCAAGTTTTTCGATTAAATGTTTATGAATGTCACATGAAAGAAACGCATCGGTTATACCTGTTCGAATTCGAGCCAACGATGAAACATATTTTGCTAAAAAGACAAAATGATTTAGACTTAATAATCATCGATTATCGCTGTAGTATACTTACCAATTTGTGTTATTAAGCTTGTGTTGTTTTCCAGTAATAGATCGGAAATCTTTTTAATCGCTGCTGCTGTCAGTTCGACTTGCTCATCTTCTGTTTCGGCGATTACGCGCGTGAGAACAATCATCTACGTGAATAATCGATCGGACGCGGTCGACTTTGATTTATCGAGAGAAAAGAATGGTCTCACCTGAAAACAAGCCGTGGCCACGTGAGCTGAATTAGATGATTCCATGAATGGTCGAAATGAATCATAAAGAATCGCATTCGTTCGTTTTAAAGTCGATTGATTTTCCAAATTATTGTACCCATATAACGTTAAAGCTAATAAAGCTCGTAATTTCAAACTGGGTTCAATGATATCAATAAATTTGTAAATAACTTCTTCAATGTCGAATGCATGCGATAAATGTTGCTGATTTTCACCATTATTTAGCACAATCTTTGATAGAGTCAAACAGCACTCAACCTATCAATGATAACTCAATCCACAAAGTCAGATTCACGTCATTCGCTGGCTTTACCTTAACATCGATAAATGCTGTGTTCAGCAAGATATGTATTGTTACAGTCATAACATCTTCTTCTACTACAGCATTTTGTAACAACGTATTTGGTACAAGTGCCACACCTTTGAACGCATAAAAATGGTTTTGTAAAAGAAGATATGTCTGAATTCAACTATACCTATACACAGTACGCCGAAAACTCGGATCAGCACGAGTAGAACTCGGTGCGATAACTGATCATATTGTTTCAGTAATCGAAACAGTGGTGTCAGAATATTTTCATTATATAATCTTTTTTGATTGTGCTCATCTTCTTCAGTTAAAGCAACGATGGCATTTAATGCCACGTACTGCAGTTTTTCCGATGGTGATAATAACATTGTTACTATTTGTGGTATGCCAATGCATTCGGCAACAGAGCGTTGCTGAGTTTTAATTTGACCACCGAGTGCCCATAAGGAAAGTGCAGCTTGTTCACGGATTTCTAATGACCATTCTCCAGAACTGCGGATCTAAATTGATGAAAATGAAATAGACGATTGATAGTGAAAAATCGAAGTGATTTGAAAGAAGCAAAACAACGACATTCGTGTTTAGTTGTGAGATATTCAAACGAAAACTGTGTGAAATGCACTTACGGTAGCACCAACGTAGTACATTTTCTGTAAAAAATAAAGTATTTATATCAGCAGTCTTAACAAAACTACGGCGATTTGTACGAATCTAGATTCAACTTGTCTACTTTCTCATTGAAATTTTCAATTACCTCCATTAATTCGTTCAATGGTTTATGTGTACTAAGCTTTTTCGATAGAAACTCTCGTTGATTATCAACATTGTTCATTGCCAGAGCTTCAATGGCCAATGCTGCTTTATATCTTATACCGAATTCACGATCTTTCATAAGATCAACTGTTCGCTTCAATGCTCCCATCGATGCTGCCAACATTTGATTATTTCGATTATCATATGTCATTGATGCTAATGCAGAAGATACGGTTCCCTGCAACACTTCTAAATGATGACAATGTATGTAAAAGTGACTTTTTTCTAAATTCGGTCTGGCTCACTTGAGTCGAGTAAAAGTAAATCTGTCAATTGTTTGATAATTCCATATTTAGCTAGTTCATTCTGCATGTATTCATTATTACGGCAAAGTAAATCAATCGCATTACAGGCATTGACAAGAACATCTTCAATCGAAGAATTTAACATATTGGACAATGCAGTAATCGCATTTGATTTAAGAAAACGCTCCTAAAATGTAGAAACAAGATTTTCTATTGTTTCTTTTCCAGATCTGTCTTTACTTGATTGGATGGAATAAAGCAGATATCGGCTATTAAGATCGCTGCTTTGGAACGTATCTCATCGACATTGGAGTTCAACAGATTTGAAAGTGTATCACTTAAATCCTGATCGGCATTAGAGATTTCTTCGCGGACTTCAATATTGGTTGATATATTGCACAGAACAGATAAAACCAATAGTAATAAATTATTGTCAGTCATCTTAAGTAAAGTAATCAGTCGTTTAATACCGCCTATTGAAAGAAATAAAAGAAAAAACGTAAGGGCGAATGTGAGAGGTTTATCCTGCAAAAAAAAGAAGCATACCTGTTTCCAACAGAGGATACCAAAATTCTTTGCCATGGGTTGTCATCTCATGTAAACACTGTGCTAGAGCTCGTTTCATAGCTAGATCTGGATGAGTGATTAAATCTTTACATAATCAAACAATTATTTCAGGTCAATAAAAAGAGAATAATCAGTATTACCAACAAGTATTCGCCATGTCGGTACAAGTGGATCGTTTAATTGAATGAAATATTCAATGATATTTGTATGTACATGACTAACAGCTAAATGTATTACTGTATGTGATGATGTATCTTTATAGGCAATATTGGCACCCAATAAAACCAAGCATTTGCAAGCATCTAATGCACCTGATGTAGCTGATAATAAAAGTGGAGTAGATTCATGACTATGATCAAGAAAATAATCAATCGATGATGCTGAGCAGGTGTTGAATTTCAACGACTAACCTGTCCTTGGTTGTTTGTTCTAATAATTCCGAATATTTGTTAAACAGAAGCCGTACAAGTGGTACATGATCACAATAGGCAGCGTGATGAATAGGTGTCCATCCTACATAACAAAATACCTTCTAGACAAGCTGTATGGTACATACAAACATGTACCTATATGATCGGGTTGAATTGCTGCCATATTTCCCAGCAAACATGACGCAGCATCGAGACTTCCATGACGACAAGCAGAATGCAATGGAGTTCCACCTAAAACGAAATTCTCGGTAGAATAGCTCTTTCCAATTAATAAATTTCATCATGTATAATCTACCGATAGCTGTGTAGTTGACTTCTGCTTTGGAATTCACATCTATACCTAATTGTAACAGTATACCAATAATAATTGGACGATTATGGATAGCCTAAGAATCATGGTCAAAGTCACATTGTAGAAAACGTTCTCTAGTTGAAAAGACAATTCTTACAGCATAATGTAAAAGTGTGAGACCATCGCGATGATTCGGTTTGCTCAGAGCAGATGCCGGTGTTTTACGTGTCAACGCCTGGAAAATACAGGTGAGACCTCGCTGAGCAGAAGCTCGTAAGCCATGTTCAGGATTCTATATGTGAAGAAATATGTATTTGTATAAAAATAGACGTGGAAGTGTTTCGATGAAAAGCTTTACTTTGTAATTTGTTGCTTTCTTTCGACCAAAATATTTCTTATAAGTCTCATAAATAACTGTTTCATTCAGAAACTTTTTCTTTGCAGCATCTTCTAACGGCCTTTGAATAACACGCAACCATATCGGATGTAAGCCATAGTACGGTTCAATATCAATAACCAAATGATAATATCTATCGAATAATCAATATCAAAGCGTTTCTCTTTCTGATCATTCTCATAATTTGGAAATACTACTTTTTTCCATCGATCTCTACAATTGGTAGATGATATTCTTCATTCAATGGTGTATTTGACAAGTCTAAGTACCCGTACAGAAGTTGTCGCGATGCGTCCAACAGTCCTGGACTTTTGCCGTTCAATAGTCTTCAATTAAACAAGAGAAAGAAATCTTTTGATAGTTTATGTTTATGACCATACTGAGGAAGTTTGTCATTTAATGCTGCCGTTTCATATTCAAACTGGATACCACCGTGTAAATGAAACATGGTTTCACTTTCAATTGGAAATATATTTTTTGATGCGGAATTTTTGTAATAAATAAATGGTGGAAGTTCGCGTTCAGTACGGACTTCATCTCCTGAAACACAAAAATTTTTTGAGAGAGATTTTGTTATAAGAACGAAATCGAACCAGTAAGCATTGGCAGTAATCGATTCATGTTCGGAATTTTCTTCATTCGCCGTTTCAAAGCGATCAGAATGGTAAATAAGAAGCAGACAAGTTCGAGAAGATAAATATATTTTCTAACTTCACTTTTCAATGAAAATGTCTTTCGAAGATACTTTTCATGTACTTGAAGTAGAGCTTTCAATCGTTGAAGTTGTTGATTATCTAGTCTATCTTGTGTTGCTTTCACTTGAGATTGTATGATATGATTTCCATGAAACATCAAACAGTTCTTCCATTGAGATAATTCATCAGAATATAAGGTTAAGACCATAGATAAATCGTCGATAAAGGAGAGCAGAAATTGTTCATCTGATGCGACTTGTTCTTCAGATTTAACTTCAGGACAAAATGCTTTCTTCGCATCGGCATAATCAGTGTCTTGACTTAGTTCTTGTAATCCTATAAAACAATGATTGACTCGTTTCATTCTTCGAAATAGTATCGTCATACCTCCAATTTCATATTCGTTAGGTAACGAACGTGTACACGTCGGATCAGAGAAATGACGCCAGCGGTCAGCGAATTTACTTCGTTTTTCTCTTGGCATGAAAATCCCATGCCAAACTGATTTAAGCCAAGAATCACAATTGATCATGATCTGTCCCAAACGAGTATCAATATAAGCTAAATAACAAACATTACGCTCCGTTTAGATTCACAGCATATGTACCTGTCGGCATTTGACATGTTGAACTAACATCAAAATTTGCTTCGAGACTTAGAACTGGATGTGCGTTGAGTGAATAGACACCGATTGTTAATTCACGTAATAATTGATGAATTTCACGAACGTCTAGATGTGCAACACTCTCATCAACAGGAAATAGAACATCGATGTAAGAGTCATTAAAAGGTTGTAATTGTCGAACTAAACCATTAGGAAGTTCACTTGGCACCTCGACAACAAAAACAAACAATAGAAAATCAATTCGTGCTCGAAAGAGAGTTACTTTGTAAACATCTCCACTGGTCAGAAACCAATGTGCATCACGGGATGCAAGTAAATCACACATTTCTAATTTATCATACTTCTCAAGAAAGCCAAGCGCATTTTTCACGGCTACATCATCCATTGATTGTGAAAGAAGAAGATCGGGTCTTCCATCTTCGGTCGTTGAGGACGAATCTAACCGTATGCGACTCGATCGCTTCGATGACAATCGACGCGGGACACTAATCGATGTGGATGGCCGTTGATTAGCAAGAGCTCCTTCCATAATTTTTAAGAAACTTGATCTTTACGTTTTCTTTTTTGATTTAACAACTCTCTATTGACTACACACACACACACATCAAAAACTAACAATTACTTTCTTTTTCTTTCTTCTCTTTTCTTTTCTTTACTGTAACCATCTTGACTTCTTTCGTTCTGTGTTGAGCAGGAGTACCCTCTATGTAATAATGGTGTGAGAGAATATACAAAAAGGACACACATACACATATACATCATTCATCACCATCTTTGCGTCGCTATTTTCGATTCTGAATGAGATCTTTCGATGTAAAATGAATTTCCTCTTCAAAATTCTAACCAATACCAGAATTCGTTCGCGAATAATATTGACGAATGTTATCATAGGAGAAATATGAAACTCTAACATATCGATGACATTCAGCTATATACACAAGAATTTAGTTTTTTTTCTTTTCGTGAAGTGCCTCGCATGCATAAATTTTCATCTGAAATATATCGACTTTTTTGTAAACATAAACAAATCGAATCTTATGACGAAAAATAAAATTAGAGTACGGCAAGTGCAGATAAGAAGTCATAAAAAGACGAGTATTTCATTCTGTGAAATGCTATTCATTGGCGATCAGAAAAAGCTGCGTATATGTTGTAGGCAAAATTAGAATTAATTCTAATTTTGCCTACAACATATGTATCATAATAAACGATATTAACGTTGCGAAATGAATAGCGAAGAACGTATTTTAAATGTAAATTTCGTTGTTAGTTATCTTCTGACTGAGTTCTTCTCGCTTCTCTCGGACAAACACGTAAAGTTGGGCAAGTTAAGTACATGGAACGAATAAAGCATAGTTACATCGTGTTGAACTAGTGACCGATACCAGAAGGTCATTCCTCGAATGTATTAGACAAGGATTCTTTATATATAAGAGTGTAGATGATGATTCATGTAACATTGTCTAGTAGTTTTACAGCTGATACTCATATGTTATCGATACAGATGGTTTTAGTGAGCGAAAATCAGAAAAATGGTCTTAACATGATTCATTTAGATAGATCAAAAAGGAAAGGAAAATGTTCATCAATATCTGTCTACAATATATCTCATGAATTTTCAGGCAAACTGACATAATGCATCGAAATATTCTTGCTCTTTATTTCGAATTTAGCCTCCATCTTTTATTTAATTTCAATCTTCATTGTCATAAGAATATCATTACAAAAAATATAATTAAATAAACACTTAGAAATTACAGATTTTCATAGAAAATGGTCAATTTGAAATTCTTCCAAATTGTATAGATTGACCAAGGAAATCCGAGACCAAATCGATTTCTCAATCATGTTGTTTTATTTTATAGACCTATGTATCAAGTCAAATCTTTCTTTTCTTATCAATTGATTCGTTTTATTTTTCTTCGCAAAGGTCTTTCATGCTGATGAATTATCGATTGTATCACCACGCATCATTACTTGATTGCCATTAACTTTGAATGAGATGCTTTCATTGATATTAAAACAAAAAAAATGAATAGAAAATCTTCTCTCTGGTCTTAATCAAATATTTAACATTTTTATGTCATTCATCCGCATTTTCTCATTCTCATACAACGAAACGAAATTTAGCCAACTATGTCAGACATATCCAATTACGACGTCATGTTCATTCTCTCGAGCAATAAATTCTGTTCGTCAATAAAAGTCTATCCACATTCTGTTTCTCCTTTTCGATCAGTCAAATGTATCAAGAAAGAGTTTTGAAAATAAAAAGTACTTCGAAAATATAAAATAGATACGAAGATGTCATGAATATTTTAAAAGAAAAAGGAGACAAAGTGTCGATTTTGTTGTGATCAATTCAAGAGATTTCAAGTATCGAAATCAACTTATTGACTATTTTTCGTCCTGACTTTCTTCAAGGATGGATATAAAGTTCTGATATTGCTTCATCGAAATCAATCTTGTGTTTCAAATATAAATCCTTATACCTATGTCTTTATCTGTTGACAATCGAAAAACATATATGTTGTTGTAAAATATAGTCTGTATATCTTCGTGTATAATATCGAATGTCGTCCGCATACCGTTTGCAATTTCTTCTTTCTCTTCAAATAATCCGAACAAGTTATTGACATGATAGATTGGTTTTAGATTATAGGACTATTCTCATTCAGTTTTCGTATTCAGACTTATACAGGAATGTAGTCATAAGGTAATGTTGTTGTTGTTACGCTTGTTCATTGTGGTTCTGTCACATTTTCTCTCGAAAAATAACCAGTTGCAAGTCACGTTGAGGTATCTATGTGTTAATTTCTAAGATGTTGCGTTAGTTGTTCTTTCATTGAAAGAAAAGTGTCTGAAATACGGTTAGAAGGTTTATCAGACATTGATTATTAGAGTTATATGATCCATCTTATTTTTTCACCTTCATTTTATAAGAGTGAATTAAACGGCTTAATACATCTATCACTTTTTTTTTAAATTGTCTTTTTTCTCTGTTGAATATCGACCTTGTCAAAAAGTGTCTTATACGAAACTTAATTTACTTATATGTCTAACGTATTCGGAGCAGTATCAGATTTTTTTGTATGCATCGAGAAACAAAGAACAAGATCCTGAATGTTTTCTCTCGCTCTCTACAGAATATCGACTTTTTTCCTCTATCTTCTTGCTCGTCTGTGCATGTATTCTTTCATTTTTGTACTCTTTTCAGATCATAGATAGAAAGACAGAAATTGAAAAGGTGCATTAATTGTTTATGTCAATCAAACACTTCGAAAATGAAGTTGAACAACATTTCTGGTTCTTTTTTATGTGTGTTTATCTTACTATTGGTCAAGGTTGGTTTTACAACAGGACAAACTGCTTCTACAGATTTAACCACAATAGGTACGCTCCAGACAACGCAGCTAGATGTAATTTTCGCTTCTTTTCGATGAAACATTGAACATATGACGACAGATGGTTTCTATTTGTTCGTTTAAATTTATCGTACGTAGAGTACTGTGTAATTTTGTATTATCAGCGAAACTTCTTTGCACTGGTTGTCAGATAATCCTTAGTGAAGGAAATCGCGTCTATATACATCTAACATAGGTCCAAATGAGAGAACATGAGAGCCAACTTTTTCTCGAGGATATTTCTAACAAATCGCTTTTTCTGCTTTCTGTGTAGATGATGCGACAACGGATAACTCAACCACTGCTGTACCAGCAACAACACAGATAAATGATTCCACTTCAAATTCTGTGACATCTGACCTTGAAAAATTATCTACTACTAATCTGCATTCCGATTCAACAGTCAATGATTCGACTCTCCTATCTTCAACGAGTCCTTTTGGTGCGTCTTCCGACATCACTACTAGTACCCCAATCTCCCTTACGATATCTCTCGATCAATCGACAAGTTCAGCAGATGTTAGTACTACTTCTGCATCTTCAACTAGCCAGTCATCGGAGTCAACTGTAACAGACACTGCACAGCCTTCCGCCACGTCCATGGCTTCTGAACCTTCAACTAGCCAGTCATCGGAGTCAACTGGAATAAGCTCTACAGAGTCTTCCGCCGCGTCTATGGCTTATGAACCTTCAACTAGCCAGTCCTCGGATTCAACTGGAATAAGCTCTACAGAGTCTTCCGCCGCGTCTATGGCTTCTGAACCTTCAACTAGCCAGTCATCGGATTCAACTGCATCAAACCCTACAGAGTCTTCCGCCGCGTCTATGGCTTCTGAACCTTCAACTAGCCAGTCATCGGATTCAACTGGAATAAGCTCTACAGAGTCTTCCGCCGCGTCTATGGCTTCTGAACCTTCAACTAGCCAGTCATCGGAGTCAACTGCATCAAACCCTACAGAGTATTCCGCCGCGTCTATGGCTTATGAACCTTCAACTAGCCAGTCCTCGGATTCAACTGCATCAAACCCTACAGAGTCTTCCGCCGCGTCTATGGCTTCTGAACCTTCAACTAGCCAGTCATCGGATTCAACTGGAATAAGCTCTACAGAGTCTTCCGCCGCGTCTATGGCTTCTGAACCTTCAACTAGCCAGTCATCGGAGTCAACTGCATCAAACCCTACAGAGTATTCCGCCGCGTCTATGGCTTCTGAACCTTCAACTAGGCAGCCATCCGATGCACCTGGAGCAGACACTACACAATCTTCCACCTCATCTTCCGACATCACTCCTATTACCCCAATCTCAACTACGACACCTCCCGAACAATCGACAAGTTCGCCAAGTGTTGATACTACTGCGTCTACGTCGATTCCTACATCGTCTAATCCAGCAACATCCGTGATAACGATAAGTGATACAAGTACGAATACAAGTGTATCTAATACTTACATATCTTCCATCTATGCATCCACCTCAACACCTATACAGACAACCAACACAACAATAACAACAACAACAACATTTATCAGTCCTTTATTTTCGATTGGATCAGCTTCGTATGAGTATACAGTGAATCAAGCTGGTGAGCCGACTAAGCTACCGTGTACGAATATAAATGAGACAGCTTGTCGAAATAACTTGACTGATATGTTACACAATCTTCTTTCTCCATTATTCAGCAACATCAAAATTGATGATCTCAATTGTAGCAGCGATCCTTGCAATCTATTATATACGGCGTCATTTGAAAGCTACAAACAATTCAATGATTCAGAAATACAAGCTTTCATTGTGAACAGGACGAGTCAACTGGGATCAGTCCGATCTACAGATCGAAAAGGCGGTAAACAACGATAAAATGTACTGCTCGATTTAACATTTTTTCCATTGATAGAACCGCTATGCCGTGGTTATTCTGACAAATGGCCTAAAACTCAAGGTGCTTGTGTTTACTGTGGTACTGAGCGTCCATGTGCTGATTTTGATGAATCAACATGCGATCCAGGAGAGTATGGGAAACTTTTGGTATGCAGGTATGGACAGCTCCGACTCATTAGAAATATGATCTTCTTCTAACATTCTATCGTAGATGTGATCGAACAAAACACTTTTTCCGAACAAACTATGATTATGATGGAAGATGTAACCGTACAGCAACAATAACTTGGGAACAGATGCTGGCACTTTGTTTATTATTATTCTTCATACTTTTACTCCTTCTTGCTCTTCTTTTACTCCTATGTCGACGACGCCGAAAATTAGCTAAACAGTATTCTGTTGTTCTAATGAGATTCGTTTCATTAACTTTCCTTGTATTTAGAGCAACACGAGAACCTGAAGTTCTAGCCAATGCACCACAAAAACCACGTAGCATGGAATCAAGCAATATTTACAATTCTGGTCGAATGCACTCGAATGATTATTCAACAATTCCACAGTAAATCCATATTGATATTTTCCTTTCTCTAAATTATTCAAACAAAAGATTCATGTGAACGGCAGGATATTATCTTTAGATTAGAAAAGCAAAGAAATGACTAACATTTTCACACCATGCCTTATGTTTGAGTTCAAAAATATACAAATATTGATCGAACACAATTGATAATCAACAGATTATTTTGAAACTTCTCAAGTTTCATGATGCTCGATTAATATCCGTCAACCGAATAGAATAGCGAAACCTCGAAAATAACTCTATTGTTATTCATTTCAATAGAATATTCATCAAAAGACTTCTTCCGGTTTTTGTTGATTTACGATTTCCTTATTCTTATTTTCAGTTTACGCCGAGCGCCGCTATTATATTCAGTACCTCCATCAAATGATTATGTTTATCAACCACGGTTAGTTCATTTCATTGAGAAGTACCAAGTTGAAATATGTTCTTTTAGTACAACACAAAATTACACATATCCGTCACGCAATTATCCGTACACGCATGGAGGTGCATCTCCAACGTATCTCGGTGAAACTGATGATCGACTCGGTGTTTTACGTGATTTAGTTAATGAATACACTCTTGAAAATGGAGCAAGCGGACGTGTCAATCTTGCACGCGACCTTGATGATGATGATGAGATATATGTTTAAGAGATTGTTGTGCTATTTTCCTGCTCTTAATCGTTCTCCGGTGATATAATTTAACAAGAATTCATTATTAATCTAAGATGACTTCATGATATTGCTTTCATCTTATATTCTACATGCCTTGCTTCTTGCTGAACAAGTGATTTGATTTCAATAGAAAACAAATGCGTACACTTCTACTTATCATTTTCTTTCTTATTTTTTATTCTAGACATGGCTCTTTTTTTACATATGTAACAGTATCTATTTTTAACACAAAAGATAATTACAAAACAAAACCTTAGCACCATCTTCTCTTGTGTCTTGAATTAGATCTTTAATACTAATAATTGTTTGCCGTTTGTATATGTGTACAAATTGAATTTTTGATCAGATTTACTTGGAGAAGCTTTCTCGTCAGTTGAGTTGCATTCCGCATCTGTGAATAATGGACTGGATTCTTCAGGAATAGTTGTTGGTATCAATACGGCACTATGTTTCGATGTCTCGGAAGGAACTCCTTGACTAAGTTCAGTTGATTTTCGCTTGGAAATTGCCGATTCAGATGTAAGATTGTTCGATGTTCTTGTTGGTCGAGAGCCTCGCGTTTCACTATCGGCTAGTTTGGAAATTCGGGAGTGTAAATTCGTTTGTTTACTCGGATTTAAAAATAAGTTGAAAATGAATCGAACTAATGTTTTACGAAATTTTTCTCCAAAGAAACAATACAACAAGAAATTCGTCGAAGTATTGCAAACTAATAACAATATTCCAATAGTATTCAACGAGTGAAATAGTATACTCTCGGACGAACCGTGAGAATCAATCGCATGCCAAGCGTTCAATACTAACAACGGCATTTGACATAAAACAAAAACGATAATTACAGCCACGAGCATCAAGGTTATGTGATAATCCGCTTGCTTCTTCTTATTTGTTTTGGCAGCCAAAGATTTCTTCCGACGTTTATTAGCCACTAAATTAATAATGATAGATATATTTATACATGTCAATGTTGTAAACGGTATCAAGTAAACAACGGGTATGTAAATATAGATCCGAGTGTATTTGTAGATCTTCCTCCCGATGTGAGTCAAACGGCATTGTTTCAGTTCAGGTTTATACTCTTGCTCCAGCCAGTAAGGAATACAATAGAGAATAGAGAATGAGTATATTAATGCAATGGCAATCATTGTCGTGCGTGGTGTCAAAATTTTTTTCGCTTTCAATGGAACTTTCACTAAGATTAGACGATCCATCGATACTGCTATCGTTAAATAGATAATCGAAAGCGTAATCGTATTATATATGGGTGTTGTAGGTAAACGTGTAAGTAAAAGTTCGAATGCGAATGGAGGTTGATTGGTGATATATAATCGATAGCCTATTAAATATCTTATCGAATACGATGGAATAAAAATGAGAAGAAATAGTATATTTGAACATGAGATGGCTGTTAAATAGATATTTGTTGATGTTGTGCGCATCGATGGTGATATAAGTACGAGAATCGTAATGATATTTCCGACGATACCGAATAGACTCAGCACCATTCCAACGTAACCCCATACGATCAAACGAAAGAGAAGAATGTAATCAAGACCATTGTTATGATCAATCAAAGATGAATTATTCGACATGATGCATATGTTGTCTTGATTTGTAGTTTATAGAGATCTAAGAGATGACAAGAAAAAAGATCTTCGACGTACGTGAATCGAATGGCGAATATCTATACGTATGTTCTTTTTAAAACAAGTAGTACAGGATTTATTGGGATGAAAGATCGATCGTTTCTACGAGAATAGCGGATGTTAATATCCGTCTGGTAAAGAGAGAACGCGCGAGAGATTAACATTTTTGCTGAAAATAGAAGCAGAACAAAGAACGAAAGCTTGTTTGCTGTGTAATCGATCAACTGTATGAACTATTTACATGGACAAAATCGCTTCTCACGACTGCTACTGACAATGCCTGTAAAAGTGATAAATTATTCAAATTGAAACGGAGATCTTCGCGACTATGTCGTCTCGTTTCTAGTCAAACAACGCTCGAATACACATTATGCTTCTCTCCTTCTCTGTCTATCTTTGTAAATCTACACATCCATTAATGAACCAGAAGATACTATGCGCCTGTTATAAAGTAGTAGTTTGTTGCTTCTGCTCCTCTCTTCAATACTTTAAACTAAAAGAAGAGATTGTCATTCTTCTTTTTTTCTCATACACAATAACTTTAACAATTAACTGATGCTTCTACATTAGACACGAACAAATGGGATAAGAGATTTTATGTTCTATGTCTTACCGCGTAATGAAATGAAAAAACATCTATGTTATTGTATGATGGAAAAAAAACTGGTGATGGTGAACGCCTAAGCATAGGCGCTAAAACTAGTAATTCGATAAATGGAATCGACGAATGTTGGATCCATCAATATATTTATCTAGAGAGAAAGAAAGAGCAGAGATGTGAAAAAGATCTCTGTGCCCTTCGAAGAGCTAATCATGTCTGATGAACAATTCATTTGTTCGTGATTTTCGAGATAATATCTCGTACGATATTAATGAATGACTACGTAATGTATCTTCTTATCGCATCGTGCGTTCAAGATGTTTTTTGCTACAGGAAATTAAACTCACTAGTTTTTCCGCTTTGTCAAATCTTTACACGTTTTGCCTGCTGGATAAAAGATAGAGAGAACAAAAAAAGAGAGAATGATATTATTTTCTTTGAGTTTTCATTTGAGAAGAAATAGTTATCTTCTCTTTCTCTTATATGATTAGCTTAATTATAAAAGGAAACCAAACCGTATCGAATAGATAGATCAGTACTCGGGCAAAGGAGAAGACCTTATGTTCTGATAATGCTAATTGAAATAGATCTAAATGACTTCTCAACATATGCTTCAATCCTGTCATCGATCTAACGCCTGTTTCAATGCTAATGATAATGATAATAAATGATTTGATTGCATCTTGTTGACTTACTCCGAACTGAACTGGTTAAGATTGCTGATGTTGATTTCTTATGTTCGAGACATGTTCTGCGATCGAAAAGAAAAACAAATGGATCGAACCGAGAAGGTTGCTTAATGTCATCGGGCGAATATACGGAGAAAAAAGTGTTTTCATCATGTTTTTTATCACTAATATACACATTTATTCTGAGAGAAATAATTATCAAGAGTTTTCTTTGTATGTTCGAGCACTTCTCATATTCTTTCCTTATGCTTTTCCTTCTTCTCCTTATTCTTCGTCTTCATCATCAGTTTTTTGTTTGCTCTATGCTTTTGCTCCTATTATTACACTGTCAACGACAGATAAAGACTGTTCAAATAGATGTGTGAGAAAAGATAGAAAGAATGACAGTTCTGTCTTTAGCTACGTATAGAAATACGAATCAAATCTTCATTTATGTCTTTCAGACATGTTTGTCTTTGTTATTTAAACATCTAACAATGCCTGTTTCTACTGAACTTGTCAATCAGATAATGATGACGAAAAGCCAATGACAATTGCCATTTTGCATTTGCTCTCAAGCGTTCCTTTTTTGCTTTTTCTCAGTCAACCTACTTAACCGGAAAGCGAACGGCGACCTAGATTTACCAGAAATCGTCAACGGAAAATATTTACCAACGATCACTCTCATGTCAAGAGAGAGAGTCTATTCTCTTGATTAAAGTAAACGACAGATCGATCGTTTCTTTGATCTGTTCGAAGTGTACATATGTGCATGTCAATTTTGGTAGTTTAATGATCGCCGACTGTGTTTACAATATGATCAGATCGGTCGGAATTCTCTTCTCCTGCCTTTTGGCATCTAAAACGTGCTTTGAGGATTATCTCATTAGCTGTGTTTACTCAGCGATCACATGATGAATACCTGATTATGAAGATAATATTGAATCTCTGACATTTTCACTGGTTTATTAAGCATAAAACATGCGACATACTGCAGTTCATTAGACGCTGTGTGTACTTTGTAAAGCTGGTTATTCAATTTAACATACTGAATAGACGTTCACTTGAAGTATGTAAGAAAACATCCACTAATTGTAAATATTCGTTAATTTACACGAGAGAAGAAGAAAAAAAACATGAGAAAATCTAATTTTGATCAGAACTCTTGAGATGTTTCGTATGTTTGTCTGCAGTTAATCAAAACAACGTTTTATTATTAATGAAGAGTTTACTGTCGTTCGATCGCTCTGTGACGGAGACTAACTGAACAGAATCCAATGAAACTGAAGCTAATTCAGACGGATTTGAATAATTATTTAACGATAAATGTCACAATCCGTTCACAAGACTATCGATGATCTGCTCAATCAGCCTTTAAGAGGAAGTGCGTTTCGGCTACGAAGAAAAGCTGTGTCACATTGAAGTTTTTTTTCCTTTTCTAGAGTTTGAAGAGTTCGAGTCAAAACCAAATGACTTCAGATAGAAAAACTTCTTCTAATAGTCTAACTGCTCGTTTTTTAAGATCTCAATGAAGAAGACGTGTAGCAAGCTCTTTCTTCTTTCTTGACGAATATTATTGTTTTCCCATTTGACAGTATTAGCATACCCATATGATGGAAAAGTTCCTTCACTGTATCTGGCAATGACATCGACACAAAACAGTTTCAATACTCGCCCAATCGAAAAACCATTAATGGTAAACTTGAATCTTATATTTGACACACAATGAGACAGACTTTATTAGAAATACTATTAAGAAAAAGAATGCGATATTTCATCAAAGATTTCTCGCCTATCCGCTTATCCATTATTGGTTTCTTTTGTAAGAAAACAAAATGCTAATAATACTTACATTTCACTTGTTTCTCATAATCTCAAAGAATATTGTTAAGGAGTATTTGTCGATAAGATCAGATCTTACTTGAAGAAGAATCGTTATTAATAGATGAAAGAAAAGCAGCACGTTGATTGCCTTCCTTCCTAAAAGAAATTGACTCAATTCGATGTTTATATTGCTATTCAACTTATGCATGGCATAGTTGATGAGGAAACATCTTTCTCAGTATGCAAAAAAAGAATCCTAGTTCTTCTTTTTTCAAGCCAGACACATGACATTATCGCAAATCTTTCGTCTTCATTTTTTTTCTGTATGATTAAGTGCATACAATAGAAAACTTTTCTTTCTCGAAGTCTCTGATCAATGATAGATGATTAACTTATAAATGATAGTCATTACCAGAAATATGCTAATAATATTCCGAAAAAGAGCCCATGATATCCATGCATGAATTGCTAATAAAATAATGCAAAAGAGAAGCAATGATATTTTCAAATGCTAGATGACAATATCTCAGATGTGATGCGAAGGATGATCGTCAACTCGATGATATGACATGTTTAGAGATTGACGGGAGAGAGCATGTTTAATAAATGAACAGATTTCACTTGAAATTAGAAATCCTATTGTTGAAATAGAAACTAATAGAGCATGATATCTATTCGAGGGTAAAAATAAATTTAGCATGAAGTTGTTATTTGCTGGATGTGGAATGATAGAAGAAGTTCGATTTTTTTCTGCGAGAAGATAAATAGTATCTGTGAATTCTGATGTAAAATGATATGTACTGATAAATGTCAGGAAGTTTATGCGGAGAAAACAATTCAGTTATGGCAAGTTAAAGTTTTATTAGATAAAAGCTCCGCGAACTATAATTGTCAAATGGTGATTGACAGAATGAGAGGAAAAGGAAGAAATTGACTGCGTTAACTAAGAAATTTTGTGTGTTTGCCCGTTGCTAACAATTCATTATTTTGTTTGTTGCGAAATTCTACGGAAAGAAATGCCAACGTTCGACCCAACTTCACCGTTTCGGCATCGATCACCAGTGTTTCACCCTTTTTTGCTGCTTTAAGAAAACTTGAGAAAAATCATTCGATGATTTATCAATTCGTTATCGACTTACGAAACACTCAGTTCAACCGATGCCGATTTCGACGGTTTTCTTTCGTTGGTTTCAAGTGCTAATGTCGATACACTGTCTGTCAATGATGTCAGCATTCCGCCGTGCAAAGTATCTTGGAAAGAAGAGAATTTGATTGCAGTGAACATATGAGTTATGGTAGAATTTACCATTTCGATTTAAATGTTTTTCATCGATATCAAGTTCACATTGAATATGGCCTGGCTTTCGAGATGCCACGACTCGAATCTGAGATTAGAAAAAAAATGAGTGGTGAAGGATGAACTCTCAGCTTACTCCATCAAATATTCGATTGAATTTTTCAGTTTTCGGTCCCAATGTTATGAGATCTTGTAAAGTACGAAGAAGATTTCTACTTGCATTCATCTAGAAGATGCACCTTGGACACGGTTGTTTTTTGTTTCGAATTTAATAACCAAAAAAGCAAAAATAATAATATAACCGGAGGGGTTAACAAACATGTGAGAAAGAAAACTCTATTGAAGTATAGAAAAACAGAACAGATTTCATCTAATGTCGACGTTTCAAAGTCGACTGTGTGAGATGGGTCAGTAAGTTTAAGAATACATTCGATTCATTGGACGATTGTGGAAAACTACTAAGTATTCGGCATGCTTCATTTGCATACTGCTCTGCAAGGTGAAATGTTCGAGCTTTTCCATCGCTCTAAATAAATTCCAATGAACAGTCTAAATTGTCTCTTTGTTTTAATGAGATTTTACCTGATCGATTAGCTCTAACGCTCGTTCGATATCACCAGACTCAGAAAAACGTCTTAGTATAAGATTTTGCAATTCTGGGAACTAGAACACGAAAAATTCAAGTCATTATTCAACGCATTCGATTCATTTCGAACCTGTTGACTAGCAAAAAGTACAGGCGCGGTAGACAAACCCAATTTCAAATCTGCTGTCGCCGGTTTTCCCAAATCAGCATCGGTGGACGTTACATCCAAAAGATCGTCAATTAATTGAAACGCCATGCCAAAATTTTTACCAAATTCATAAGCCAGATCTGCACATTGATTAGCATCAACATTGGAAATATTTCCTAACAGTGCTACCTAAAGTAAATCGTTCTTTCTTACGAAAATCAACGCAAATGCATTCGAAGACATACCGCTTTACACGTGTTGGCAAATAGACTAGCAGTTTTACAAAATGTCTTGTTTAAGTAATCTTGAAATTGTTCAGCATCACTCTCCTTGGTCGATAGCTGCATGAATTCTCCTGAAACATGCGATCAATCATGAAAATATTGAAAAGATTCCTCTGCTAAAATAGAATACCTCGCACAAGATCTTGAATAACACGAGAGAGAAGTAATATAACTTCACTGTTCCCAATTTGTGCAAGCAGTACCGATGAAATACCGAGAATGTAATCACCTGCTAGTACAGCCTAGACAATATCCATTCATCAGATGATTATCAGTGAAAATACTAAAAATTTTACTTTCTTCGGCCCCCATTTGACAGCTGCAGCTGGTTTTCCTCGTCGTCGATCACTTGAATCGACCACATCATCGTGAATTAAACTAGCAGTATGGATCATCTCACCAAGAGTTGCTACACAACGTTGATTTTCATGCAAGAAACTATAAAAGCAACAAGAAAACCATTGAACCGTTTCTGCTCACAATGATTCACTTGTCTTGCTGTTGATTACAACTTCTTGCTATTGTGCATATGATCATCGGCCGAATGAGTTTGCCTTTCGCATCGAAATGATACTTCGCTAGGTCGTTCAATTCTTGTTCGAAACATCCCAAATGCTAAAAACAAAAGGAAAAATGACTGACAATTACTGCACATGTGACATTTGATAAATAAATAATTAAATAAATGACATGGAAAAAGAAAAGGTGCACATCTACACATATATAAAACGGCGAGATTCTCAATTAAAATTGCATCCAATTGGATTCAGAATGATTAGTTGCTTGTGCTGGTGGTGGAACTGACTTTGGAGTCGATGTGCCCGGTGGTGGTAAAATACCAGGTGTAAAATGCTCGTTGGAAGTTTTGACTGACTTTTTCGTATGCTCTTCTCCTGTCATACTACTTTTCAGATTGATTTTAATCGTCTGACCTTGTTTAAAACTTAAATCAAGTTTAGGTTGCTGTTGTGCAGAAAGAGAATCATCATTTGTAGACTTTTCTTCTTCTTTGATCTGCTTGGCTTGTTTCAAATATTTGAAATGATCTTGTAAAGCAACGTTGAAATCGAATGAATCTGATCGATCGCCAAACCCAATGCCTAAGAACGCCTGCTGGCCGTTTTCATTTTGTACGCGTATGACAAAATATCGCGTAGAATCTTCAACGGTTTCTACAGCGATCGAGGGATAGCTTTCGATCGGACACGTTGCAAAATGTGCGCCTGTATTTCGGTCTTCTAATCGAATTAGACATTTGTCACCTTTGGAAATGATTTTCAAACGACAGATGAAATTCGGCGAATCTAATTTCCAATCAGCTGCACGATGTTTACGTGTTGTTGATTGCCGCGGAGGAATGACGTAAACATTGACTTCAGGTTTGACAAGGCCTATAGATTCGTAACTTTCATCATTCGCTACACATAATGAAGCCATTCTCATAGAAAAATCTGAAAGATGAACGAAGTGTTATTGAAGAATTGTTTTACTTACTTGTAAAATATCACGATGAATTAATTGGAGATCGTCTTTGATGACGCTGATTGTTGATTGATATTTTTCATTTTTCATTTGAGCATTTGCAGCACCAACGGTTAAATACCGGCAAGAACATCGAAGTATCTTAGTTCGTGATAGAAATCGATTTGAAAGACAGCGAACTGCAAACATTAATTGTTTCGATCTAGAAAACAGAATATAAACTATTGAATTGATCTTGTCACACATGCAACAAAATCTCTTGGCCGATCGCATGGTATGGCATCAAAGCTATTCATTCGTGCGTGCGGTTGATTTTCATCAGCTATTCGCGTGATGGTTACCGACGAAAACCAATAACGTTCTTGAGAGAAACTTCGGGTTTACCGATAGATGGCGCTTGATTCCAATGGCGAAGGGAAAACAAATCTATTCGAGAATTCCGGTACTAAAGAGTGTAAAGGATAATCTCATTCGATTCATTACAATTCAAGAGGCCGCGGAACAATGAGTATGACTAATCAAAGAGTGTATAAAGTTTTGGTGTATCTATTGACTTTCCGCTTGATCGATTAGGAGTGTCGTCTTCCCTTTTTCGTCTTTTTTTATGTACGTTTTACACCTACCGAAGCCTGACTTTGCTATCACGACAAAAAAAAATCAATCGTTTTCTTTCTCTTCTTTATACCCTCTAACGAAGGCCATTAAGTGAGTAATCAAGCAAGCGCTCGACAACAACAATCAACTAAAGTTTTTTTGCACTAGTCTTAACGACAACATGTCAACAGTAAGTCGAATATTACTACCTATGTGAAGCTTAGCGGTAAATATCTATCTTTCTAGACTGCATATATTTGGTTACCACCCGATAAACAGGGTGAGTTCGATGTGGAAATTGGTGCTCGTGTCATTGATGTCAATCAAAGTCAATTGAAAGTAGTCGATGATAATGGCAAAGTTTGTAAAATGATTTATCTATCATCTTAACTATGACGAAATTCTGTTAGGAACGAACTCTCGCCAATAATCCAGCGAATTTCAAAAAGATGCACGCTACTTCCTTTACCGATATTCCCGATATGATTCATCTAGGTGATTTGACTGAAGGAGCTATATGCCGTAACATTCTATTGCGTTACAATAAAGATAAAATTTATGTAAGTTGATTCTTGAAATTCTCTCCAAGAGAAATGAATGTGCTCACTTCAGACGTATATTGGATCGATTTTAATCGCAGTGAATCCATATACGCAATTGGATTTATATAATCAACAATATTTACGTTCGTATCGAAATCGAAAGTTTGGTGAATTAGAACCGCATACTTTTGCGATTGGTGACAATGCTTATCAAAATATGCTTCGTGAACGAACAGATCCGAATGCAAAAGTTAATCAATGTATTATTATCAGGTTCGTGACGAAGAAACTCACAATTGTTGTTCGATTGAAATCTTGATTAATTTCGTTTAGTGGAGAATCAGGTGCCGGAAAAACAGAATCAACAAAACATATTCTTCAATGCTTAGCTGCTATAAGTGGAACAAAGAAGAATTCCAGTATTGAACAACAAATTCTCGAAGCAAATCCGATTATGGAAGGTAAGACTTAAAGAAGAACGTCATTCTTTACTTTCATGATATTCTTTGATATGTAGCATTTGGAAATGCAAAGACAATTCGAAATGATAACAGTAGTCGATTTGGAAAATATATAACAGTGAATTTTGATAGTAATGGTGCAATTGCTAATGCCTATGTCGATCAATATTTATTAGAGAAGATTCGTATTGTGTCACAAGTAAATAGATTTGTTTATATTGATAGATTCTATCAAAATGTGCTTCTAGGCTAAAGAAGAACGAAATTATCATATATTCTACTGTATATTAGCTGGTTTGGGTAATGAAGAACGGAATAAGTTAAAATTAACCAAAGCAACTGATTATGCATATTTAAACAAAGTAAATTACCGAAAGTCGGAGATGATATGGCAGATATATTGTTTTTCTAGAGCACGCCAAAATGTGATACACGTAATGATGCAGAAGAATGGAAAGCTATTCGACATGCATGCAAAGTTTTGATGTTTACCGACGATGAACTCTTCGAGATCTTACGGATTTTAGCAGTCGTATTACATCTTGGAAACATTCAATATGCTGGTAAATGTCGAATTAAAATTCTCAGGAAAATCTCTTCACGAGTAGAATACTTTTTTCATCTTTCAGCACAAAGCGCAAAAGGAATAGATAGTGTAGCCATTAAAGATCCTAAATTGGTCGAATTCATTGCGTCATTATTAGAAGTAAGGCGTACTGTACTAGCATGCTAGAAATCAACTAATGTTTTTCATTAAGGTTGATGCAAAACGATTGTCAACTGCATTGATAACGCGAACACTTGAAGTTCACGAAGGCAAAGTTGCAAGAGCTTTGAATGCATCATCTGCTGCTGATGTTCGAGACGCATTTGTCAAAGGTTTATATGGTCAAATGTTCGAATGGTTAATCGAACGAATTAATGTAGCAATGAATAACAAAAACAATGCGAATCGTCAAAATCCTTCGGAGGAGAAGTTTCGATCTGTCGGTGTTCTCGATATTTTCGGCTTCGAAAAATTCGAACAAAATAGGTATGTTAATGTGTCAAAATCGATCAACTTTTCATTGATGAATATCTAGTTTCGAACAATTGTGTATCAATTATACAAATGAAGAATTGCAACAGTTTTTCGTTCATCATGTCTTTAAACTTGAACAAGTAGGACACGAAAAGTAGCACGAATGATTCGTTGAATGAAAGATTCTAGGCTGAATACGAAAAAGAAGGTGTTAACTGGAAGAAAATCACATTTATTGATAATCAGGATATTATTGATCTGTTAGCACGTGGTCGAATGAGTATTATCTCAATGATTGACGAAGAAATGATTGTGCCACAAGGCACCGATCAAACTCTATGTGCTAAACTTCAACAACAACATGGAAAAAATAAACATTTCATCTCTCAGTCATCACGACAAGTACAAAAATCACTTCTCTTCGGTGTGAAACATTTTGCTGGTCCTGTTTCATACGATTGTCTTAGTGAGTGATCCATCTAACTCGTATGGTATATTCCACCATCACATCTTGACTATTTTTTAGATTTTCTTGAGAAAAATCGAGATACATTCAGTAACGATTTGAAGCATGTCTTGGCGAAAAGCAACAATCGATTGATAAAAACAATATTTCCGATCGAATCGTTGAA